CATCTTCTCTCTGAATCCCTTTCCTCCTTGGACAAACAGGTTAATGAGTGGCTCATAGCAGCAAAGAGAAAAAGTTAGCCAGTTGCTCTTCTACCTCTCTGAGCTCACAGGTTTTCACTCTAGCTTTTGAATTTCCAGTTTAATTAGAATGAGAGGTTCAGTTAGAAGGACCTTTAGTGGCAGCAACAGAGCCTTTGTCTGGGGCTCCCAGAACTTTTAAGAGCAGCCACTGGAATTAAGGGAAACTAGCATTTTGGTGCACAGTGTGCAGCCTGAGTTTCCAAGATGGCTTGAGGAAGCTAAAAGAAAGGAAGAAAGAATGAAAGAGAGAGAGGAGAGAGAGAGTGTGTGAGAGAGAGAGAAATTTTGACTCTTTTAAAAATCTTTGCCATACAGCAGAACTTTTAACAGCCAAAACATTGAGTGGGAACATAAAGCTTAGTAAAAATGCCCAACGTAGTGCAGGGCATCCAACTTCCTGGAGCTCTGGTGGTTGAATGAAGTCCCTGTTCAAATTCACTTTTTAATGGAAGTCAGAAAAATGTATTGCTTTGTGAAAGAGGTTATGTTTTTGTTTCTACAGGAAACAAAGGCTGTGGATCCATACAAGGTTAATACAGATAACACTTGACCGGAGGAGACCTCTTGAAAATCCTGGCTATAAAAATAAAGAAATAAACTTAGGGACATAGATTTACCTGCCCAAATATAAAACAAAAATTATGACTGGCTGTCTTGTGTATAACACACAGTACATGAAGATATGCGCGTTATCTTTGAAAATTAGTCTGTTTTCAGAGGAAGGGACTAGATACCAATGAAAATGGGTGGCTTAAGTGATCCAAACTCTCAAACTGTTTCTGTTGATGTTTCCTCAGAGTTCTGCATCCAGAATAGCTTCAAGAGTGCAGGCTGACATGGTCTGGCCTCACATGATATTCTAGGCAGGACTGCAGATAACAGTTTGCTTTCCCATTGCACAGAGACTGAACAACAAATGTTAGAGTTAGTTTTACCAGGACTTAACCATAATTTCAATTTCCTCAGGTTCCCTAAAAATGCCTTTGCCCACAGACAACAGGAAGAAGTCTAGAGAACACAACATTCTCAAGAGGTGGGATGAGTGGTTTTAGGTCATTCAGTGGCTTATGGATGTTTGCAATTATTTAGTGTGGAGATATAGGAATATGGGATAAAAAGATCAATATTAACTTCAAATATTTTACATTGATATAGATTTTGGTAATGGATACAAATTTAAAATTATTTTTGTTAAAGTGTGTACAAGTTTTTACTCTTGCTTGGATATTGCATTTATGAAGCTTATTTAAAAATGTAATATATGATAAGATATGCAGATTAGTAGTTATTTATTTATAATAATCAAGCTTGTAGTCATCTTAGTTACATTTTTCAAGGTTATACAGATGTATTTAGGTAGATAGATGGCCTTCTAACACTTCAAAGACATACAGAATATGGAATTTAAGATGTTTAGTAACCTATGATTTTTATGACAGTAAGGCATGTCTGCTCCTGGCAGCACCAATTTACTTCAGGGAAGATGATGAATATCAAAGAAACTCCACACTGAGTTTGCTTTCACTGTGCCAAAGCTAGTCATTTGGTGAAGAAACTGTCCTTGCCTTGGTTGGGGACAGTGTGTTGTGCAAACTGAACAAACAGGATACAAAGGGAAAAAATGAACTTTGCCAAGATAAGGCAGAACAGCCTATCAAAATTCCTGCTTCATAGAAGTCTGCCAGTCATTCTGTAGGACCTACAGGAAAGTGACTGCTGAACTTTGCCAAGACTAGGTGGGAAAATCCTTCAAAATTCTTGCTCCATAGAAGAGTCTGGCAGATAGCTTAAGCATGTAGGCTGAAGATGGATACTTTAGAATTGCATAAGGAAACTTGGGAGACTGTCCAGGCAGCCAGATGTCTGTCATTTCATAGCTTTGGAAGTGGCTTGCATTGTGCTTTCTGTTTCCTTGGGTAATATTACATCATTCTGGAGTCTTTGATGACGATGAAGACTAGATAGTCATATTTATACTTTTCCTTAGTTTTGATAGAATGCAAATTAGTAACAAAACTTTGAGCTTACTAAAACAGGATTAATAATGGAGAATTTTCTCTGAATCTGCCAAATATAAATCGACTGTATAAGTTAATTCTCACTTGACAAATATTCTCATTGCATATAGTCTTATCGTGTTAAAATTAAAAGTTTCTTTTTATTTAAACAAAAATGAGGAAATGTGGAATATTATTTTGACTAGGCAAAGATGTGTTATTTTTGTTTATGTGGTGGAATATTACTTTAAGTATGTGAAGGTATGTTTCATTTGTCTGTGCTGCCTTTGTTAATGATATAAATATATGCTGCATTTGTGTTAATTAAATAAAATTAACCTGGGCTTGGAAATGTGGGTTTAGCAACTGGTTGACAGGAAGTATTAGGAGGGAATTAACATGTCTTTTTTAGTTGGGCACTGTGGAAGAGAGTGGTTTCTGGAGACACCAGCAAAGGGAAAATTGGCCAGTTGTTGTCATAACTCTCTGACTTACAGTTTTCACCCTAGCCTTTAACTCTTCAGTTTTATTAGAATGACAGAGATTTAGTTAGAACTTCCTTCAGTGGCAGCAAAAGAGCCATTGTCTGAGGAAACCAAATTGCCTCCCCCAGGCTATGGCCTTAGTGAATGGGCCACTAGTACTATAAAGCACAGCCACTGTAGCAAAGGTAAAACAGCAAAGAACAATTTGTGTATACATTGTACATGAACGGAGAAAACATAATTCCTTTTAAGTTTTTCTTTTTTTAATAAATTTTTAAAATTAAAAACAGTCTTATTTTACATGCCAATCCCAGTTCCTTTTCCCTTCTATCCTCCCATTTCCTCCATCATTCCCATATCATCCCCTCTTATTCTCCTCAGGGAAGGTGAGACCTCACATGGGGAAACCATCAGTTTGTCACATCATTTGGGGCAGGACCTAGGCCCTCCCCATGTGTCTAGGTGAGAGTGTATCCCTTCATAGGAAATGGGCTCCCAAAACCCATTTGTGCACTAGGGATAAATACTGGTTTCTCTGCCAGAGACCCTGTATCCTGTCCATGTCCCCCTACTGATGCCATTGTTAGACTGCATCCAGGAATCTACAAGGGTGACTCCAACTAAGAATCTAAGCAATAGTGGAGAAGCTACCTTAAATGAACTTCCCCTATAAATAGGTTGATGACTACCTTAAACGCCATCATAGAGCCTTCATCCAATAGCTGATGAAGCAGAAGCAGAGCTCTTGAACATTTGTGGCATGGCAAATGGTGTAGGATTTAGAATAAGAAATTATCATTTTTAAATATTGTCTTCTGTTTTTTAAATCGGTTTCAAAAATGTTTCTATTAGGTTCTTGCTTAAAAATACAAATTACTGTTTTTTTCAACATTTTCATAAATTTATATCATTGTATGTGTTCCAGTTTGCTTTTCTATTGCTGTGATAAAACACAGAACAAAAGTAACCTGGGGAAGGAAAGGATTTATTTTATCTTACAGGCTATGGTCCTGTTTTTGAGGGAAGTCACAGCATGAATTCAAGGCAGGAACTGAAACATTTTTTAAGGGCTGTTCCTTAAAGGCTTGTTCTTGCTTTCTCCGACCTTTCATATACATCTCAGGCTGACTTGCTTAGGGATGACACTGCTCACAATGGGTTGCCCCCTCCTGTTTCAATCATGAATCAAGAAGTCTCACAAACCAATCTGATGGGGAAAATCCCCCAGTTGAGATTCCCTCTTCTCCAGTATGTGTAGATGTGTGCCAAGCTAACAATAACTATGACAGCATCCTCCCCCACACACATACACGCAACCTCTTTTCCCACTGGTCCTGGTTTTTTGTCTAGTTACCCTCTACTTCTGTGCTCTCTCTGTCTTCTAACCCTACCCTGTCTGCGTGTTCATGTATAAACCTAGGTTTCAAATGAACATGTGCTATTTGTCCGTCTCTGTCCCTCCTGTTATCTGATCTTGTTTCCTCTCCCACAACTTTATACCCTTTCTTCCTCCCACTATCTACTTTCTCTCTCCATCCTGCTTCTAAGACCTGCATATCATATACATGTATATAATAGTAAATATCATATGTGAGCGGAAACATGAGATGTTTGTCCTATTTCATGTAACACAATGAGCTGCAGTTCCATCCATTGTCCTAAAACCTGTTGTGTCTATGCAGCATCTCCTTTACCATTTACCTTTTATCTGCTTCCATCACTGGACTGCTGTGACTAGTACATGGGTGTTCAAAAGTGGTTTTGTGATATGCTACTCAGAATCCTTCAGGCATATTATATAAATATAGAAATAGGAAATGAATTCAATGAAGGAAGAAGAAAAACTTTAGATGAAAATTAAATTTTTTTAAAGGAAAAGAAGAAAAATGCTATGAAAGAGCAAGCGATGAAAAATCTGATGACTCAGTAATGAAAATACTTGCACACAGAACCATATAACTTTAAGAAATAGAATTAAAATAAAACCTTTTAAAAGTGAAAGTCTAATATCTTCTAGTAGCATAGTAACAAAAGAAGACAAACTGTGGTGGGGCAGATAAGAAACAAAATAAAGGAATAGAGTCCCATAGTGGCTTCCAAACACTTTGAAGACGCTTGTCTTTCATTTGGTATTGAGCCTGTAATGGACACCTTCAGACAGCTTGCCCTGCTGTCTTTATCTTAATATCGTGTGTGTGTGTGTGTGTGTGTGTGTGTGTGTGTGTGTGTAGGTATGTTTGTATGTATGTATATAATTAGTAACGAGATCTTCTAGTCAAATTTTGCTTAGTGATCCTGCTATTTTAATAAGTCACCAAATTTACTTGTGGCAAAAGTATTATTTGTGAGAATATGACAGTAATATATACTCTAAAAAGCTCTTGTATCTCACAATTATATATGTGGCAACTATCTTCTTTATTATCTTTTAATGTAGCATGAATGATATAAACACAGAAAGAGATATTGGGATTCAAGCTGAAGATCAGGGGAGCAAAGCAGCCAAGCCAACAGACAGCTCTTTCAACTCTACTAAGGTTGGGGAGATCCTGACCGCAAAGCAGCTGGAGACTACTTGCCAGTGACTGGAGACTGCTTGCCAAGGGCTGAATACTGAATGCTGCATGAGACCCTGGGATCCTTTTTATAGACTTCTCTAGTGCTGGGATTAAGGGCATGAGCTATTTCCCTTTTAGACTGTTTCACTCTCATGTAGCCCTGGGTGACCTTGAACTCACAGAGATCCATCTGCCTCTGTTTCCTGAGTCCTGGGATTAAAGGTGTGTGCCACCCCTGCCCCTCTTTTAGGACTGACTAGTGTGTCTGACTTTGCATTCTGATCTTCAGTGGGTTATTTAGATCATAAAACATATCACCACATTTTAGTTCTCCAATATCAAGTTCTAGGAAATGGGTTAGTTTTGCAGATTTCAAAATTGTATGAAGGTGGGCAATGTCTGAGAGCACTTATTCTTAGATGAGTAAACATGAGTAGTTAAATACACTGTGAGTTTAGTGTTCAAAGCAACCGAACCCAAAATAATATCATATGAGACATTCTCATTCCTACACTTCTCAAACTGTATCTCAAATACGGCATATAGGTATTGCTTCAAATCTAGCTCATCCCATTTCCAACTACCAGCAATTTCTTAGCACTCTTCCACCTAGAAAATTCTGCGAAACCGAATGATATCTGTTACCAAACACTCTCCCAGAATTCTGCAAGTTATTGATGGGTTGAGTACTTTTAGTTTCACTTTTCCTCCTTATAAATGTCCTTGCTGACATTCCTCTTATTCAGCTACCTCAGGAAAAATTATTTGCTAAACCTCTGGACCGCCCAGGAAGTTGGAGGAGAAAAGTCCAGGTGCAGAGCATCCACATGCAGGACTGAAGAAGCCTAGTGCCTCCCACTAAGTGGCTTTCTTGCCAAAGCAGAAGGATTTCTGCTCCAGGTGAGTCAGGGGAGCAGGGCAGGAAGGCTTCCAGGACACTGCTGTTTACCTGTGGAATAACCTCTCCAATGGAGAATTCTGCGTTCTGGATGTGGGTCAGCAGTTCACTTAGAATCCACAGTTTGCGGGGAGGAGAGAGCGTATCCTTTCAATGCTGTCGTTTCAACTCTGTTTAATGGACTCTAGCCTGTGGAGTCCACAGAGGGCTCATTGTCTTTACCTGAACATATCTTAAACAATCTTTGCCACCTAAAGGTTTTCACACAAACTCATCCATATTGTTGCCAGTTTGTACAGGTCTTGACAACGGAAGCCGAGCAACTTGGAGCATATAAAACAGACACGTTTCCCACTGATGGCTCAGGAGACTATTAAGGTTTCTGCAGACACCTTTCCTGGGCCAATATTATTGCTTTCTTCCAGTTTTATGGTGGCACAACTCGAGTGAAAATCAGAACTCTCAGGACTCAAGAGATGGCCCAACAGTTAAAAGGACTTGCTTTTGCTCTAGAGGAACCGAGTTTGGTTCCCAGCACCCAAGCTGGGCAGTTCATAACCGTTACAGCTCTGAATGATTTCACAACTTCTTCTGGCATTCGTAGGCACCCACAAATGTTTGGTAAACACACACACACACACACACACACACACACACACACACCTAAAAGGAATTATTATTGTGTGTTAAATCTAAATCGTCAGTTTTTGGGTCCATTGTTCAGAGGCAGAGGTTCTGATCCATAAACAAGACTGGCCTCTTTTCCCTCTTCCCTGCAGGAGACAGGAAGCAGGACAATGCATTTATGGAATTATTAGGAGCAAACCATAAGTGATAAATGTTATAGCAAATGCAAACCACTCTTTGTCTTCACTTTCTTGATGATAGCCCTTCTGACTAGATGAGGTAGAATTTCAAAGTAGTTTTAATTTGCATTTCTCTGAAGGCTAGGGATATTGAGCACTTTCAAGTTATTTCTTGCCCATTTGTACTTCTTTTGAGAATTGACTGTTCAGTTCATTGTCCTGTTTATGGATTCATAGTTTTGTTGGTATTCTTTACGTTTATTTTTTATAGTTCCTTAATTCTTAGATACTATGCTCTGAGGTACAACTGGCAAAGATGTTTCTCTTATCCTGTAGGCTGTGTATCCACTCTGTTACTAGTCTCTATTGGTGTGCAGAATTGTTTCAGTTTTGTGTAATCTCATTTGAAATGTTTGGGGTCAATTCCTGTGCTAGTAGGATTCTATTCAGAAATGTCCTGTTTATTCTCAAATGTTCCCCAAAGCTTTTTGTTTAACAAATTGAGCATTTCTAGTTTAAAGTTCAATTTTGTTACTTTTTTATGTTCATGTGTAGGTAGTGAGTGTGTGCTATGTGTGTGTGTGTGCCAAAGAAGCTAAAGCAGGCTTTGGACCCTTTGGAGCTGGAGGTTCACATGATTTTGAGTTGCCTGACATCAATACTCTGGGCTGAATTCACAAACTCTGGAAGAGCAACAAGTATTCTTAACCCTTGGGCCACTTATCCAGCAGCTAGATCTTAGACCTCTTCTTTTTCTTTTTCTCCACCCAAGTCAATCAGCGTGTCTTTTAATTCAAAGATCAAGGACCTTTGCCTTTAAGGTCATAGTTAAGAAGGGTTGTACGATTTTGTTTGCGACTCTGGTTTCTGGGTTAATTACAGACCTTTTCTTCTCCCCGTAGTATTGGGTTAGGGTTTGGTGGCTTAAAGGGTTGGACATGATTAGCTCCTTGCCACTTGTCTTTTGCTCATCTGCTGCTTCCATGAAATATATTCCTTCCTGTGTTCTCTTGTGAGAAACTGTCTCTGCTCTTCCTCTGCCTTCTCCTCTCCTTCTTCTCTTGTTCCTCTGTGACAGTACTCTTTTAAGTATTTTCAGCTCTTGTAGCTTAGTTACTGTGAATTAGTGGAACTTTTTTTTAATCTTGAAATGGTCCTATTTTCCAACAATTTTAACTGACCATTATTTACTTTCAAGGCATGAAATACATTCATTTCATGCTTCCTTTGATTTGGAAATTGCTTATAGATCTGATATTCTGATGTCTCTGTGTCTTGTACCAATTGAAGGTTTTCCCTGGTTGTTGGCTTTTATGTTTCCACTTTAAAAAGTTATGTTTACCTTTAGTAGCTCATCTTCACTTGGGTTATATTAAGGGAAAAAGTTGATCACATAACCAAGTGTATCAGTTTGATGAATGTCCAGTGCTTTATGCAGGAAGAGACACTATGTTTACTATGCTTTTGATGACAGGGTTCTAAGGGAGCAGTGCAGGACCCTGACTGGGGAAGATGTAGTGTATTTAAGTAGTAAAGAGAACAGTGAATGGGCTAATGAATGGGAGTAAATAGACTGAGAATGAATAAAAAGAGATGGCTTTCACATATGAAAAGCAGAGAGAAACATTCTACAGCACCCTTTTAGAAAAGAAGGAAAGACACAAACTTTTTCCCAAGATACAAGTTACAACACACACACACTGAGGGGGCAGAAGGTGACCAAGTTACAAAAAATTCCAAAATAAGGTGTTTTCATATCTGTGCATGTGAATATAAAAGTTTTAAAAGGAATAACAAATTAGAGATTAAAAACATATAAGCACAAATGAAAAAGAAAGGCTCTAGGTTCTCAGTCAAGTCTTCTGGTTGAGTAGAGACCACCTTCTGTGCTTTGATTGGTCTGTCCATTAGGATCCTATTATAGCAAGTTCCCTCTCAAACTTTCTGTGACCATGTAGCTGCCTCTGTCATGACTTGGGTAGAGGATGTTGAAGATCTCTTAGCTCTGGATATCTTTACTTTACTGGATGTCTTCACCGTACTTCTGCTTCTAATTCTACTGTCTCTGTGGCTTGGAATCTGTTGCTGCAATGCAACCCACAATAGGTTCCACACTCTTTCGAGGGATTCTAGGAATTCCCTTACCAGACTTGAGTTGCTCACCCCACCCTGTGGCTAGGAGTCTATTGGGATGTCACAGCAGTTTCTAGGATTGGCATCACTTTTTCTGGGGCTGAAACACATCTCTTACTCTAGTCCAATTTCCAAGGCAAATGTCAGGTAAGCTGCAGTTTTTCTAGCTCCAGTGCCTCTGTCTTCTTGCTCCAGATTCTGTCCAGGGCACAGCTCTGCCAAGGAGGGCTGGGCTAGAGGCTCTAATCCTCTTCCACTGCCTCCAGCTGTTGGTAGCAGCTGCAGTGCTTTCACAACTACAGGAGACTGAATGGGCAAAATACACTTTTGGTCACTGAGAATGGCAGATGTACTGGCTGGTTTTGTTGTCAACTTGACATAAGCTAGAGTCATCAGAGAGGAATGATGAGACCAGGCTGAAGGCATTTCCTCAAGTAGTGATCAATGTGGAAGGGCCCAGTCCATTGTGGGTAGTGCCATCACTTGAATGGTGGTCCAGGGTTCTCTGAGAAAGCAGGCTGAGCAAGCCAAGGGAAGCAAGCCAGTAAGGAGGTGGTCTTCATGGCCTCTGCAGCAGTTCCTACCTCCAGGATCCTGCCCTGTTTGAGTTCCTATTCTGACTTGGCCTTATCTTTATCATTCAGTGATGAAAAGCAATATGGAAGTGTAAGCCAAACAAACCCTTTCCTCCCCAACCTGCTTTCTGAACATAGTGTTTCAACATAGCAATAGAAACCCTAAGCCAGCAGAGTATCAGTTCTGTGACCTTCTTGATAAATAAGAATAATTGACACATACCAAACTGAAATTGGGCAAACACCAGAAAGATAAAAAAAATTGTGGGGTATTCTACAAGATGACTGGCTTACACTCTTCTAAGAATAAATGCTTCCCGAAGATGAGAGGAAGCCAGGGAGTCATCTGTTGATTAATGGCGTATCCTGGATTCAATCATGCAGCAAGGAAAGGACGTTAGTAGAAAAATGATTGAAAATATTGGGGGTCTATGGCATACAGGTTCATTGAGGTATTATAATAATGTTTCAATTCTGATTTCTACCGTATTACGATGATTGCAGAATAATGTTAGGATTTGAAAAGTCTTACCGGGGAAGTGTAAAACATTTCAACTTTTTTGGATACCTATGACCTTCAAAATCAAAGTAGTTTTAAATGGAAGTAGTTAACCTCTAGCACAGCCATGAAATCCTCTAAGAATTTTAAAAATACATAAAGTACAAGTCCCAAGTTTAGAACACTTGGGTTCATGTTATGTTTGGTAATTTCTTAAAATGAAATTATAACATTTCTCCCCTTCCCCTCCTCTCTCCAACAATCTCTCTAATGAATCACCCCTCACTCTCTCTCAAATCCATGGCCTCTCTTTCTTTGATTCTTCACACACACATTGTTATAGTGTTACTTGGATGTATGTGATTTCAGGGCTGACCACTTGGTATTGAATAGCAAACTGGGGAGTTCTTGCATGGTAAAAACTATTTATTCCAATCTCAGCATTCCTTTGCTGCCTATAATGCTTTGTTTAGGGATCAGGTCCCATGAGATTTCTCCCTTCAATGTTAGTTATTGGTGTCCTGCTTCTTTGGGTCTTGTTTAGGCAGCCAAGTTGCTAAGAGTTTGTAGCATCCCTGTCATTTCTAGGAACCTCAATGTCACACCAGACTTCTTGCTTTTCTGATTCTCCAATTTTTCATCCCCTTTTCCCCTTTGCATGAAGTTCCCTGAGCTTTAGGGTCAGGCGTTATGTTACAGATGCATCAGCTGGATCTGGTACCCCAGAATCATTTGTTTTCTAGTCTTTGATTGGTCATAGTTTTTATGTAATGATCTGCATCTGTTGCAAAGAAAAGTTTCTTTGATGAGGGATGAGAGCTGCGCTTATCTGTGGTATAAAGGTAAATATTTAAAAGGCAATTAAGAATTATGTTTGTTTAGTAAAGTGGCAGTAGTAGGGTCTCCTTCAAGGACTAGACTAGACTCAGGTTGATGGGTAGGTTCCAAACAAATGTATGCATGCCACCATTGAACACTTAGGATTATAATGCAATGCTGGTCATAGTCCAAGTCATTCAGTTGAGTTCTTCTAACTAACACAGAACTTTTTCCTGTTTTATTATTTCTTGCAAACATAAGAGTACCATGGAAATGACCTCAGAAATCAACATGCCAGGCCCAGTGTGCCTCATCGAGAACTCTGATCAGCAGTTGGTGGCCAATCAGAAAGCGCTGGAGATACTGTCTGCTATTAAGCAGCCTATGGTGGTGGTAGCAATAGTGGGCTTCTACCGCACAGGAAAATCCTACCTGATGAACAAGCTGGCTGGAAAGCAGAAGGGTGAGTGCCACCAGCAAAGCTCTGCTGAGTCCCCTGTGCCACTCCCACTGTGAGCATCCAGCAAGCAGAGGGGAGTAGAAAAAGTCAGAGTCATAGGTGATGTGGGACGGTTTGTGTCCACCAGAGGACTTGCTCTTCTCTGAATCAATCTTCTCACTGGCTCCTCCCACACTCCCGTTACTTCCTCATTTAAAGGGCTTTAATAGAAGAAATGATATATTCATAGAGAAAATAAAATTACTTTATGATGAATTATAAAACGTTTATTAGATTGTTCGTCTAGGTAAAGCAAGTGTCCACTGTTGTCTAAGGGAGAAATGAATGACTTGTCAGCATTGGGTGTTCTGCCCTCCCTTTTTCTAGGCTTGCATTTAAACGCCGTACTTGTAACTGGTTGGGCTCCTGTACATGGTAATTATGTTAATTGCAATGAGAATTCATAAAGCATGTGCTGTTTATTTCTCCATTTCATCCCCCACTCTGCAGGTTTCTCTCTGGGATCCACAGTTCAGTCTCACACCAAGGGCATTTGGGTGTGGTGTGTCCCTCATCCTCAGAAGCCAGGCCACACCCTAGTTCTGCTTGACACTGAGGGCCTGGAAGACGTAGAGAAGGTACATCAAATTCTACTCACGAAGCATCAGAAAGTCACCTTGTATTTTTCACTCCCAATCTTTCCTTTATGCTCCTGGCTAATCAAATTAGTGTATCATTGTTCAACTCTCCTGACATAGGAACCAAGGGTAGATACTGAAGACAATTGATTAGTAGCCATTCAGCCTTCATATTGATAACTGACAATGTTTTTTGCTATTTTTCTTTTCCACCATCATGCAATACTTGCTGAGACTTTTAGTAGTGTCTCTAAGCTTGACTATACATTTTCTGAACTTGTCTGATTCTTAAGTGTGAATCTGTGGAAATACTAAGAACTGCAACTTCTATATGGCATTATCAGTGAGAGAAAAACAATATTTGAACATGCCAACTATTGTTATTTTTTAAAGGTATTTAACTAAGGCTTTGCTTAGAGTTTAAGGGCTTAGTCCAATATCATCATGGCAGGGAACATGGCAGCAGGAATACCAGGCAAGGTGCTGGAACAGAAGTCCAGAGCTTCATCCTGATCCATAGAAAAACATATATATATATATATATATATATATATATATATAGAGAGAGAGAGAGAGAGAGAGAGACAGAGACAGAGACAGAGACAGAGACAGAGACAGAGAGAGACAGAGACAGAGAGAGACAGACACAGAGAGAGACAGAGACAGAGAGAGACAGAGACAGAGACAGAGGAGAAAGAACCAGAGAGACAGAGACAGATACTGGACCTCCATTGGACTTTTAAAACCTCAAATCCCACCTCCCCTCCCCACCCCTATGACACAACAAGGCTACAACTCTTAATCTATCTATGGTGACTAAACATTTAAACATATGTGCCTGTGCAGGCCATTCTCTTAGAAAGCACCACAATTTGCAGTAACATCATTCTTCATGGAGGATCACATCACTACTCTTGCCAGTCTGAGACACACAATGCCCTATTAAAGGACCTTATTTCTACTAGCACTAAAATGTCCCTATTACAAGGTGTGGCCTTTTGATTGGGTATGGACTTGCTGGAGGAACTGTGTCACTGTGGAGGTGGGCTTTGAGGTCTCATTTATGCTCAAGCCATGCCCATTGTCATAAACCTGTTCTTGTTGCCAGGGTAAGATGCAGACCTCTCAGCTACCTCTCTAGCACCAGGTCCTGCATACATGCTGCCATGTCCCACCATGATGATAATGGACTGAACTTCTGAACTCCAAGCCATCCAATTAAATACTTTCTTTTATAAGAGTTGCTGTAGTCATGGTGTCTTGTCACAGCAATAGAAACCTTAACTAAGACAGTCCCTTACCATACCATATCCTGTGAGTGAAACCCTGCATGTCAACTTAGATTTAGCCACTGATCAAGATGACCTTTAAGTGTGAATGTCCATAATGATCTCATATACACAGGTATGCATCATCTTATTTTCATTATTAGACATTCACAGAATCATTGTACAGGTAGAAAATTATTACGTAGAAGCAATGACTTACTTTTTATGCCATAGCTAATGCGGGACAGATAAAGGTTCATTTTTGGTTACTTGAGTTGATGGACAGTCTCTTAGTCACTCTTCTTCACTCACTGACCTGCAGGGAGACAACCAGAATGACTGCTGGATCTTTGCCTTGTCAGTCCTTCTCAGCAGCACTTTCATCTATAACAGTATGGGAGCCATCAACCAGCAGGCCATGGACCAGCTGCAGTATCCTTTTGATATGGTCTATAACAGTACTAAAACCTAGGAAGGGTAGCTTCTTATTTTATGAGATAGACAAGTAGGGGATTAATATATTCCCTTTTTCCTTTCCATTTGGATTTACCTCAGTCTCTACTACAATTTCAAGATTTCCAGGCCTATATGGCCTTAAACACAGCCACCTACTCCTCAGAAAATCCCTGTCTGAATTAATCCCACATATGTCCAAATCCTCAACATCAGTTAAAACTCATGACCTTGCAAATCATCATTCCTGTTAGCACCTCTAAATATTACCATTCAACCATCCAGTTATGTGCTGCAAGTCTCTCTGGTGCTCTAAGGTATTGTGTGTCTGTTTGTTTAGATTTTGCTCACACTTCGAATGTTATGGAACTATGAAGAGACAGGTAGGCTTCTTTTTCTAGTTTAGGCTGTACAGCAGCTTCTCATTCTTACATCAATAGAAAGAAGAACCTCTGGAGCGTGGGCTTTCAGGGCATGGCAGCTTCCTGTGCAGTGTTTTTCACAACCATCCATTCATCACAGCATTCTTGGCAAAAATCTTACAACTCTACTAACTTCGTAAAGACTAGAAGCCAGAGGACTCCCATGTCCATGCGGCATTCCTGTTAGCTCACCTTCTTCCACTGTTTCTATCCATACCTCCTCTATGTCATTATCACTGCTTCTCTATTTCCATGACCATAACATCAACTATTGAGCTCAATTAACTCCTTTATCGAGAGGGCATTTGTAGTATTTGGTCTCTCAATAGATGTCATAAATTGAGCATTTCCTCTTTCTGCATGACTTGACTCTTAGATCTAGAGTTTCTAAGATTTCTGCTATTCTACCTACCACACCAGAAAACTTTTTCTGTTAATATTCTCTTCCTTTTGTGTCCTCTAAGTGCATGACTCAGCAATTACTGTGCCACTGCTATCCTTGTTTTACTTTTTGTCTCTAGGTACTGTCATGTAGACTCAAAGCCTTCTGGGGTTCCTATGTGTCAGTGCCCATCAAGTTTATAGTTATGATGACATTCGATTTTTTATATTTATCTGCCTTCATGTAGCTATCTAAGACAATTCAAACTCAAAACTTACAGAGTTGCCCTTTCCTCCATGTTTCTTATTACATTAAATTTTCTAATCGTTTGCAAAATTGATCAGATTTAAAACATAGAAATCACTTGATATAGACATTTTCTAGTACATTGGAAGTCGTTATTCAATAAAAGTTCTCAGTTTCATTAGCAAACCTACTTCCCTAGATTCACATAGTTTCTACATATCTTCCACAAAAACTCTAGTCTAAGCTTTTCTTGTCTCTTGTCTTGGACATACCAATTGCCAAATTATTATTTGATTATAGTTTTAATTCCCAGGTACATTCCCAGCCTGTATGATCTTGGGAAATGATGCTGTATCATATACTATCTACATAAAGTCTACCAGTGCCTTCCATTTAGTGAAAATAAAACTGTCTAACTTAAATGTCCTGTGTGTGTATGTCTTTTGGGACTTCTGCTGATGCACCACACCAGCAATCATGATTTATACTCACCATATAGCCATACTTTCCTGTTTAAGCATTTACAAGTAATATGGCCTCATTTTACAATGTCATTCCACTATACTTCACATGGTTGGAACTGTTGACTCATTTGGGTTCCTGATAACCTAAGATCTCAGAGAACACAAGCAGCCCTTTATAAAACTCCATGGGCAAACTCCCCACACAGATGTGTGCATGAATTCACCATTTCTTGGGCTAATTCATTTTACTGCAACATAACTCTTAGCAATATCCGAGGGTTTTTTGTATTTTATTCATTTATTTATTGTCCATCTCAGTTAGACATAAATACTGTGTGTTGGTATTTTCTCACTTGTTTTTTAAAGTTTTGTCCCCAGGATGGTGCTTGTTCCATAGAAGACGTTAAATAGATGTTTGTGACTGAGTAAATTTTGAAAATGAATGATCTAACAAATAAATTTAAGTTACTTTTGAGGAATAGTGTTGGAATCTACATCATAGAAGTGGCATTTTCCCTGTAATTTTCTTAACTTAGCATGCCAGCTATGTGACAGAGCTGACTGATCTAATCAAATCAAAGTCATCACCTGAGCAGAGTGCTGTAGATGACTCAGCTAACTTTGTGAGCTTCTTTCCAACATTTGTGTGGGCTCTGAGGGATTTCTCCCTGGAGCTGAAATTTAATGAAAATTCTATCACTCCTGATGAGTACCTGGAGTGTTCCCTGGCTCTGAGACAAGGTAAATGGGCTCAATGGAAGTTGAGATAATGATAACAATAACATGAGGGTCACTTCTGCATTCTTAGTAAAGATCTTGCATCTATAATTGTGCCATCCTCACTGCTCTAATGAGAAATGAAAACACAGATTCGCTGAATTTAAAGTGTACCACCCACAGCTTCTTAGATAAAGGGTGATTTCTTTCCCATTCCGTTAACTTTTGTATTGCTCATTCCACATTGTCATTTTCCTGCTGGCTTTGGGAAAGTTATAATATTGGAAGGGTCATGTATTTTAAGTAATTTATTTGAAATTTACTGCATCTACTTCATCCTTCCTTAAGGAACGGATAAGAAAACTAAAAGATTCAATGAGCCTCGGCTATGCATCAGGAAGTTCTTCCCAGAGAGGAAGTGCTTTGTCTTCGACAGGCCTGCTCAGACAAAGCAACTTGCTAAACTAGAGACAGTTCCTGAGGGAGAGCTGAATGTAGAGTTTGTGGAACAAGTTGCAGAGTTCACCTCATACATCTTCAGTTCTTCTGGTGTCAAGACCCTGTCTGGCGGCATCACAGTCAATGGACCACGTAAGTCATTCCCTGTGCTTCCTACCTGGGCTTTTTTTTTCCTGCTCATTGTAGGACACTAAGGGAACCAGTTCAAACCATACCAAACTCCATTTGTTGATGTTGTTGTAACTGTAGTGCATGAATTGCACAATGGAATTTACTTGGGAATAAATATATTTCTCACAGTCTCATATCTGTAATAGCAAGTGGTATCACCTGAATCTAATGAAGGCCTAGGTTCTCTACAAATGAACAGGTTACCTGGAAGTCACAAAAAGCAAGTAACACATAGAACTAAAACCATAGAGTAAGACCTAAGGCAGGGCACAACTTTTAAACTTCAGGGAAGAGTTACATGACTAAAAGAAGAGAGTATATGAGAGTGTTTTTCATTGGAGAAGTATGGAATCATAGTCATGAAGGTGTGGTGATGTCCTGATAGAACAGGACCATGACTTAAGGGTTTTACAGTTGGTTCCAAGCTTCTTGGGAAGCTCTCTAATTTATATGCATATAATCCTTGCATATTTTTGTGCATAGTACTTTGCAGTTCTAAAAGGGAGAGACTGAGAAGATGCACGCTCTGTTTAATGGAGTAGAATTAAATGTTCATTAGGTTACACTAAGATTATGGCAACAGAAATTGTTCAAGTGAGATGGCAGCTAATATATTTTCATGTCACATTGAAACATTTTTATTATAGTGACAATGATAATGTGGCAGGACTTAGAGGGACTTATAAATATGTCACCTGAGATTGAAGCTCAGCACTTCTTTTATGTTGTAGTGTATCTTTCTTGAGATAGTAATACCAGGAGAAGAACTGTTTGTTTTGGAGTGGATGAGGTTGTTTGGTTTTGAATAATTTAAAGTTGACTTTCCCCTGATATATATAATAAAGTCATGCAGCTTCCTGACCAAGAGTGTAGACTAGATAGTAGAATGATTTGCTAACACTCACAAAGTTCTTGGTTTGATTCTACTGCCACATGAACTAGTATGACTGTGAAAACCTGTAATCTTAGTTTTGCAGGTGTAGAGGTAGGGGATCTGAACCAGAAATGCTAGGTCATCATTGGCTGCATATCAAGATTAAGGGGAGTCTGGGAAACTTCAGACTATTTCAATAAATAACCCCAAGATTAACACATACGTCCAACATGTAAATGGAGATTTAAGAAAAACAAGAAAATAAATGATTCATCCCAACTATAGAAACAGGAAAAAATTTCAGGATGGACTCACAGAGAACAGGAAGGATCTAAAGGTACTCTAATTGACTGAGAACTGGTTCTGGGGATGAGGTGCTTTCAGTCCTACAAATAGCAAAGATGTGGGGGAGACGTAGACGTCTTCTTTATTTTATAGCTTTTGTGAAAAAAGTATGGATAGACCCATTTATATAGTGTAGAAATGGTACTAGTAGCATGTACCACTAGAAAGGAAGGAAGGAAGGATGAAAGAACAGCAGAAGTAACAACAACAAAACACCCAACAACAACAAAAGAAGAGGAGGAGGAGGAGGAAGATAGTTCTCTCTTTGTCCATTTAATAAGAGAGAAAGGGAAGATAATGAGAAAGGATTGGAAAAAGAAGGTGATAAAATGAGTAGACATGGTGTATCATGCCACCTAAAAGTACCCTGATTGATCCAATGCAAAGTCCATTTCTGGGATAAATATGGAAGCAGTAAAATGGGCTCTAATAAATTCTGGAACTAGAGATGAATATGTTACTCCCTTGGTGTTCTTTCTCAGAAAATCCTGCAAACAGACTTGAAAACTATGTACTCTGTCCAGCAATTAATAGTCATTTTAAACTCCTTTATGTAGGTCTACAGAACCTGGTGCTGACCTATGTCAATGCCATCAGAAGTGGAGAACTGCCCTGCATGGAGAATGCCGTCCTGACTTTGGCCCAGATAGAGAATGCAGCTTCAGTGCAAAAGGCCATTGAGCACTATGAAAAACAGATGAACCAGAAGGTGCAGCTGCCCACGGAAACCCTGCAGGAGCTGCTGGACCTACACAGGCCCATTGAGAGTGAGGCCATTGAGGTCTTCATTAAGAATTCTTTCAAGGATGTAGACCAAAAGTTTCAGAAGGAATTAGGGGTATGTGTGGTACCCCAAACCCTAAGACAAAGAAAAGCCTTTTCTGGGATGAACATTGTCCTTAGCCTCCAATATAGTGATTAGATTCTGCTGGACTTTGATCAAAAAAATAGCACTATAGTTAATCACATTGTCTACAATATTTCATTCATTGCTATGAAAATGCATGGGTGTTTAATCAGTGATGATTTCTCCTTCATTAGCAAGCCCAGATTTTATTGATGGTCAGTAATGACAGTTGAGATCAAGAATTCTAGTGAAGCTAGGTAGTCAATTTCACTAGTAAATAGGTACCTTCATATCTAAATTTCTTTCAGAAAGTAATATTCATAGATATTTTATTCCATTATTCTTTTTACATGTTGAAATACCAATAATTATCATCTCCATCTTTCTTTAGCACCACAGTGACTAAAACCAAACAAAATATTACAGTATCAAAAGGTATATATTCTTTCTCTGAGTACTTCTAATAAAGCCTCTGGTCTGTGTTACCTCATAATCTGACTATAAGCCTCTGAAATTGCTATTGCTTGTCCTGGTTCAGAGACAAGGAATCATTGGTCCATGCGTGTTGAGATCACAAAACAACAGAGTGGCAGATTCAGGAACTCCACAGAAGCCTGATCTGAGCTATCCCTAAAATTAAAGATTTGACAAGACAAAGGCTTCATATTGAATAGTATTTGTGCTTGGATAATTGTTTCCTGAATCAGGAAGGTACGCAGTAGTAGGGGAACAGGAAGATGCCTTCAGGAAATCACAAACTAAATGACCAGTTTCTGCAGGAACACCATGATTTCTTATAGTGAGGTGAAGAGCATGACCACATTTACACATTCTTCTGAAGTCTGTGGTGTAGTGTCTCCCTCCTCTCAATCATCTGTGTGATTTTTGTCCTTACCCAGGAGCAGTTGGTAGAAAAGCGAGATGCCTTTATTAAGAAAAACATGGATGTGTCATCAGCTCGTTGCTCAGATTTCCTGGAGGATATCTTTGGTCCTCTGGAAGAAGAAGTAAAGCAGGGGACATTTTCTAAACCAGGAGGTTACTATCTCTTTCTTCAAAGGAAACAGGATCTGGAGAAAAAGTATAACCAGACTCCTGGAAAGGGGCTCCAGGTAAACTGGGTTACTCAGTACCATTTTGGGAGGCTTGGTGTAGAATCTCCTTCAAATGCTAGCAAGAACAGGAAAGATGCAGTGGTGATGGACAGTGCCCTTGTCTTAGATTCATCCATGTAGACAATCAATCATGATACAGATAGCAGCTTCTTCTTTGGGAGTACAATTGGACCTCCCATAAATGTTGTGGAATTCATTCGTTCCTTCATTTATTTAACATTCAACAGTGATTTATTTATCCCATGCTTTGAGTGCTTCTTGTGGTGCCAGTGTTACTTAATTTAAGGAATAAACAAAACCAAACCAAAAGTAGCTAGAAAGTTCTTGCTGACAGCCACTAAGTAATGCAAGCTCACAGACTAGTAATAATGGTAGTAATTGCAGTAGACACATAGATGGTCCTCATTGTTTTCTAGAGGTTAGTTCACTGAGTTCTGACACCAATTCTATGAAGTATTTATTATCGTCTCATGAAGAGAAAAGGGAAATTGTGGCAGAGAGAAGTTAAGATCTCACCCAAGATGATATAGTCGATGAGTACTACAGCTTGAATAAAAAATCCAAGTTATATAGTCTTTCCCTTTAATGGCTCTAAACTGCCCTACTTAGGTAATAGAGGGCAAGGTAAGATTTAACTACATAATATTTCCAAACATTAATGGCTTTAGAAAAGCTAAATATTTCTTCCCTTCTATATATAAGAAGTAAGGAAGAAAGAGCCCAGCTACTCTAATGACTTGATCATGTTCTTCATTCAAGGCTTTTTTCTTTGTTGTACTCAAGAACTGTACTATATGGTGCCTTTTTCCAGGCTATATCCATGCACTAAAGCCATTACAATCACATATGATTATGTGATTTTTTTTAGATTTTTGAGACAGTATTTTTCTCTGTGTAGCTTTGGAGCCTGTCCTGGAACTACCTCTCATAGACCAGGCTGGTCTCAAACTCACAGAGATCCACCTGCCTCTACCTCCCAAGTGATGGGATTAAATGTGTGCATCACCTTCTATGGTTATGTGATTTTTTTACTATAATTTAATCCTATCCCTGCTGTACAAAGTATATTATATATTCAAAACATATATTTCACCCATGATGTGAGACAGCAAGAAAGTTCAGCTGAGTCTTCAAAGAAGCTAGATAGAGGCACAAATGGCTATGAAGGAAATGAAAATATCAGAAACCAGAAAGATTCCATAAGAATAAACTGATGCTTTTTAAAATTATGTTTAGTCTGTGGCTAAGAAAACATTATCAGGACATAAACTGACAGACCCGAGGCTTGACAAGGCAGCGGGTTTCTTGGAGGGCACTCAAAAAGACCTGATGTTTATTTGAAAAAGTTAGAAAGTCAGTAGTGGGTTTTACCATCACTGCCTTAGTTACTGTTCTATTGAGGTGAAGAGACACCGTGAACAAGGGAAGTCTTATAAAATGAATCATTTAATTTGGGCCTTGCTTACACCTTCAGATGTATCATGATGAGGAGTATGAAGCCACACAGACAGAGAAGCATGGTTCTGAAAGAGCAGTTGAGAGCTTTTCATCCTCACCTGCAGGCAGCAGCCAGAGAGGGGGGGGTGGCTTTTCAATCCTCAAAGTCAGCTCCCAGTGACACACTTCCTCTAACAAGACCACATCTATCCCAACATGGCCACAGTTCCTAACCCTTCTCAAACACATTCATTCTCTGGTGACTAAGAATTCAAATCGGTGAGCCAGGGGCCATTCTCATTAAAACTTCCACAATGCCCTTTCTTGAACTACATGACAATATTCTGGATGCTCTGATAATGGTCTGCAGCAGTCATTCTGGCAGGAGGGAGAGTTGCAGGCAGCCCGTTTAGATAGAGCAGAAGGCCAGTGAAAGTTTCTGGTTAACACTTTAAGAGTGAGACCCATGCCACAAAACAAACTCAATGTTATTATTGTAGACTTTTTTCCCATATTGCTTCGTTTGGGCACTGCTTTTGTCTATTGGTCTTTTGCTTACACATTATGGTTTCCACTTTTGTGTTTTAGTGGGGATTGTCCTCTGTGTGTGAGTTTCTTGGTATTCTTTTTCTTCTTCCTTTTTTGAGGGATTGTTTTTTGTTCACCTGTTTTTATTTCTTAATAAAAAGGGAGAGAAAGAAAGGCATGGGGCTGGGTGGGTAAGAAGGTAGAGAAAATCTGGGAGGACTTAGGGGAAGAAAATATGTGATCAGCATATATTGCATGACAAATTTTTCAATTAAATAATGTGTTTTAAAGCCAAAGTCAACATTAGTAGCTGATGGTAACATGGAATAAATACTTTGAGATGAATAAGACATCAAAGATACAGTTAGATGAATGGAATCATCTGTTAGTGAAGATTAAGCAACTGGAAATGATTGAGTCTGAGGGGATCTTCAGTTGATTTTAAAACCTTCAACTTGAAATACTGTTTGAATCACAAAGTATTTCCTCATAGTTGATAGCATTAAATTGGATTAAGAGATGTATGCATGATTTGTATTCAACTCATATTTTTATTACCTCATTCTAATTTCTTTTGACACCTAGGCTGAAGAGACGCTGAAAAAATACTTTGAGTCCAAGGAGGCCATGATGGATACACTTCTAAAGATGGATCAGTCACTCACAGAAAAGGAAAAGCAAATTGAAGGTGAGAGAAATTATTGGCATGTGATGCAATATCGGGCCATGTGAGGTCATCATTGTAGAGAATAATGACAAATGTCTCTTAGCTCCATGGTGGCTATTTTTAGATTGGTAGATGTAGTCATCTCCATCCTTGTTAGCTGGTTTATGGGGCAAATATTCTACAGGAAATTTTTGTTAATAATAGGACTTTTTTTCCTAAAATGGTAAAAGACAAAAGCAGCTAATAGATTTCACTTTTTGTGTTCTTTGCTTTTTATTTTCTCAGGAGAACGTATAAGGGCTGAAGCTGCAGAGGCTGCAAACAGAGAATTGAAGGAAATGCAAAAGAAGCATGAGCTGATGATGGAAGAAAAGGAAAGGAGTTACCAGGAGCATGTGAAACAGCTGACTGAGAAGATGCAGCAGGAACGGGAAGAGTTAATGGCAGAGCAACAGAAAGTCATAGCCCATAAACTTCAGGTACCTGACTACACCGTTTTAATTTTCAGTTTTACAGTCCAATCCATCCATCCATCCATCCATCCATCCATCCATCCATCCATCCATCCATCCATCCACACATCCATCCATCCACAATGTATATCAAGAGCCTGAGGCATTAGGTTCAAAGGGCCAAGGCTTGTCTGGATTGTGAATGGAGACTCTGACCACAAAATACAAAGGAAATAACACAAAATCCCCCAAAGTGGAATATTCTCATCCCCTGACTACTTTTTCTCCAGCCACCTCTGGCCCTTTAAGGCTGTCTATTGCTGGATGAAATCCTTTATCTTGGAATCTCTATTAAACAGTAGTTTTGAATCGTAGATCCTATTCATGTGTTGTATAGAATTTCTGTGACTGAATCTTCAACTAATCTTTCAAGGATAATCTCTTTTTCTCATGTGCTAGGTGGAGAAGTTGTATTTTTTCTACATGTAAAATGATTTTTTTGCACCAAACTATATGATATAATATCCAACTCCATTCTGTTCTACTGAATGGAGCCCACTCCTGCCACAGCTAGCATGACCTTATCTCTGGAAGCATCCTAAAGAGCAGAGACAGTCCTAAACCACCAAGAAAATGGTTAAATGCTCACAGGGCCAGGGACACCCTGTTTTCTGGGTGTCCCTCCACATCTGTACCTAGGCTCCATGGATGTTAATAAAAACACCGCCGTTGCTTCAATGTACTTCCTCTCCCATCTTGGACACCAAAATTCTGGATGTATTCTGAATTCTTTGATTGAATGCTTGCCCTAATTCTGAATGAGTCAGTAAGACTCCACTTGGTTTTTTGGCCATATTTATCCCCTTCTTAGATGTGTCTGTGAGTCTACACCACACAGATAAGAGATGAGGCAAGAAAGACAGAAGCTGTTGTTGGTTTTATAGAAAATTGTGTTTTATGTGAGTCGAAGGAACCCATAATGGGACCTGAGAGTTGTGGGAACTGTTAGTGTTTCTAAAGCTGGAGAAAGCATAAGAAATCTATTGCCATAAGTAGGAAATGGGTAGAGAAATTATGAACGTTAAGGAAAAAAATATTTTGAGAAAAAATGTCAAATTTCTGCCAGGGTGTAGTATAACTTTCAAAGAAAGGCTTGTGAGATCCTCTGAGGAATACAGGAACCTGAGTTCAATCTCCATCTCTATTTTAGGAACAGGAACGGCTTCTCAAGGAAGGATTTCAGAATGAGAGCAGGAAACTTCATCAAGAGATAGAGAAAATCAAGAGCAGTAAGGCACCTTCAGCATGCACCATATTCTAAAATTCAAACCAACTTCACCACTTTACCCAGGTCTTACTCATCAAGGAATTTTCTGCTGGGCCAACTTTGGACTGTGAAGCAACTTGACATTGAGCTATACTATTGTGCTGGGAGGAGGGTGAAAATAAAATTAACAAAGTCCTGTTCTGCCTATGAAGTGATTCGGGTCATGTTTATATTAGAACTAAAAAGCAATATGAGCTTTCATTGCTTCTTATATTTGATTGGAATTTTTTATTGCACAGTGATATGGCAGGTCTCTTTAGATATACCTTTTGTGTCATACACACCACCTTTTGGATATGTGTCAATGCATGCTCACAAGAAATGAAGAACTTCCCTTTGTCCTAAGCTGAGATTGGCATGAGGAAAATGTAAGGAAAATGTGACATAGGACACAGTGGAGATTCATACCTGTTCTGTGCTCCCCGGATCTCATGATGTCTGCTGACAAGGGTAGCATGGACCCTGATATTTGTTCCAAGTGTAGACACTGGGGAGTCTCAATGTGGAAAGGGGGTGTGGCTGCTGGATGAGTAGAGAAGGACCATAGGACAGTGGCAGAGAAAATTTCCCTCCATGCAGAATGCAAGTGTGAGTGGAAGTTTCCCCTGCTCTATTTAGAAGCCTTGTGCCACGCCCACTGTGCAGCCTGTATCCAGGAATGTGTCGAGGGTGTCGGGATTGATGACACAGAAACCAGTCGGTTGCGTAAAGAAAACTTTATGCTCCCCAAGAAGGCTCAAGAGAAGTTCCCAAGAAACGCTTCCCTCCGGAAAAGCTTCTGCCATACACACTTTTTCTGATGATACCTTAACTTACAGAATAATGGCGTTGGTAGAGTGTTTCCAAGTTGCGGGTCTCACCCCTCTCATGGAATATAGAAACATAAAAATACCTTCAGTATAATTCTTTTGCTTTTGCTGTCCTCTAACCTGGGCTTTGATGGATGCAATTCTGATGATACCTTAACTTACAGAATAATGGCGGTGGTAGAGTGTTTCCTCAATACACTTTTAAAGGCATGCTTGTATCATGTGGGCTTGTCGAAATGGTTCAACACTTGTATATGGAAAACAAGAATCAGGCCTATTGTCTGATTAGAGTTAGGTCAGATGGAACGTTTTAAGTGCTGGTCAGTGTGTGCATCAGCATGAGGGTTGATTAGGTATCTCCCAGTGGCCGTTTCCAGATAGTGGGATATTCCAAAGGCTCACAGACATCTCAGAGGTTTAGGGCTGGCAGTGGCTTTCCTAGGCCTCTCACATGTTATTTCCACTTAGCGGTTATATGTCCCTGACACCAGAGTCAGCAGCAGCAGGAGCAGGGGTTGGGAAGAGGCGGCTAGCCATTGTAAAGATTAAAGTCAGGGTGTTTCAGTGAGGGAGCCCTTATCAGGAACTTTTAGCTCCAGTAAACATTTCTTAGGGCACTGGATTGTTTTCAGTGAACATGTTTTCAATAAACATTGTCTCACAGCTGCCTGCTCCCAGGCTGATGGGGAAGTGGGCCTCAGGCCAAGGTCTGTTGTTCCCACATTGCTGCCTTGCATCATGCTCCAGCCAACTGTGTTTCCTTTCTAATCTCCCTCTTTTTAATATTTTAAAAGTTTTTCTCCTCCGTACAGTTTTAGAATGGCTTCTACAAACACAGAATGGGCAACTCAAAATAAATTCCTTTCTATTCTTCCAAGGATCATGACCACAGACCCATCTGTTCTGAAACTCACCTCCATTTTTATCTGTGTCCCAATACTGTGACATCATTTGTAAATCTGTGAGGATAAATGCATCCTCCAACAAAGCAGAAGCACAGGTTAAGTGAAATCTGTTAATAAAAAATGGTCAGCCTACTGTGATTGTTTCAAATGTTGCTACACCTTGTTCATAAGGTGAGAAAATCCTCTTCTCAGTTTTAATAAGCAGGGAGTTGATTTGAAGAGTGTTAGCTTTCACACTGTGACAGTGGCTCTGCATCTTAACATTTAGAATAAAAGCACCACATAAAACAAGTGTCCAAGTTGTGGGTCCAGATAGTGGGACATTCCAAAGGCTCACAGACATCTCAGAGGTTTAGGGCTGGCAGTGGCTTTCCTAGGCCTCTCAGATGTTATATCCATTCAGGGGTTTAGAGAACGGGCTCTGATTCACTGTCTTAAGGGAGCAGCTACAAAGAAGACTGGAGAACCTGCCCCTCAGCTTAGAAACAAAGTGCTGCACAGAAGACTGGAAAACCAGCCCTTCTAACCTTAGAAACAAACATGCTACAAGGATGACTGGAAATCTGGCCCCTAGGCTTAGAAACAAACCAAAAATCCTTTTTGTTAACCCTTAAGCTCCATAAGATTGACAAATACTCAAGTGGTGCTAAATTGTTTGGGGATTGTATAATGTTAATAGATTATAATGTTAACAGATTTTACTAGTCCAAAAGGAAAACAAACCAGCTGATTTCTAGGCATTTGAGATGCTTAAAAGAACTCAGACTCACTTTCACTTTGCAATATTTTCTCCCCCTCCCTCCCTCCCTCTCCCCCTCCCTCCCTCCCTCTCCGCCTCCCTTCCACCTCCCCTCCCTCCCTCCCTGCTTCCATTCCTGCTTTCCTCCCTCTCTCCTTCCTTTCCTTCTCTCTCACTGATCCTTCTAACTCTACCCTTTTATTTCTTTCTGTCTCTATTCTTTCATAGTATAGAGAAATGGGCTTTAAATAAATCCATACTCTACTCTGAATTGTACAATCTCTTGCTACCTTCATGCAGCTCAGTGGGGTTGGGGCAACTTCCCAAAACAAACACTAATGGCCTAAAGGAGCAAAAGGTAACAGGGGGCGACTTTAAAACCAAGCCCTCCTCAGTAAATGCATCACTTTAGCTCTCTAAAGACGCACATAAACTCTGGGGTTCAAGCCACCATTTATCAGTCTGTAGTTGATCCATGTGAGGCCTTTGTATTGGCACACCCCTCCCTCCTCTCCAGTGGTTGAATCATTTCTTCAGTTCAGTGCTTTCTGCTTTCACTTTCATCTTCCTAAACACAGCTCTTTTTATCGAGCTAACTCCTCCTAAGTTCTGTGGTGAAAATCTGGAACTTCCTAGGCTGCTGCAGAGGGCAGGAGCTCACAGTGCCTGTGAGGACAGTGCTCTGCAGCCAGACTCAAAAGCAAAGCTGACAGCATCTGGCACTTCACTCGGGCTGCTTTCTCTGGGACAAACGGATTTGCTTCAGGTAAGACTTTACCAGACTGTGACTCTGTACGGGAAAGACTTTACCCGATTGTGACTTTACCCTAAAAAGACCTCTTCATGGGAGGCTGAAACTGAGACAGGCATGAGTGGGACAGATCACTTGAATCCCAGCGCTGGTTAACAGAGGTAGCTTTTACTCTTAGTGTGCAGGCCCCACTATGGTGAATTAATTAGGCTCTTCTAAGGGGGAGTCCACAGAAAAGATTATGATTTTTTTGTTAAGTTGATATTCTTTCGTGGTACCATTTTTGATTATGTTTACAGTCTAATGAAACTCAGACAAATCTCCGCTACTTGTTGCCAAGGTCTACCTATTGTAAAGTTAGGCGACCTGGAGTTTGTAAAAAGAGACAATTCCCCCACTGATAATTTAGGAAGTTACAAAACCTTTGTGTAGTTTTAATAAGTATATATGTATGTAAGTATATATGTATGTATACATACTTTGATATTTCATATGTGTAATGTGTTTGTTTTTGTTTTTTTGTTTTTGGAGACAGGGTTTCTCTGTATTGTTTTGGAGGTTGTCCTGGAACTCACTTTGTAGACCAGGCTGGCCTCGAACTCACAGAGATCCACCTGCCTCTGCCTCCTGAATGCTGGGTTTAAAGGAGTGTGTAATGTGTTTTTTATTGTATATAATGTGTACAATATTCCCTCATATCACCCACCCCACCTCTCTAGCTCCATTCTCTTCCCTGTTTCATGTCCTCATTGAGTCAAGTTATTGTGGTTCCTTTGGATATGGGCACAAGGACATCTACTGGAGGTTGGGTAAATTACCAGGGACCATAACACTGAAGAAAACTAACCCTTTGCCCTAGTCATCAACTGCCAAATAGTTCCTAAACTACACCCAGAATTTCCGGAGCCTCTCACCCACCCATAGTGGAATTTTGGCTGCTGGGATTCATGCAGGTTTTCTTTGTTGCTGTTGTTTTTTGGGACAGGGATTCTCTCTGTATCCCTGGTTGTCCTGGAACTTGTTCTGTGGTTCAAGCTGGCCCCAAACTCAGAGATCTGCCTGCCTCTGCCTTCAGAGGGCTGGGATTACAAACAAGTACCACCACCACCTGGCTTTATGCAGGTTTTCTAGAGGCAGCCACAGCTTCTGTGACTTTGGGAGTTCGAAGGCCCTAGCATGTTTCAGAAGACACTGGTTCACCTTACAGCAATGAGTGTCCTCTGTGTGTTATTTTGGCATAAGTACCACTGTGCACTGAAAGGAACCAAAGCTTTGGGAGGAATGCTCAACTATGGGGCAACACAGGGAAAACTGGAGATGGCTCTGAAGGAGTCTGTGGTGCAGGAAAGGACTGCAGCACCATGAATGTGATGAAAGACTGCCAGCCAAATACTGCGTCCAGCTGAAGGAGCCTCAGTGAACACAGGGTACATGCCAGGAAGTAAAATAAAGAATCATCACACAGTACTAAGGCACACAGAACAGAATAAATACCTAGGAGTCCATACTGATGCAATCGAATGAATGAATGATTTAATGACTGTAAGTAGGAACAATACTCCTACTCACTGTAGACCTCCAATTAATAAGAGGCATGATAAGAGTGGGCAGTGATCTTTAGCAAATGAAGTGGTTAATTTAGAAGCTTGGATTATTATTAGATACTAAAAGTAGTGACCAAAGCCACGAAGTATAATAAAGTTACATGTGCTGACTTTTAAACGTGTCTCTCTAGCTGGGTGATGGTGGTGCACAGCTTTAATCCGGAGGCAGAGGCAGGTGGATCTCTGTGAGTTCAAGGCCAGCCTGGTCTACAGAGCAAGTGCCAGGATAGGCTCCAAAGCTACACAGAGAAACCCTGACTCAAACAAACAAACAAAGTGTCTCTCTAATTGATAACTTTCAAAATCTCTCCTTGTTTTTGTTTTTACACTTAAAAAACTGTTTTATTGCTGTATATATTAATGGGTTTCCTTAAGACAATGTATATTATTGTGTCTCACCTATATTGGCCTCCCCAGTATAGCCCATCTCTCCTTACCTAAATGTCCTCATAGTTTTCATCTCCCCAGATAGTTCCTCCCAGGCTTTTATGGAATGGTGTTTGTGTGTTTATGCACACATTCACGCACCTAAGGGTAAAATGTGTGCTACTGTGCCTTTGTTCCTCCTGTCACACTTTTTCACTTTTTCCTCCATCACTATCTCTCTCTTCCCTTCAGAACTGTTCCTCCTTTCTCATTCTTGCTCTTCTAACTTCCTGTGTCTGAACACATATTTGTAAACATAAGTTTAACTATATTCAAATTTAGATTTCACGAATGAGAGAAAATATGCAATGTTTCTTTTGCTCAGTCTGGCTTATTTTGCTTCACATGGTGATCTCTATTCTCGTCTATTATATCCGCAAATCATATACCATCATCTCACCTTATGGCTGAATAGATCTCTACTGGGAACATGCACTATGCTTTCATTTTTTCATTCATCTGTTGATGGACAGCTAGACTGGTTCTATAGTGCAGCAAAAAAATGAAGATGCAAGCATCTTTGACTTATAATCCATATATATATATACATATACATATATATGTGTGTGTGTACATATACACAGACACACAGACACACACACACCAATACACACACACACACACACACACACACACACACACACACACATACACACACATATCCAGAAGTGATAGTTGGTCACCTGGCAGTTCTAAGTTTTTTGAGGAACCTCCATACTGCTTTCCATGGTAGCTGCACCACCACCAATGGATAAGGGTTCTCTTTCAACCCCCTTGAAAGCACTTGTTTTTTTTTTCTTTATGCTACACATTATCAGTGGAGGGAGAGGGAACCTCGATATATTTTAACCTTGTATTTCCCTTGTAACTAAAATTTTAGACATTTTAAAATTATTTTTTCCTTCAGTATATGTTTTCATTTAAATTAGAAACATGGATGCTTCATATGTCAATCACAGCTCCCTCTCCCACCCCTTCTCCCTTGTCCCTCCACCAGCCCCTCTAGCCCCCCACCCAATCCCCATATGATTCCCCAGGGAGGGTGAAGCCCTGCTTGGGGGGATTTCCAAAGTCTGTCATTTCATCCAGGGAAGTACCTAGTTCCTTTCCCATGTGTCCAGGCTGAGAGAGCATCCCTCTATTTAGAATGGGCTCCCAAAGATCATTCATACACCATAGCAAACACTGATCTATTACCCAAGGCCCCAGTGATTTCTGTGGCCTAATTTTAAACTTTTTTTTCCAAATATTTATTTGCTGTTTGAGTGGTAATTTTGGTTACAAAACAGTAAATATCATGGGGCTGATCCAGACCCCCTGAATGTGGGTGTCAGTGAGGAGGCCTCAGCAATCTATGGGGCCTGAAGTAGTAGATCAGCATTTATCCCTGGTGTATGAATGGACTTTGGGAGCCCATTCCACATGGAGGGATGCATTCTCACCCTGGACTCATGGGGCCTAGGCCCAGCCCCTGAAGATATGACAGTCTTTGGAGATCCCCCATGGAGGGCCTCACCCTCCCTGGGGAGCAGAGGGGGGATGGGGTAGGGAGCTGGGGCTACTTGGGGGGTGGAAGAGGAGGGGAGGAAGAGGGAGAGCCACTGGGATTGACATGTAAAGCAAGCTTGTTTCTAAGTTAAATAAAAAAAAATCCAGTAAACAGTTCTTAACTGAGAGATCACATTCAAAAGAGTAATATCAGAGGAAGTCATGTCACCATCATTAACCCTTTGATTGGATCAGTGAAGATCTCAGAGTACCAGTCCTGTCATCTTCTTGCCCAGTATTTGCCCATGTAGTTTCAAACTAGTATTAAGGAAACAACTAAAAAATATAACTGAAAGGTACTCTACAAAATGACTATGATATACTCTCCCAGGGTGTGAAATAGTGAAGGATAAAGAAACAATAAGGATCTAGTGAAGATGAGAGGAAGTTAAAGAGATGTGAGGACTAATGGGAAATCCTGGATTAGATCACAAAGTAGAAAAAGGACATTAGTAAAAACCTTATTTAAGAAAAAGTGGAGGTATAATATGTAGCTTCAGCGAGGGTGTTGTATAAAGGTTGAAAGCCTAGTTAGTTACCACACTGTGTGTATGCAAAATACTAGGATTGGACAAAGCTGAGGAAATGGTATATGCAGCCTTTTAAACCCATTATAGCTTTCAAGTTGTCTATGAACCTCAGACTAGTTGTATTTAAATAGAAGTAGTGAACCATCTATAGGGTAGCCATAAATAGTCCCAGAACTTTTAGAAGTGCACAAAGAACATAGTTCAAAACAGGAAAATTTTAGTACATACTATATCGTTCCTGTGATTGTCTAGAAATTGTTGTCCAATTGCCTTCTTAGAGACAAAAGAGCATGCTGGACATGGCCTCAGAGATCCACATGCTGGAACCCATGTGTCTCATTGAGAACACTGAGGAGCAGCTTGTCATCAATCAGCAGGCTCTAGGGATCCTGTCTGCGATCACACAGCCAGTGGTGGTGGTGGCCATCGTGGGCCTCTACCGCACAGGAAAATCCTACCTGATGAACAAGCTGGCTGGGAAGAAAACAGGTGAGTGCCACCAACACAGCTGTGCTGGGTCCTTTATGTTCACCCATGTAGGCAGCCTCCTAAAAGCAGTTGTAAGGAAACATGTCAGACAGTGGGAAGAATATGAAAAGACAATGTCAATCTATCAGCGGAGTTTATTTTTGCTGAATTATCCTCTACTCACTGAACAGTACGCTTGTTTGCCAACTGAAAGTTGTAGTTATGTTTTAGTGCAAGAACAAATACAGTCACTGAGAAAGCTAACTTCCTTAATGATGAATTAGAAAACAGTCATTAGGCTGTCTATATAGCAGGAGCAAATATCTAGCACTAAGGAATGAATGTATTGACCAGTATTAGATATTTCAAGTACCCTATTTGTAGGGTAGTAATTGAAATCAATACTTGAAGTTGTTTTACAATTTAAAAAATAACTACATTAGTTTTCAACTCAACATCAGAAGCACCATTATTTAATCCCTTCCCCCCTTCCACGCCCATTTTGCTTTGCAGGCTTCTCTCTGGGTTCCACAGTGCAGTCTCACACCAAGGGTATCTGGATGTGGTGTGTCCCTCATCCCCAGAAGCCAGGTTACACCCTAGTTCTGCTTGACACCGAGGGCCTTGAAGATGTTGAGAAGGTAAAAATAAATCTTTAAGATTCTATTTGTATCTTACTAACAGCTCACTTTGTAGTACCCATCCAACTCCAGATTTATACATTTAAATAATTAAATAATATCCTATTCTTCAAGTGTGTTCAAGAGCCAAGAATAGTGGATTAGAACTTAGATAGCTAATGATATTTTAGTCATTTATTCACACCAAAAGATTATTTTTGTTTGAAACACTAATGATACCCTGAACTTGCCTGTACACATTATAAACATTACTGAATATTCAGTGTGGGACCATGATAAAAATATAATGTTTGAAATTCTCAAAAAATTAATAATATATGTTTTAAAAGAAGAGTCATTTCCACATAGGACTATTAGTAAGAGAATGACAGTGTAAGATCTGCAACAATATCTTCATTCATAAAGAACACGTGTTACTACTCTTCCGAAGCTGAGACAAATAACAAAACTCTTATTGAAGGAACTTACTTTCACATGTGCTTAAATATCCCTTGCCATACTATGTCCTGTTAATAAAGCTCAACATGCCAGTTTAGATTTAACCACTGGTCAACATTATGACCTTTAAGTGTGGATATCCTTCATGCTCTCATACATCCAGGTGTACATTTTCTTATAGAAATTGTAGAGCATGAGTTACATATTCATAAAATCATTGAACAGGTAGACAATTATTATGTAGAAGCAATGACTTACTTTTGATGCCATAGCTAATGGGGGACAGATAAAGGCCCATCTTTGGCTACTTAAATTGATGGACAGCCTCTTAGTCACTCTTCTTGACTCATTGACCTGCAGGGAGACAACCAGAATGACTGCTGGATCTTTGCCTTGGCAATCCTACTCAGCAGCACCTTCATCTACAACAGCATAGGAACCATCAACCAGCAGGCCATGGACCAACTGCAGTATCCTTTTTGTGTGGTCTAGAACAGTATTAAAGCTAGGAAGAACAGCTTCATTATTTCATCAGATAGGTAGACAAACATCCTTAGTATTTCTAAGTCATTAACCAATGCCTTTATACTAATCATGTGAGTTTGCCTCAGTTTCCTCAACAAGTTCAACCCCTTAAGTTATTCATTGCAATCAACCTAGTGGCACACTGTTGAGAATATCCCAATCTAACTAATAGCCTGCATTTGTCCAAAACCTCAACGTGATGCAGAACCCATTTTCTCAATAATCACTATTATCATTATCTCTAAATGTTACTTATCTCCTGACTACACACAGAATGCTATAGGTAATATTTATCCTGCAAACCCATAAAAAGATCTGCGACGATGATTGCTTTATAGCCTCCAGTGTCAGTCATCTATGCTTCTCCAATCTACAGCTCAGCCACTTGTTCATTCTTCTGCCATTGGAAAGATGATCTCCTTGGAAGCCAAGGCTCTCCAACCACATCACCTTTCTTTGCAGTCTTTTATCAGCCCCTGACCCACACAGACTTTGCTTGCTGAAGATTTTAAGCCCTACTGTTGGGAGACTGGTAAACAATAGACACCTGTTTTCACTGTTCTCTCCCAGGTCTTTCTCCTCTTATCTTTTCCATCTACTTTCCTGATTACCCACCCGTGTCAGTATCAGTGGTGTAAGAATTTCTATGAACTTAACTTTGGGTATCATACTGTATTCTTTTACATATCACTATGCTCATTCAGAAGTCATGTTATTTCATCTCTTACGGACATTTCAAAAATCAATTGTGTTTCTCTTCTGAACCACTTTGTTCTTGCATCTAAAACTTCTTAATTTTCTAATATTCTATTTCCTTCTCTGGAACACTGTTGGTTATTGCTTTGCTGTATATAGCTTTTATTATGTTTAGGTATGTTTATGTTATCCAAGATCTCTCCAAGACCTTTATCATGAATGGGTGTTGGATTTTCCAAAGGCTTTTTCAGCATCTAGTGGGATGATCATATGATTTTTGTTTCTCAGCTTGTTTTTATGTTGGATTACACTGATGGATTTTCATATATTGAACCATCCCTGCATCTCTGGAATGAAGCCTACTTGATCATGGTGGATGAGTTTTCTAATGTGTTTTTGGATTTGATTTGCCAGTATTTTTGTCATCTTTTGAAATACCATCATGTCTACTTCTTCTACCTTCAACATCTATTGATGGCTTCCTACTTACTAGAAAACAAACATGAACCTTCTTACTTTGTCCTTCATAATTTGTATGTCCTGGCATGTGTTTCTTTATCACTTGTACTCTATGGACCAGAGTTCATGTATGTGTCAGAGGTACACATGCTTTTCAATCAAAGGCATTTTGAGTACTCTCTGGAATGTTCTCCAAGTAGAAGTTTGAATGTTTTTATTTGCCTGTGTTTGTGCAAATCAGGTCCCTCTAAGACCAGATTTTTTATATATCCTGAAACTTGAATCTGGGAACTGAACTGCTCCTAACAACTGAGTCATTTCTCTGGCCTCTCCACTGAGGCTTTCATGAATGACTCCTCTAATTCCTTTAGATTTCTGCTAATCAGGGACTTCAGAAAGCACATGAAGTTCTCTGAGTAACTAGGCATACACAGTTATTATCTAGTCTTTAGATTAAAGCCTTTGCTACATCAAAATGCTAGTAAATATCTAAGATTTTAAAATATTTTATCTACCTGTTTTTGTTTCTGTATTCATCTGGTACAATGTAAGTCCTATAATAGCAGCATCCTTTCATTAATTTTTTTCCTTTTTTTCAATTTAAGTTAGAAACAATCTTAATTCACATGTCAATTCCAGCTAACTCTCCCTCCCCTCCTCCTCTGCCCTCTCCACCAGGTCCCCCAGTCCCTCACCCAGTCTCCACTTCGATCCCCAGGAAGGGTGATGCCCTCCATGGTGGATATCCAGTGACTGTCATTTCATCCAGGGCAGGGCCTAGGCCCTCCCCCAAGAGTCCCAGCTGAGAGAGTATGCCACATTATGGCATGGGCACTCAAAGTCTATTTGTACGCCAGGGATAAATACTACCCAAGGCCCCATAGACTGCCTAGGCCTTTCATTTATTTTAAAAATTATTTCCTGGAACTGTACCTGATTCATATCAGGGGCTCAACAAATGTGTGCAAGTGATTAATGTCCTAGTTTCCTTTCTGTTTCTGTGGTAAACGTTATGACCCAAAGCAACTTGGAGATGAAAGGGTTTGTTTGGTTTATATATTACAGTCTAGCGTCAAGAGAAGCCAAGACAAAAATCCGGAGGCAGAGACTAGAGCAGAGGCTGAGAAGGACTACTGCCTACTGGGTTGCTTTTTGTGACTTACCCTACTACTTTTCTTATACAAACAGGGAACACCTGTCTAGGAATGGCACCACACACTGGGCACTGGGGCTTCTTAAATCAATTAGTAATTGAGAAAATGTCCCCACAGGCATATCTACAGGCCTGGCTGATAGAGTAATTCCTCAGTTCAGGTATTTTTCTCCCCATGTATCTCCAGTTGTGTCAAGTTGACAAAATCTAACCAACACCATTAAAAACAAAAAGAAAATATTAATTTGGGGATGGATGTGTAGAATATTTAACATAAAATAGTAAACTTGCTTTTATAGTTTTCTTAATTTACAATCTCAGCTATGTGACAGAGCTGACTGATCTAATCAAATCAAAGTCATCACCTGAGCAGAGTGATGTAGATGACTCAGCTAACTTTGTAGGCTTCTTTCCAACCTTTGTGTGGGCTCTGAGAGATTTCTCCCTGGACCTGGAAGCTAATGGAAAACCCATCACTGCTGATGAATATCTGGAACATTCATTGACCCTGAAAAAAGGTACCTGGGCTTGGTGGAAAACAATTTCATAAATGCAATTTCTGCACAGTTGACACAGGTCTCTATTTTGTAGTTGTGTTATTCTGACAGTTGTTGTAGGAAATGAAACACAACTTCACTGTATCATTTGAACTCCATGTGAAATTTCACAAGCTACTTCTTAACAAAACGGTGTTTTCTTTCTTATTCCTTTAAGTTTGTATCATTAATCTGTTTAAGGTGTTTTTTTTTTTAGCTTACATAGGCTTTTAGAAGTTATGGAATTGGAAGTGTCATATATTGAAGTAATTCATTTGAAGTTTACTATATCTTATTTTCATTTTTGCAGGATCTGATAAGAAAAGTAAAAGCTATAATGAGCCTCGGTTCTGCATCAGGACATTCTTCCCAAAGAGGAAGTGCTTTGTCTTTGACAGGCCTGCTCAGAGGAAGTATCTTTCCAAACTAGAGACAATTAGAGAAGAAGATCTTAGTGGTGAATTTGTAGAACAAGTTGCAGAATTCACCTCCTACATCTTGAGCTATTCCAATGTCAAGACTCTGTCTGGTGGCATCATAGTCAATGGGCCACGTAAGTCTTCCCCTGTACTTCCAATCTGGGCTTGTCGTCTGCTCGTTGTAGGATATGTCATTGAAAATGTGGTGCATGCATCACATGACGGAATTTACTTAGGAACTAAGGCCATTACTCAGCATCTCATATCTGTAATACAAAAAGGGAAATTGAGAAACAAACTAAAATCTAATCCAAACCTAGAAGCCTTTTCCCCTCATCCATGGTTCCTACTTATAAAAAGGATTGTTAAAGGTTAGAAAAACATGAAAATTCCCTATATGGAATTTGTCACTACAATTTTTAATGTACAAACAAAATGTTTAGTAACGACTTTAAAGAGCCAACTATTGGGTTTAATAAGTCACATTCCATCATAATTACAACAGAAAAACACTTTAAAAGAAAACAAAAAACCCAACCATTCATAGTGATAAATAATAGTTCACAAATTAATAAGGAGTGGCTACATGGGAGCCAGACGTCTAGGTAAGGGACATAAGTCCATGGGCACAGAGAACACATTGGTTTTCTCAAGTTGAGTATGGTGAGAAGTTGAAATGGGTGTGAGGTACCCACAAGGACATTGGGTAATACCTGAGGTACTAATGTAACAGGAGAAGGCCCAAAGCAGGACACAACTTTCCAACTTCAACAAAGTAAGAGTCACGTGACTGAGAGAAGGGAGTGGATAAGAGATTCCCCCATTGGAGAAGTGAGCAATGGTGATGTCGTGAAAAGAGACGAACTTGATTTAAGGAAATTACAGTTGGTTCTACGCTCTATGGAGGATTTATCAAGCAGAGATTCTGGAGGACAAGATAAAGTTTTTAAGTTTACATTCGTAACTATCTTGAATATTCTGCATATGACATATTGTCCTGCTATAAAGGGGCAGGAAGATTCCTGGAGTGTGATGCTTTCAATCAATCAGCAAAGTCATGATCAGAGCTAGATGGTGGGCTCATCTATTTACAGCTTTGTGGAGGTTCTGGGCTGGTATCTTCATATAGGAGAAAGACAGGACTGCAAAGATGTAGCACTTTAAAAACAAACAACAACAAAACCAGTATAAAAACAAAACTATCAAATGGCTACTAAAAATTAATGAAAATAAAAAGGTAAATTATGAGAGGAAAGAAACAGATTGAGAATAGAGAGAGAAAGGGATAATAAGATTTGATATCACAACTCTCTTCTCCTAATGCTGGAAGCCATTCAGTCAAACATCTATCTTTGGAACAAATGAAGGAGAATGAAAAAGAGGATTTAATATCCTCTGAATCTTAAGATTAATAAATTACTAAGTTGCTATCCTTTCTCAGATAATCCTGAAAAGTGATGAGTGCTCTTTCTACCAGATAACAGCCATTTTCTTAACTTCTTTGGTTAGGTCTACAGAACTTGGTGTTGACCTATATCAATGCCATCAGAAGTGGAGAACTGCCCTGCATGGAGAATGCTGTCCTGACTTTGGCTCAGATAGAGAACTCAGCTGCAGTGCAAAAGGCCATTGAGCACTATGAAGAACAGATGAACCAGAAGGTGCAGCTGCCCACGGAAACCCTGCAGGAGCTGCTGGACCTGCATAGGCCCATTGAGAGTGAGGCCATTGAGGTCTTCATTAAGAATTCTTTTAAGGATGTAGACCAAAAGTTCCAGAAGAAATTAGGGGTATGTGTGGTACCCCAAGACAAGCATGGGCCTTTTCTGGGATGAACATTGTCCTTAGCCTTCAATACAGTGACACTCAGGGATGTGTACAGATTTGCAATGGCTATTGAAAGATTAGAATATGCTGGAGTTTGATCAAAAAGCATGACACTATAATAAGTTATGTTTTGCACACTCATGCACATGTACACATGCGCACACATGCACACACACACACACTCCATTTTTGTTATTTCCCCACTCTGGAAACAATGTTCTCAGACACTGAGAGAATTACACAACTGCATTTACAAAGGGTTGTTTCATTAGCTTTTTCATAATATAATGTTTTTACTCTTTGAGAATTTTAAGTATAATGTGTTTTTTTCATATTCATTTCTAATGTAGCTTTTATTGTCAAGAATTCACTGCTTTTGTGTTCTGCACTAGCAATGAGTAACTAAGCATAAGAAGGTTTATGGATGTTTTGCCATTTCATCAGTGGCAATGCTTCTCAGATTTCCAAGGCTGGTTTTTATAAAGGACATGTGGCTTCATTCAGAAGTTCTGGGGAAACACGGCAGTCAATGTGAAGAAGACATTGACTACTCCCCGACCTAAAAGAGATACAGAAGTTGATATTTAGTTGCTTTCTTGATATCAAATAGAGAGAGAACTCTTCTGTTATGGTTTCCAAACATAGAAGATCCCCACATATCATCTTCAGTCCTTTCATTATCTGTAAAGAGAGAAAATATAGGGAAATATTCATTTGTGAAAGAGCACTGCATAATCAATTAGCCTCTACTGAGTGTTTCTTTATCATCTCTGGGCTTAGTACTCTGTATTAGCTCATATAGTCTAACAAGAAACCTCTGAGATTAGTGGTGTTACCCCATTCTTATAGACAAGGAAACTTTAGCCCACTAATGACATGTTCATGACGTTACAAAAAAATGGGTTCAGGAAGTCTGCACAGAGTGGCCTATCTTTAATTTATAATCTGAAATATTCCTTCAATTAGTAGCTTCAGTAGATAGACATTTCCTGTGAAGTAGTGACTGTACTCTGGAAATATCTCTGAAGAAGGAGAATAGAGAACAAGGTCTGTAGGAAATCAAATTTGAAGTGTAAATTGCTATAGCCAGCACCCTTTTCAGGGGTATCTTGGATCTCACAGTGAGGTGAAGAGCATGGCCCCAGTTAGTGATTTCCCAGTAGTCGGTTGTGTTATCTCCTTCCTCTCAACAATCTGTGTGATTTTGTCCTTACTCAGGAGCAGCTGATAGTAAAGCGAGATGCCTTTATTAAGAAAAACATGGATGTGTCATCAGCTCGTTGCTCAGATTTGCTGGAGGATATTTTTGGTCCTTTGGAAGAAGAAGTCAAACAGGGGACATTTTCTAAACCAGGAGGTTACTACCTCTTTCTTCGAAGGAAACAAGAGCTGGAGAAAAAATATAACCAGGCTCCTGGAAAGGGGCTCCAGGTAAACTGAGTAGTTGGTACCATTTGAAGGTGCAATGGTGTTGGCGGGGAGTGCCTTTGTCTTACATCCATCTAGGCAGAGAGCTAACCCTGAGACAGATAGCATCTTTCTCCTTGGAAGTACAACAGGACTTCTCAGAAATGTTTATGGAATTCATGCATTCACTCAACTATTCAGGCATCTAATCATCTAAAATGATTTGTTTGGCTTTGTGTGTCAATAAATTCTCAGGTTGCTAGAGATAAGAGGATTAACAAAAAAGAAGGAAAACTAATTAAAAGTTATGTTCATTCAAAGTACTTTAAGAATGAAGTAATTTGAACCCATGAACAAATGTCATTTATCTGTTAGCCCTTAGATAGTTCTCCCTGTACTTCAGAAATGTATTCTCTTAATTCTCACACCATCACAGAAACCGTGCATTACTAGGGTGCCATAAAGAGAAACAAACACGAGGCATAGTGAAGCAGAAGCCTTGCTTAAGATCACACAGCTAAGAATCAGCAACTCTTGAGTGCAGTACCAGCTGGCATCATCTGTATCCTTCATCTCTAGACTACTCTATGCTGATATTAGAGTTCAAGTTTGGGTTTGACTTTGCGTTTTTTACAAACAACAATGTCATTTAAATGACTAAACATTTCTTCTTTTTCTTGTGTACAATAAGTCATATTGGAATAACCCCGTGCTGCTGTGGTGGCTTCATTACCTTCTTGTTCAAAGGCGTCTTGCTTTGTTTTCAAGAATATTAGTCTAGGGACTCTGCCTCCAAGCTGTATCCATGCTCTCAGACAACACTGGAGCATCAGGCTTTTCTTCAAATTTATGCCATGGAACAAAAAGGAAGGACAAAGGACAAAAGGATGGTGCTTCAACTCCTTTTAAAATTTTAAGGCACACCATAACACTTTTTTGATTATATTCCTTTCAGAAGAATTTAATCCCATGGATTTATAAGAGACACTGTAATTTACTGTTTTGATAAAGTATGAGGTAAAGATTTAACAAAACATTCAAAGAAGTTAGACAGGAAGGGAAGTGGCTATGTACGGGATGGGAATTTTAAACAACAGAACAGGTCCATAAGAGAAAATTAATGTGTATTTGAGGTATAGCAAGAAACCTGTTATTCCAGTAGATGATGTGCAATGCAGAGATTAGCCAGAGATACAGGAGATCACAATACAAATAGGAAGCATCTTAGAGGACACTGGAAAATTTTTGATGCTCATTTGTATGAGCTATAAAGTCATCTTTAAGCACTGGAATAATATGACCGTTCTTAAAGTAACATGGGGAAGTTCTGGTTACCCTGAGATAAGTGATCTACAGTAGTCAGAAAGCAATATCTGGGGCTTTGAGACTTGGATGCTACAGATGGCAATCAAAAAGCTGAGGTTACATTTTTGAAGCTAAAAGTGACATGATCAGTTCATGGTCACGTAAGAGACATGGGAAGCCTGTAAGCAAAGAGATCACATATGCAAGTAGTTCAAAAGTTTTAATAGAGTCTAAAAGATGGGGATATGGAAAGGATTGGATTTGGGGAGGGGCTCTCTAAGTCAGTCTTAAGACCATTAAATATAAGAAGCTCTTTGACTTGTTACATAGCTGGTAACACTAAAGTCAGTAAATAGACACATTGGCTTGTCTTCAACTTATTCTACGCAACTAGGCAGAAGAGACGCTGAAAAAGTACTTTGAGTCCAAGGACGACGTGGCTGAAACACTTCTAAAGACAGACCAGTCACTCACGGAGGCAGCAAAGGAAATTGAAGGTGAGAGCTGTTGAGACTCCAGTGCTTGGAAGCCCTTGATGCATTTAGCAACATTGGTCTATTTGAAATCATCATTGCAGAGAAAGAATCACAAGTATCATTCTTGGTGTTTTTAAATTGGTATATGTGTGAATTTTTAAAGGAGATAAAAAGCGAAAGTAACTCATAACAATTTAATCTTTTTATTCTTTGCTTTTCCTCCTCAGTGGAACGTATAAAGACTGAAGCTGCTGAAGCTGCCAACAGAGACTTAGCAGAGAAGCAAAAGAAGTATGAGCTGATGATGGCAGAGAAGGAAAAGAGTTACCAGGAGCATGTGAAACAGCTGACTGAGAAGATGCAGCAGGAACGGGAACAGTTAATAGCAGAGCATAACAAAATGATAGCTCTCAAACTTCAGGTACTTGATCATATCATCTCAGCAAGTTCCTGTGGGCCAATCAAAAAGGAGCGTATCAGAGTGGTGAAAAAACAGCTTAGTAGCTAAGAGCATTTATTGCTCTTACAGAGGACCCAGGTCTGCTTTTCAGCACCCTACACAGGGCTTAAAAAAGTCCATAACTCTAGTCCCCCTTCTGACCTCTGCAGATACTGCACGTATGTGGAACATTTACGTATATCTCAAGTAAGGCATTCATACACTTAAAATTACACCAATAAAGCTAAAACTCAAACAAGGAAACCAAAAAGCAAGTTTATCAGTAGTCTGAGGCAGGGGGATGACTGGTTCCACGTCAGCCAGAGATATGAAGACTTTCACAATAAAAACTTCTGCAACACCGTAAATAGTTCAGATATTCTGATACATTTTCCTTCCCTCATGACTTATCTTCAGCCGTGTCTAGTGAGTAAGAGCTGTTAATGTCTGGATGAAACCCTTCATTAGGCTATGCATAGACAATGACTAATCAGAGCTGCTTATGTATCTCCTATTTAACAACTTGGGACTATATTTTGTGCTGGATGGAGACGTTGTGGTTTTATCAGAATGCAGGATACAATATCCAGCTTATTTTCTCCAGTAAGTGGGACCCACAGGGATTTCATTTTTGCCACATCTAACATGACCTTGTCTCTGGAAACATCCTGATGGATAGCAAGAATCCCTAACCTTCTACCCACTCAAGCACATTGGTTAAGTACTCAAATTGCAGTACTCTACTGTTTTTCATGCATTCCTCTGCATAATGCATTCCTCTGCATCAGTGCTGAATCTCCATGGTCGCCCTTATGAGGACCTCGGACCCCAGTTGCTTGAGTGTATTTCTGTCATCTAGCTCTGTCAGTAAAATTTCGGACATGTGCTAAATTCCTTCATTGAACACCTGTCCAGATTCTGAATTGAGTAATAGCCTTCCACCCATCTTTCTTACCTTCTTAGGTGTGTTTGAGAGTCCACACTACACAAATCACAGATGAGGCAAAACAAGAAGGAAGCTGGAGTTTTTACAGAAAAAATTGTATTTTACATAAGTCAAAAGAACCAAGAATTGGATGTGAGAGTTGTGAGCCACTAGTGCTGTAGGAACTGTTAGACAACATTTCTAATGCTGGAGAAAGCATAAGAAATTTATCAGCTTGCATAGGAAATAGGAGAGAGGGCAGGGAGGGGAGAGAATGGAAGTTAAGGAAGGAAAAGGCTTCAAGAAAAACAGCAAAATTACTTTAGGAACTAATGTAACAAACAAAGGAGAGCTTGTGTGACCCTCTTAAGAATATGGGAAGCTGCTGAGTTCCCTCTCCATTTCCATTTTAGGAACAGGAACGGCTTCTCAAGGAAGGATTCCAGAACGAGAGCAGGAGACTTCGGCAAGAGATCAACAGCATACAACTGAGGCAACCACCTCGGAAATGCACCATACTCTGAATGTCTGAGGTCCGACTCTTTCTGCCCAGCTACCTTTCATCAAGGAACATGTTGATTGGGATCCTTCAGGGTTTGAAACAACTGTTATTAAATTAGCTCAACTCAATGCAAATCACCTGTAACTCTGTGTTCACTGTGTGACGCTGGACATACAGAGGAGTTTCAAGTCTGCGAAATGCATGTGTGAATGGAATCTCTGCCGTCTGTGTTTTAGAGGTCCTCTTGACCTGCTCCGTGCCCAGGATACATATGTTTCTCCTTTATATCTTCAATTTTCTTTTTTTTTCTGCTGTATAGTGTCTACAATCACAGAGCAGACAACTTTTAATTAACTCTCAGAATGAATTCCTTTTTATTTCTTAAGGAATCTGATTTTTTAAAATTACAGTCATTCAAAAACTAAACCCCATCCCTTTTCCCCCTTTATCTCCCTGCTATGACATCCTGACTTGTACTTTCTAAGCATACATATCTTGCAGAAGTTAATAAAAAGCATTAACCCACTGTAATTATTTCAGAATATGCATTTTATTTGTGGTTCATTAAGGAAATAACAAAATCTTCTAGTAAACTAAAAGTTATTTTATTTTTGATATCATTAGGTGGCACCCAAGTACTCTAGGATAGTAGGGTGCCTACTCTCTATCTATTTCATTAAGAATAATGCCACCACCGAAAGATAATGTTGAAGCCATGTGTCTCATCTCTCTCATGGAATGTAGAAACAACAACACCTTTCATATGTTCACTTTTGACTGGTGCTCATATCAAACCCAGGGCTGTAACGAGGCACTTTGACTAAAACACTAAGTCACAGAATAACATCAGTGGGTATAATGTTTCCTTGATAAAGGTTTGGATGTAAGCTGGTAGTACTATGTGTGTTCATAGAAATGGCTCACTGTTTACAGCTGGGGAATCAAGAATCCTGTCTGTTTCTGTGTTTGTTCAAATGCAGGCTTTAAGATGGTACTCAGTGGGTAGAGCAACAGGAGCGTTGACTAGGTACAGAAAATGTCCTGAGGGAAATGAAATCCTCCTTTAATTTGAGTTTATAAATTGACTCACACACTGTAACGTGTACTCTTTAAGCCAGTCACTTGGGTCCTGTTGTCGTTTTAGCCCCCAAATAACACATGAGACACTATATTAAATATAAAGCTGTTGGTCATTCGATTGGTTTCTTATTGGCTAGCTCTGACTTAACTATTAACCCATAATTACTAATATATATCTTTATAAGGACTTATCTTTTTGAGGACGGCCTCCTGATGCATCCTTTCCTCTCGGGAGATCATGACTCTCTTGACTACATTTCCCAGAATCCTCCTTCACTCGTAGTCCCACCTATCTTGCTTCCCTATTGATCAACAGTGCTTTATTTATATATACACAGAAGGACTTCCCACATCAACATGCCAATGTTTTATTTTATTCAAAGTGTGTGTTATAGTGCTGGTGATTGTATCTCAGTTGGGACAGTGCTTACCATGCATGCATGAAGGTGGGTTTAAGGGTTGCCCAAACCTGGCAAGGTGGCATATGCCTATAATCTAAGCATTTGGAGGGCAGATAGGAAGATCAGGTGTTTATGGTCTTCCTCTGCTACATAATAAGTTCAAAACCAGCCTGGGCTAGAGATTTCTTTAAACAAACAAACAAACAAAAAATAACAATGTGTATTATTGGTGAAATGATCTAATTGCCTTGTATATTTGTGAAAAAAAATGTCCTTTTCAGTCTCCTGATCCCTTTTGCAAATTAGAGGCACTAATTAATAAAGTATGGTTTTGCCTTGTTGCTAAATTAATTAAATAACACACACACAGACATAGACAGGGACACACACACACACATACACACACACACACACACATGCACACACACACACCCACACATCAATTTTACAGTGAAGACTTGTCTAAAGGTAGCACCCCAGCTTGTAGGACCTGGTATCCAGCCTCTAAATGAAATGTGAGGAGCTTTCCAATGCTACTCTGGATGCTACCTGCATTCCATTTTCATATTCTTGGTAAATATTCAGTGCCTCCCTCTCCCTCTCCCTATGAAGAGCTGAATATTTTGATTGTTCACATCTCTAGATGAGTCCCGCCTACCTGCCTCTACATAGCAGAACTTGAGTCATAAGATTCTCCTTGGGCTACTCTGTGATTATAGCTGTCTTTCTCCCACTTTGGAAGTAGAAACTCATTAGGTACTATAGCTAATTCACATTACAGTTAATTATGTCATCTAGGGAGATCCTTTGGAGATGTGCCCTAGCACGCTATAATTGAAAAACTCAGTCCTATTTCCTTGTAGATCACAACAGCATACTAATATTTCTCATGCCATCATTCAGTATAGTTTGTATTGTTTCATTGTATATAAGACATAATGAAATATATCTCCAACCCTATAATTACAAAATAACCTAGTTGTACACTTTTATTTGAGATGTATTCTTCCTCCTCAACATACCTGTTATTTTAATTTTACCATAGTTAATATTCTGTATCTACTCCCTTGTTCTTACTTAAAATGCCTCTGTAACTTTATCAAATTATTATTTCCTATTAGTTCATATTCAGTCTTCTTTTTTTCTCTTCTCTGAATCCAAACAAAAAAAATTTCCAGTTTGTCAAAATGAGGAATTTTCTCCCAAATTTTGTTGGAAGTTCACCCACTTCTCCTTCCTTCTATCTCAGTTGCCATTCATTAATATGGCTTGAAAGTATTCCCCCTCTATAAGTAAATAGTAAGCAACATTCAATTATTTCCTATTGCTGCTGTATTTCCCCTAGACACACCAACTCTTGTTTATGTAACCTACAAGCTGTGTCCACGGAATGGGGTAAGGAAAACCTCCTCATATGATATACTGTTGATGTGGCTTGGTTTCCTCTGGGAGGGTTTTCAGTCCTTCAACTCCATGGAGGCTCGGAGTTATCTGAAGATGTCTAAGCTGGAACCTTCCCAGAAAACCCTCCTACTGTGGTCCTATCTGACTCCCTTCCTCATACCCACTCTTCTACAATATACTACAGAAGACGGTGAGGACAGTGCTTCATGCTGAGCATTTCTCTCTGGATATTTAAGGCTTAGAAAATCCCAGGAGTCTAACCAGGGAACAACTCATGTGCACATGCTTAGCCACACCTTGGAGGGAGTGTGTCCTCAAATGTACCCATCTCCCCTGTTTCACCACAACCCACTCCACCTAGTGTCTGCTGTTAGATGTTTCAGAGCATGCTAGCTCACCAGTCCTATCACACACACATTCTAGAACATACTTATCATCTTTGAACAGGATCTCCATAGCTTGGAATGAAAGTGAGAAAGCATAACATTACACACTTCCATCAGGAGGTGGGGAGACAGAAGGGGGTCTGGATATCAATGCACCTTCATATTTCTCTCTATGGAACGACTCCTCTTGCCAATCTTCATCACTCTAACAGATCATCAGTTTCCTACGTGGAATGTGTGTTTTTTCTTAGTTGTGTGCATTTATGAAAAGAATAATCACACTTGCAAAGATGATTTCAAAGAGATAGAGGCATGTGGCACACAGAATTTGAGTCTACCTTTGAAGAACAATAGGCAGAAATTAAACCAAATTGTCTTTCCTCTCTGAACCTGGGTTGATCATGAGGACCAAATGTCAGAAATCTTGGACATGATCTTATGTGAAAAGTCATTATAAGCCTTTAAACTATAGTCACTGTGAAATGAGGATGACCAACTCATTTTGGGAAAAATTGAACGATTTTAGCATAATGCCTCTCATATAAGTTTTAAATACTACATTTAAATATAACATTCTTCTTTCAGGGCAGATATTTTATATATTTTAAATTACAACGATCGGCACATATTAATTGCACAAATGACTAGAATCCACTGTGACGTTTTTGTACATTCTGAGACTGTGTATTGATCTCATTACCTACCTTCCTATGGTGCTTCTTCAATTCTTTCTCTCCACTTTTGGCAGTCTGTTCCCGATTTACTTATATTTCTATTTTCCAATTCAGGTCATGTTTGTTTGTTTTACACGTGATGGAAAGCATGCAATTCTTGTCTTTCTGGTCAGGGATATATCACTTAGCATGATATCCTACAATAATATCCACATTCCTGTAAATGACAGGATTTCATTCTTCTTTATGTCAGAACCTACATCATTGTGCTCTCTCTCTCTCTCTCTCTCTCTCTCTCTCTCTCTCTTCTTTATTTATCTATTGTTGGCAGTTCTATGATTCCATTTCTTGGGCTTTTTAACTAATGCCAAAATGTACATGAATCTGTAGGTATGTCTTTTATCTTCTTATTTCCTCCAGACATATACCCAGGAGTTCCTGGGTTTCCGTAGACAATGTTCCATAGTTTCCATAGACTTCCATCAACTTTGTCTCTGCCTGGACGTAACAGTTAATATTGTTTGTCAACTTGGCAAAGTCTAGAATCCCCGAGGAGGCAACCCTCTGGGCATGTCTGTGAAAGAATTTCAAGACTGGATAAATGAATTGAAAACACCCACACTGAATGTGGGCAGTACTGTTGTATTGTGTGGTATCTGAGAATGAATTCAAGGGGGAGGCCAGGCAGGACTCCGGCATGCATTTGTCTCTGCTTCCTGGCTGTAGATGTAAGGTGCCAGCAGCCTCAAGCTTCTGCCCCCATAGTGAACTGCACCCTGTAACAATGAGCCAAAGCAAACCTTCCACTCCTTCACTTGCTTTTATTAAGTATTTTGTTGCAGCCAAAAGAAAAGCAACTAATACAGAACATTGGTGCCAGCAGGGTCAGCTTTACTATGTTAATCTGACCACATGGTGCTTAGAGCATCCAGTTATAAAGTGGCCCTTCCCTGTGTTCTATTGCAGCCTGAATTACACGTTCATGAAAGACTGTAAAAAGTAACACTAAGCCACCATACAGTTATTCTGTCATTTCGAACCGAGTAACAGGAAGTGTATGTGATCTGGTAAGAATGTGAGTGGTACATCCCAGGGCATCAGAACACTCTCTCTGTTGAAATTCCCAAAACTAAACACAGGGTGATCAGTCCTTTGAAAATGTAAACAGAGAAAGTAGAGAAGCGCCACATGACGTCTATCCGGGCAGATGTGTGCTCACATGGAATCAGTCCCCACATGTTAGTTTTGTCAAAGTTACCATGAATCACAGACACAATGTAAAACGCATCATTTAAACAGTCTGAAGGATAAAACCTCTTGACATGAAGTGTTGTATGATGTCACAACTATTTAGTTTTATTTTTTCCAATATTATAAGTAGAATAAGGTAGAAAAGACCAATTAGTAGATTTAATATACATTGCTTGTATAGCACATTTCTAAGCAGGACTTTAGTTGCTACCGGGAACAGAGCTACCCAGAGAAATAGCTGAAATAACAGATCATAGGCCTTAGCAACCCCACATGTTTCCAGCTGTCAACTTGACCAATACCCTTTAAGACAAAAGGCTGACTGCAATGCGTGCTCTGTGAAATATCACTGGCTTGCTTGTCCCACCTTGTGGTTTTCGAGTATAAAATAAGAATTCAAACTGGACCTGATACAGAAGCCCTTCTTTAGTGGTCCTGGCTTCTGTTCATCAAGGACATCGCCTCTGTACCACTCTCCCTGATGTTGAACTGCTTATCACAGACATACTACCATAAAAGATCAGTCAAACCATTCAGAGTTTCTGTACAATGCTCTCTTTGCCCCACTTACGGAAAATTCTAGTATACTTTCTAGTTCTGTAACTTTAGATGATCACTACATTTCATGTAAATAAAAAGATAAAGCATGTACTATCCCTCCAACTCTAGTCTTAGCACAGCCCTTTGAGTTTCAATAATATTCACATGTATTGAGGCTTTCATCTGTTGACAAACAATATTATAGTTTATGAATACCACATTAAATTTATCTGTATCTCAGTTCATCCTTTGCTCTGGTTTTACCACTTAGCTATTTGGATATTATTTGCCACAGTTGTGCAGCACCGTTTATGTGGACACATGTTTGTTTCTCTTCAGTTCACACCTAAGAGTGCAATTGATAGATTCATAGTAACTCTGTTTAGCTATTTGAGGAACTGCAAACCTATCTTAAAGTGCCAGTACTGTTATACAATCTTCACTGATTAATGGGATCTGATGTCTTTGCATCTTCAGTAATATCACTGTCAGATTTCTGAGTGCAGTTACCCTAGTAGTAGGGATGGAATTGTATTATGGTTTTGACTTGAAACACCCTAATGCCTGGTAACCTAGAGTTTCAATGTTCTTCTTTGCTGCTTGAACACATAAAGAAATATCTCCTCATGTGCGTTGTATACTCTAGAGTGCTTGAGTTTATCTTTCCACTTACTGCTTCACACAGCAGGCATGGATATGTGCTTCTAATCCTGTGATCTGTATTTCTTCACTTTCTTGCTGTTGTGATTTGAAATACAAGCCTTCATTTTTAATTGTTCTTTCACTTTTTTGTTGTTTTTTTCTCTAAAATCCTTTTTGGGGGGCCGGTTCTGAGAACCAGAGTTTCTTTGTGTAGCCCTGGCTGTCCTGGAACTCATTTTCTAGACCAGGCTGGCCTCAGACTCACAGAGATCCACCTGCCTTCCGAGTGCTGGAATTAGAGGCATATGCCACCACACTAGAAGATTTCTTTCTGTTGTGAGCAGCTGTTGATGAAATCCAAGCCATCAAATATGACAGTTTGTTATTGTTCAAGGTGTCAGTTATTTTAGCCCCTACACTTTGATCATTGGTATAGTTGGGTTTATTTTTTGCATGGTTCTATATTCAGTCAGTTATGTGTTTTAGTTTCCATATAAGGTCAGAAAAGATGGATTAGTGAATGAGAATATTTGCTACATAAGCACCCATGTTAAAAAAAAAAAGAAAAAGTTGAATGTGGCTGCACACACCTGTAACCCGAATGCTGGAGTTGGGGTAGAGGCAGGAGGATTGCTTTGACTTGCTGCCAGCCTAGGCCCAGGTCAAATGAGAGGCCCTGCCTCAAAAGAATAAGGCAGAACACACTCAGGGTGTATATATCACACATACACATGAATGTGCACACACTAAATTAGCAAAACATTTAGTAAAATCGTATCACAAATGTGGTTTCTTAAAACAGAAAAGTCATTCCCCTATAGTTCTGCAGAGTGGGTACCCAAGCCAAGATGTCACAGGCTACCCTCTCTCCACGGTTCTGGGGAAGAAAGAATCTATGCCTTGCTTCTTCCAGCGTTCCTTTGCTCTCAGATGCTCCCTGGTGTCTCTGCCTCCTCCTTAAGTGTGTCTGGCCGCTTACCCGGTGTCTGCATTCTCTTCTGTCTCTCACAAGGACACTGATTACATAGTGGCTTACTCTAGTGGACCCACAACGCTCTCTCATAATGCCCATGTCTGCAAATACCATTTTTTAAAATGACATAGCATTCTGAATTTGTGGGTGTTTTCACGTGAAACTGACTTAGTAGGTGTTCTTCACTTCTCTACTATGGCGTTCACTTCCACATGCCTTTTATAAAAATTTTGCCTTCTGTGTTTCTCATGTATGTTTTGTTCTTTGAATGTCCTTCATTCTCTCCCTTTGTCTGAAGTCGATGGCATTTTATTTTTATGTAGCATCTTATTCCTTTTGTGGTTTCTTTCTAGTACCTTTTTTCAGTTATATTCATTTTAAAAATGGTTTATTTTATATTTTAAGTGTGTGTGTGTGTGTGTGTATGCATGTATGTATGTATGTATGTATGTATGTATGTATGTATGTAGGTAGGTATGTGTTTGTGAATGCTGTGGCCCTGCAAGTGAGACGCATTGGGTGCTGTAGAGATGGAGCCACAGTCATTTTAAACTGTCTGGCATGGGTGCTGGGATCCAAACCAGGGTATTCACTTCTGATCCACCACTCTAGGCCTCTCAGTTATAGTCTTATGCCTACAATAGGCTTCTTGGCTTATTAAATTTTACTTCAAATCCTTACCAAGTTAATTTCAGTAATCATCAAAGGATTATAACACTAGTCTTTGTCCCATGTTGGGCTTTTATTTTATCACCTAGAATATGTAAGAGTCACAATGCAAGATTATAACTGTTTTTATATGATACGATGTCTCAAAGCTTCAGAAACGTCCGTACAAGTAATATACTTACTGGACAGGTTATTCTTAGGAATAAAGACATATATGCATACAACAGTGATCAATAAAAAAGAGGACATGAGTTTGGGAAGGTTTGGAGAGAGGATCATAATTTGTTGGCTATTGAGGGGGAATAGCAAGAGTAGAGAAAAACTGTAAGAGCCAAAGATAACCTGTGAACCCCACCTGCACAAAGGCAGGGTAACATGTTAGGAGCTATAATTCATGGCAAATAACAAGCCACATATTTTCATTTCCCTATACAAGTTTCTTTGAGCCAACTACACTGGATGTGCTTTATTAAGATGTAGATGGGAGGTATGTAGGCAAGAAATATATCAGGACATATACTTGTTCCTGATTTGACCTGGTGGGAAATGCAATGGATTGTAGGTTTTACCTTTCAAGCCCCAACAAAATGTGACTCATGGCCATTCCCTGGGAACCTACCTGGCCAATATTTAATTAAAGTGTGTTTCAAATATGGCTCAAAATATGGAGCTGTTTTTTCTCTCATGCATTTCAGAACTAGCAAAATAAGTAAGAAAAATTTAAGGATTACTGTAGCGAGCTGCAAGTGTGTTCACAGCTACAGTGCTACCATACTTCATAACGATCCGAGGCCAAGGGCTAAGGATGAAAATAAAGACAAAGACAGTAGCTCATTCTTGCAAGGAGAATGGCATTTATTATTACAAGAGTGGAGCCTTATATACCGAAGGCAGGTATGGTGGAAAAACACCAAGGCCAGAAGCCTATGTTCCAGGGCCCTCCAGCAAAGGGTGGGCCAAAAACAGGAATTAGCTTTTAGACAATAAACAGGAACTTGCATGCAGGCCTTACTGGGAGGAGGGGATGAGAAATGTTTTGCTAAAAGCCCCTAGTAACAAGCAGTCAACAGACCCCCATGGGGGAAGCGTGCAACAGATTACAACTAGAAAGAATATCAAGAGAGCTAAAGAGTAAGTGATCAAAAAATGCGTTTTTGATACACACATGCTTTCAGGTTTTCTCTTCTTATTCCTGCTCTTAAATTTGAAGCTTAATGAGAACGAGGAAAAGGGAGAGATGGAGAATGAATAGAACAGAAGCAAAGCAATAGGAAGAGGGGGAGAGAGGAGAGGGAAGAAAAGAGAAGAGAAGCATGATTTCCAGAGGATTTATTGTCTAGACAAGATTTCTTAACTCAACAGATCATTTTATTTTTCTGTCAGTGCCTCAGTTCCTGTGAGGAAATAATTGTTACGCATATGCTACGCAATTCACATGAATCAGCCAGCAATCAACTGGAGCACCTGTTTTCTACCAGGAGCTTCTCCTAAGAGAGTAGTAAGTACTTAAGAGCCAGGTGCTGAGTTAGGTGCAGTGTATGTGATATGCCCTTTTGACATGTTTGCTACATGTCTAACAGAACCTCCCAAACAACTTAAGTGTGTCTAAGTCGACAATTCATTAAAATGATGGATTGTGTCCTCTTTCTAGCCTTCACAGAATGTCGCAAATCTTCACTTTCTGGGGTCTCTCCCCAGATGGAAACTCTGTGGGGTAAGATATCATGTCTGGATTCTCAGTCTACTGGCAGTATTTGCCGCAATCTTTTTATAGCTATTAGATCAGATGTGGCTCTACATAGTTTTGCTTTCACAAACAGAACAGTACTTAATGTGTTTCTTCTGTGATTTGGGTCCCAGAAGGACATCAGAGGTAAAGGAAGAGCAGGCAGAGGCAAACGGTTGTGGAAATCCTCCCTCAGTGGAAGAGAAAAGCAGGTAAGAGCTTCTCTCCTTCTTGCTAATACTGGGTACTAGAGATGACCCTCCATGTAAGAACCACAGCACCAAGCAACCTGCACTCGTGAAAAAAAGGATGAAACATTACATCCTGTTTTGACTTCTGATTCTTTGCTTGTTGATGACTGTAGTTAGCTATTCCTTCCATTGTGTGATGGCTGGGCATCTGTTTTTCCAGATGTGAGAGTTTGTATGATTATGGGTCTCATGTTTTACTATAAGTAAACAAGTTAACCTTTTCCAGTGTAATTTCTTTTCCTGGGAAACAGAGACACCCAGGCTGGAAACTGCATAAATAAATATTCATTTATTTTAAAAATGTGATATAAATAATCAATAAATCTACTTTCTCACCAAAGCAGTTCTCTCTCCCACTCCAAAGAGACCTGTATTTTTGAGAGGGAGTAGGATGATGAGATTCATGCGGTGAGTCACAGCCTCAGCTTACTCCTTTAAAGATTGATAGAAACCAGCCGAGTCTAAGCTGAAGCAGGAGTTCAGGGTATACAGCAGCATTACCTGGCAGCAGTGTGTCCCCAGGGACTGGGTCTATGTCCAACTGCACCCCGATAGATGTTTGGCTAAGCTAAAGTCAAAACGTCTCTGCATTGTCCCTTCTTAGGGCTTGCAGTGTTTTAAGGGACATGGATTTCATTGTCCTCGTCATTGAAGGAATTTGCTCAGTTCAGTCAAACTGCAGGTAAGAAATCGAAAGGAACTTGGTTATGTTTTTTAAGGAGAAGACAAAAATAGTAAGTCAGATGCAGTGTAAACAGGCCCTTGAGTGAGAAAAAGAAAGTGAAACCCAGAGATAGGAGGGAGGTGTCAGGTTGAAAAGAATCTGGGACAAATGACTAACTGTGGTAACAACCAGCATACCAAAGTGTCTGCTGGCCTCCACCTCACTCAGTACCTGAGGCTCCTCTCAGCTTTCTCAGCCTGATCTCCTGATGTAAACGTCTGCAGTTCATGGGCTTCCCTTTCCCCAGCTTCTCGTTCCTGGGCAAGCCTCTCACTTCAGCCATGCATTCCTCTTGGTTCCTTCTCTCTTGGCTCTGGCCTTCTTGCTCCTCTTTGCTCCCTCTCTCTTGATCCTCTCTCAGGCTCTGCTTGGCTCCCCCTCCCTTGTCTCACTCTCTTTGCACTCTCTCTCCTCTTCCTCTCCCTACCACCAAACACCTAGCATGACCTGGTTTAGTGTAGGTGACATGTGCAGTCCGCTACTTCCTCTCCCTGCTCTGACACTTCCAGATATCTCTGGTTTTCTGTCCTTCATATCTACGATAAAACCTTCTTCTCAGCCATTCCTTAGAGTGGTCATGACCACACTTTATACTCTGGTGTCAAAATCCTCTGGGTAGGGCATAAATGGACCCCTTTCAGTGGGCCCAGTCTCTTAACCAAACCAAACTGCTAAATTGACTCTCCTAAGGTATGTGTTGATCATTTGCTACCACTGGATTCTGCAACCCACCAGAGTCTACTCTGGATTCCAGGATCTAGCCACTTCTCCCCTCTTCTGCTATGCTTCTTTATTGTGATTCAGGGCCTCTCTTAGTCTTGAGAGCTCATCATGTAGACTTCTTTCTGATAAAACCCCTCCCTCTCCCTCTATTGGAATCCTCCCTCCAGTGACATTCAGTGGCCTTTTCTCCCTTCCTCCTCAGACTCAAAGGTTAAAGACATACCCATCTTACTGTAAACAGCTTGGCCTTTGCACTGTTCAAGGAATGGTCAAAAGGTATCCTTGATTTTATGATCCCCATATCTTTTATGTCTAAACTTTCTCTGCTGTACAGTTTTTAAAGTCTATGGTCTCTAAGCTCCTTCTACTTCTCACTATTGAAAATCATTTATATCTATAAACACTTTACTTTAGGATTTGCAAGTTCATTGAGTATGTTAGAAAAAACAAGTTATCTTAAAACTTACAGCAAAAGGCTGATAGTTTAAATCTATGCATAAGTAATCTTAATTTACAATGGTGTTACTATGTAAGTAACTTGGATTCAACTCTTGTTTGGAAAAATAAGTCTACTACAGCTTGGATTACATCTACAGTATATGTATCTTGGATTCAATTCTTGTTAGGAAAACAGATGTTTTAAAATAGCAACTCTGTGACTATCCTCAGTCTTAGGTGGTGACCTCTTCGGGATGGAAGCAACCATGTGGCTGGCTAATAATAATTCAGATGCAGGGTAAACAGGCCCTTGAGTGGGAAAGGGAAAGTGAAATCGAGAGAGAGGAGAGAGGTTTCAAGAGTCAGGTACAAAATAAACTGGAACAAAAGGCTAACTGCGTATCAATTAGCATGCCAACATCTCTGCTGGCCTCCACCTCACTCTTACCTCTGGATCCAACCATGCTCCAAAGTATGGTTGAAAGGAAGGTTTTGTTGTAGATATGACAGAGAGAACAACCAGAAGTGTCTGGAAGTATCCATATCAGGGAGAGGAAGTAGTCTTCATTCAGTCTAGGAGACTGAACCAGACCATGCTAGGAATTTGGGCATGGGGAGAGTAAGAGAGGAAGAGAAGAGAGACCAAAGTAAGTCATATGTTTGGATAAACAATGCACTAGTAAAGCAACCTTATTTACTATGGTTAAAAAAAGAGTACTTGCCATGTAGCTCCATAATCAACTTGATTAAGGAGGGGGATCAAAACAATCTGATAATTTGTCTCCACACAGTTGTTAGAATTATTCTTATAAATAGTTTGAAAAATCAGAAAATCCATTTTCTTTAGATTTTCCATTTTAGTGCAGTACAGGTTTTCAAAGTATGCCCTGATGAGTCTTTGGATTTCCCCAGTGTCTGTTGTTATGTCCCCCTTTTCATTTCTGATTTTCTTAATTAGCATGTCTCTCTCTGTCTTTAGGGTAGGTTGGATAAATGTTTGTCTATCTTGTTGATTTTCTCAAAGAACCAACTCTTTGTTTCATTAATTCTTTGTATTGTTTTCTTTGTTTCTACTTTATTGATTTCAGACCTCAATTTGATCATTTCCTGGAGTCTACTGGTCCTGGGTGAGTTTGCTTCTTTGTGTTCTAAAGCTTTCAATTGTGCTGTTAATTCTCTAGTGTGACTATTTTCCAGTTTCTTCATGTGGGTACTTTGTGCTATGAATTTTCCCCTTAGAACTGCTTTCAAAGTATCCCAAAGGTATGGGTATGTTGTGCCTTCATTTTCATTGATTCTGGGAAGTCTTTTATTTCTTTCTTTATTTCTTCCTTTAACCAGGGGTGATGTAATTGAACACTGTTCAAATTTCCATGAGTTTATGGGGTTTCTGCAATTTGTGTTGATGTTGAATTCTAATTTTAAGCTGGGATGGTCTGACAAGATACAGGGGGTTATTCCATTTTTTGTATCTGTTGAGGTTTGCTTTATTGCCAAGTATGTGGTCAATTTTAGAGAAGGCTCCATGTGGTGCTGAGAAGAAGCTATATTCTTCTATGTTTGGGTGGAATGTGCTATAGATGTCTGTTAAACCCAATTGGGTCATAAATTCTGTAAGTTCCATTGTTTCTTTGTTAAGTTTCTGTCTGGTGGACCTGTCTAATTGTGAGAGTGTGGTGTTGAAGTCTCCCACTGTAAGTGTGTGGGGTTTAATGTGTGATTTGAGTTCTAGTAATGTTTCTTTTATGAATGTGGGTACCTTTATATTTGGGGCATAGATGTTCAGAATTGAGACTTCATCCTTGTGGATTTTTCCTGTGATGAATATGAAATATCCTTCTTCATTTCTTTTGATTAATTTTAGTTTGAATCTGTTTTGTCAGATATTAGTATAGCCACACCCACTTCCTTCTTATGTCCATTTGATTGGAAAATCTTTTCCCAACACTTAACCTTGAAGTAATGTCTGTCTTTGAAATTGAGGTGTGTTTCTTGTATGCAGCAGAAGGATGGATTCTGTCTTCATATCCATTCTGTTAGCCTGTGTCTTTTTATAGGTGAGTTAATATCATTGATATTCAGGGATATTGATGCCCATCAATTGTTGATTCTTGTTTGCTTTGGATCTGTTTTTGGTGGTGGTTTTGTGTATGAGTTTTTCCCTTATTTCTGACTTCTGATAAAGTAAAATTATCTACTATACATGTTATTTTGAGTGTAGTTAACTTTCTTGAGTTGGAGTTTTCCTTGTAGAACTTTCTGTAGGGCTGGATTTGTGGATATGTATTATGTAAATCTGTTTTCGTTATAGAATATCTTGTTTTCTCCATCTATTGTGATTGAGACTTTTGGTGGGAATAGTAGTCTGGGCTGGAATCTGTGGTCTCTTAGTGTTTGTAGAACATCTATACAGGACCTTCTGGCTTTCATAGTTTCCATGAAGAAGTTGGGTGTTATTCTGATAGGTTTGCCTTTATATGTTACTTGGCCTTTTTCCTTTGCTGCTTTAAATATTCTTTCTTTATTCTGTATGTTTGGTGTTTTGCTATGTGGTGAGGGGACATTTTTTGTCCAGTCTATTTGGTGTTCAGTAAGCTTCTTGTACTTTCATAAGCATCTCCTTCTTCAGGTTGGGATAGCTTTCTTCTATGATTTTGTTGAATATGTTGTCTGCACCATTGAGCTGTGCTTCTTTGCATTCTTCTATATCTATTATTCTTAGGTTTGGTCTTTTCATGGTGTCCCATATTTTCTGAATATTTTGTGTTAAGAATTTGTTGGGTTTAAGGCTTTTTTTGTCGATGAATCTATTTCCTCTGGTTTGTCTTCAGTGCATGAGATTCTGTCTTCCATCTCTTATATTCTGTTATCTATGCTTGCATGTTTATTCAGCTTTTCTATTTCAAGCATTACCTCAGTTTGTGTGTGTTTTTTAATTGTCTCCATTTTGGTTTTCAGGTCTTGAAGTGTTTGAGTTGTTTCCTTCGTCTGTTTGATTATTTTTTCTTGGATATCCTTGCTTTCTTTAAGAGATTTGTTGAGGAGAGAAGGATGAGAGATACCATAATAGAGGGAGCTATTTTAAATTGTAGGAGAGATCTGGCACTAGTGACATCTTCACAGATCCACAAGAGTGACACCAACTGGTATTAAAGCCTTAAATGCCTTCCCATGATAATGGGATTGGTGACTACTTTATATGCATCCAGTGGCTGATGAAAGCAGAGGCAGACACCCACAGCTAAAGACCAAACTGAACTCCTGGAACCCAGGTGCAAAGAGGAGTAATGAGCAAAGGAATCAAGACCAGGCTGCCCACAGTGGCAGCTGCCCTAAACAAGGGGGAATGCGTGGACCCCAGACTGATGCCTGAGAGGACAGCATGGGACTTATCCAGACACCTCCCCCTGACCCCACCCCACATTTGGGTGTCAGAGAAGAGGCCTTGGCAATATATGGGACCTTGGAGAGTAAAATAGACTCTGGGAACCCATACCACGTGGAAGGATGCCCTCTCAGCCTGGACACATGAGGGAGGACCTAGGCCCTGCCTAGAATGATGGGACAGACTCTGAAAACCCCTCATGGAAGTCCTTACCCTCCCTGGGGTGTGGAAGGTGGATAGACTGGGGTGGGGTGTTTGGAGGATTGGGGGTTGGGGGAGGAGGGGAGGGAGAGGGAACTGAGAGTAACATGTGTGAAAAGTTAAATAAAACATTATTATAAAAAAAGAAAAATCAAGAGAAAACTGAATAGAAACACATACAAACATAGTACATTGCAGTCACAAATAATGTATCTATCCTGAGTCCATATAATGACAAACAAAAATAAATTGTATGGGCTTGAGATGGCTCAGTGTTGAATGGCATTTGTTGATCTTCCAGAGAACTGGGTTTGAGTCTCTGCACCTACATGGCAATTTAAAACCATCTGAAACATCAGTTTCAGAGGATATGATGCTTCTTCTGTTGTCATCTGACTTCAGGCACCCAAGTGGTATATAGATAAACATGCAGACAAAACACACATATGCATAGAATTAAAAATAATAAATAATTTTTAGTTTGATGAATACACAAATACATATATATCTTACATATACATACATATATAAATAAATGAAAGATAAATGATAGATTGATAGATGATAGATAAAAATTTCACTAAAGGTATTCTACTTTCTGCTTAATGACTATTGTAAACTCTTCAATGAGAAATCTCAAAGAAAAAATTTATTTTTTTACTGTAAGTTATCTGAGTACTTTTGGTCATCAGAATTATTTACTGCAGATAAAACCTTTTCGTAAAAATATTTAGCTCTTGGCTACTTTTGAAGTATCCTGTGACAACATGAAATTACACAAGTATTCATCACGTTTCTCTCTCTGGTGCACAGCTTGTAGCTTGGCAAGTCTCAGAGCATTCCAAAGGCAGCCTGACTTGTAGAATCACTCTCTCATCTGAAAGCCTGGGATGCTCCTTAACACATCTCTTCCTCTGCAGTCAAGGAACTCCAATGGACATGGCATCGGAAGTCCCTGTGTGTCTCATTGAGAATGTGAAAGGACAACTGAAGCCTAATCAAAAGGCCCTGGAGATCCTGTCCGCGATCACACAGCCAGTGGTGGTTGTGGCCATCGTTGGCCTCTACCGCACAGGAAAATCCTACCTGATGAACAAGCTGGCTGGGAAGAAAACAGGTGAGTGCCATCAACACAGCTGTGCCAGTTCCCCTGAGTCCGCCCACAGTCATATCTCAGCACAAGGTATTAGAATAGAAAGTTCAAAACAAGGATGAATACTGAAAGGTAATTGCTAATCCTTAGTGAAAAAGAGAAAGAAATTTATTTAAGACTAATTTACCTTAAAGAGCTTTATGTGCTGCCTATATCTAAAAATGCAAATCAGTTTTATGAACTTCTCTTTGCTACAATCAGAAAAGGAGAGCCAGATACTGTTTACTCAATTTATCCTAATTCCTATTTTAAAAATTTAATATTCTTTCTGTTTTGTTGAGCAAACTGGTACAGAATAGAGGCTACTGCTATAGATACATTTCAAAGTTACAAAATATTTAGTAGGGTATTCATGTAACAACAGTGAACAGCCACTGACCATGGAGATGACAGAAAAACTTACAAAGCAAATGGAATATTCCTTTGTCTCGTTTTCTTTTCTTTCTTTTTGGTAATTATTACTTTTGTTCTCTTGTACACTTCCCCTGTGTACACCAATTCTGGCCATGATGACCCATTTTTTAACCTTTATTTATATTAACTTCTGTTTCTATTTCCAGAAGCATCTGCTAGGATTTCTACCCTTTTCTCTCCTCTGCCCTTTTCAGGCTTTTCTGTTGGATCCACAATACAGTCTCACACCAAGGGCATCTGGATGTGGTGTGTCCCTCATCCTAAGAAGCCAAACCACACCCTAGTTCTGCTTGACACAGAGGGCCTGGGAGATGTGGAGAAAGTAAGGAAGGAGGAGGGCGTTTGGATTAAGCTCCTTAACTCTTGATGGTCTCTAGAGCACCTAGAACTCCCTCTGATAACCATGTGCCTTTTGTTTCTGTCTACTGGTGAGAAGTTTGATAACTAGTATGGAAAAAGACAGTCAGAAGCCAGCATTCTGGGAGACCATGATCACCATGGGACTGGGCTGTCATCATTAATGGAACTAATCCACTTAATACAGATGTATAAAGATGCTTTCAGTAGAATTGCTTCCGTGAGTGTTTCTCTCCAGGGAATGTTGGTTAATGATCGAGGAACTGCAGTACTGAGACTTTATGTTCAACAAATAGCTCTTCTCCTTACAAATTCTGTAGTTTCAACAAGGTATATGAGTTATGTGTACACTCTGCTGTTGAGTGAAATGAATGGAACAGGTCTTTGTCTGACTTACAGCACATTGCATTTACTAAGATTAGCAATATAGAGTATCCAGTAGTAAGGTGACCACGTACTGTTAAATAACCCCACAATTAAAGGACTGCACATGAGCCTACTTAAGCAGTAGGAGACACAACTCATGTACCCCTTCAACATAAAGACCGGCCAGTTGGAAGAAGAAGGTTGGTGGGATGGTGACAAGAGATGATAAGGAGGATAGATATGCTTGAAACGGATTCTATTGGTGTGTGAAAAAATGAGTTAAATTTAAAGCCTTTAACATGCAATAATTTCTCAAAAATTAAACATTATTACTCTTATGGTAGGCAATTAAACCTTATATTAAGGGAAACTTTTAAGAGTCCCTAAGACTTCAGAATCTTCACCAATCTGGACTCTTTATCAAAACTATCCATCAACGGGCATTAAAAAACTTGTTAAGCTGGCAAAGTACAATCAGTTCTAAGGAGTGATTACTAATCAGAAACAATACATTCTGTGAGTTCTACTAACGAGAATGTAGCTCTATATTTTGCTTTTTCTAACAATCCAATACATAAGTTCACTCTAAAAAAATGAGGCACATTTTGGAGCACTTCATCTAGAAAGGGCTTTTCTGACTTCCAGGGTGACGGCCAGAATGACTGCTGGATCTTTGCCCTGGCTATACTTCTAAGCAGCACTTTTGTGTACAACAGCATGGGAGCCATCAACCAGCAGGCCATGGACCAGCTGCAGTATCCTTTCTGTGATGGAGAACATGGCAGCCTGGGAATGATACAGTCAGTGTTGACAGATAGGAGACAGAATAATCCCAGCACAAGGGGATATCTCATATAGAAGCTAATGAGCTCATCCTGAGTTAGCACAGGGCAAAATCATGTGTGGGGTGGATGAGACCAATGTGAGATGAGATGACTGGGGACTCTGGTTATTCATCACTTCTCCTTAGCTACCCAGTTATGTGACAGAGCTGACAGATCTGATAAGTGCAAGATCTTCACCTTGTAACAGAAGAGTTGAGGACTCAGCTGAGTTTGTGAGCTTCTTTCCCGACTTTGTGTGGGTTCTGAGGGATGTGACCCTAAGACTTGAAGCTGATGGACAAAGTCTCACAGCAGATGAGTACCTGGAAAATTCCCTGAAGCTCAAGCAAGGTACAGAGATTGGTGACTGGAGAACAGAGGGGAATCCCATGAATTTACACTTTATGTGGGTGCTCACATTTGCTTTTCTTTTTTAGAGTTTCAGGCTGTTTCTAAGAAATGATTCCTGTTTAGTATTTGTGTTAACATGTCAATTGCAATGGAAATGTTCCCTGGTAATGGAGACATGTTCACCCTATTCTGTGATCAGACTGTTTTACTCTCCCTCTTAGGTTTTGTAGAGATGCACAGCACCAAAAACATGAAGCAAAATGAACGTTTTATTAGGAGGAATCTTTAAGTGACACATTAACACCGGGCTAGCTATGTGATTATATATGCTTTACTCTCTCCAGGTACCAGTGAAGTAGATCAAAATTACAACCTGCCCCGGCTCTGTATTCGAAAGTTCTTCCCCAAGAAGAAATGCTTTGTCTTCTACCCACCCACTGAGTGGAAGAAGCTTTCTGAGCTTGAGAGCCTGTGTGATGATGAGTTGGATTCTGACTTTGTGCAGCAGGTGGAAGAATTCTGTTCCTTTATCTTCAGCTCTTCCAAGGCTAAAGCTCTCCCGGGAGGTATTGAGGTCAACGGAGCTCGTGAGTCTCTTGCCCTGTCCTTCTTGATAGCTTTAGAGAGTACACATTTTGGGGGTGATATAATATCGACCTTAACTCAACTTTTAACTATTTTGCAAAATTCCAGATGGTTTCAGATAATACTTAATGCCTTTGTAAGTAAGATTTCTGTATGGAAAAAGTTTATAATGATCAGGGAAGAGAGTCTTTATTCTCAACATTTCTATATTAGAGTATTGGATATTTATACTATTAAATTTGGCATCAAAAGACATGTATATCTATTTGATTAAAAGAAATTTGATTAAAAGAAACTTAAACATTCAAATCATGTACTCACTTTGAGTGTTCAGTAGCTATGTAAGACTTGTGCCAATAATAATGGGAATCATAGGCATAATGTATATTCTTCAGTCTAAAGTACTATTGGGCAACACTGAGCTTTGCAAAACCAAGTAACACTCCATTTACTTGAATTATATCATGTGTTGTTCATATAATGACTGAATCCTGCCAGAACCAATGTTCAAAGAATAGATGATGAACACATTAATGGAGAGAGAATAGTCTTGTTTTAAAGGTCCTAAGACTAGCTGGATACATATTCAATAAACCCAGCTTTATTTTATTTAAAAGGAGGGTTTGGGCCATTGACAGGGACAAATCACATGAGTACCTTGCTTAAGGGAAGGTTCTGAGGTAGAGCAGCTGCTTAGAAGAGTCAAGGACAACAAACACCAGTTGATCAATAAGAAAATTAACTGCATTGATAAATAAATACAGAACAGAGCTAGCGTGCACTTCAATTGGCGATCATTTATGCAAGAATATGGCTTTGTTCACTAATAACATAATCAACACAGAGATATTTCCTATTTTGTGTCAGTCAGAAATTAAACAGCATGGCATGAGTGATATGCAATAGTTTTTATAATCAAATGTAGAGTCACTCTTCTGCCCAGAGGTAGATTTTAGACATTGGGCCCATGTGATATCACAGAGACTATAGTGAAGTGGGTCTTGATAGAATGCTTCAGTGGTAAAACAGGATTCCTATGAAGTTACCAGTGACCTTGCTCAGTCTTGTTGGTCAGCACAGAAAGGAATCCTGATAAATACAACCTGTCTCCCATGGTAGTCTGCCTCACCTTGGGCAAACCATTTTATGAAGGAGAGACTGCAGGAGAGAAATGTAGGTTATGGATTCAACAATTTCCTCACTCCCAATCCCCCTCACTGAACCCCCATGAAAGGTCACAGGCAGCTTTTCCCCCTGGAAGACTCCTCAGTTTCCTCCTAGGGAGAGGCTGCATCTCACTGTATATTCTACTTAAAATAATCCTGTCTGTTGAAGGTCAGACCCTGGCCTCTTTTTGCCTTCTGGCACTTTATGCTGGCTCATGAATCTAACAAGCTCATTTTGTACTAACCTTTGTCTTACTGCCTTGAAATTCTAGATGTTCTTTGATGTGGACTCCACTTGGAAATGGGGTTTACAATCTTAGCATTTAGTGCACATAAGAGGTCATTTCATTTAATTTCAGTGGCAAAAATGTTCCTCCAAGAACATCTGAAGATAATGCTTGAATCGTTAATTTTATAATGTAGTGAATTAAAGAAAAATAAAAAACAAATTCAACAAGAAAAAGGTTATACCATTACATGAAAAAGGATTCCTAGAAGTTGTACATGAGGGCAAAGAGGAAGATAAGAAAAGAGAAGAAGTTGTCTTCAGTATAATGTGACTTTAAGAATGAAGACCATAAAACTTTATGAAATAGGGATATGAATTCTAACTGTCATGTCTCACCAGAGCTGGGGATTCTAGCACATACCTATGTGGATGCCATCATGAATGGATCAGTACCTTGCTTGGAGAATGCAGTAAAAACACTGGCTGAGTCTGCGAACTCCATAGCTGTGCAGAAAGCAGCTGACCACTACAATGAGCAGATGACTCAGCAAGTGAGGTTCCCGACAGACACACTCCAGGAGCTGCTGGACATACATGCAGTCTGTGAGAACAAAGCCATTGCTGTCTTCATGGATCACTCCTTCAAGGATGAGCTGTGGAAGTTCCAGGAGAAGCTTGTGGTAATATCCTTAACTGATGCCTGCCTTTCTTTCATGTGGCTTTGGCCCTGCATTTTGATCTCATGCTGATTCCTTCTTATCATTGAAGAAAGCAGGGTTTTCATAGGTAACAGAGTTCTTCCACAAACTTAGGAAAGTAAAGTGATCGAGGAGTTAAAATATGGCACTTGATTTTCAACAGCAACTTGAAACAATGCGCATCCATTGGGTCATGCTGCTGAGATGCAGCACAAGGCATGTGGGTCTCTGCTCAGTGTGCACCAAGCTAAAACAAGGAGTTGAGTGGGCTTTCACCCAGAGAGCTCATTCAATATTTAAAATAGAAAGAATACATTCTATCTATCATTGTTTCTCATCCCCCAGGTTTCCCTTATATAAAATCCATTATAGACAACTAATTTTCAAGGATCAGTGTAATTGAATAAGGTGAATGACTCAATGTTAGCTAGAATTTAAAAGACAATGAGTATCTATCATTTTATTGGAATGGTTCTCAACCTATGGGTCATAAGGCCTTTTGGGGAGGTCCAAGCAACCCTTTCACAGGTGTCACATATCATATATCCTACATATTAAATATTTACATGATGATTCCTAACAGTAGAAAGTTATACTTATGAAGTGGCAATGAAAATAATTTAATGGTTGGGTCATCACAACATGAGAAAATCTGTTAAAGGGTGGCAGCATTAGGAAGGTTGATGGCCACTTTTTTATGGGACTTGAAAGAACAAAGAAATCATGGAAAAGAACTGTAGTAGCTTCCTCTTAATTCTAGTGACCAGAGACCCTGTCACTAAACGTTTATCTTTTAATCTTTCTTTGACCATCTTATGAGTGACAAAAATGAATTAATTTATCCTGAAACTACAGACCAATTGTAGTTTACATGTATCCACTATAAAATCTTCATCCTTTAACTACACACCCCTCACTCTGCTTGAAAGAATCCATGAAACCCTCACTACTCTGTTCATAATGACCCTACTCAGAACTGACAGGCGAATTTGCTGTGCGGATATTTTCAGTCTCACGAAGCACATTCTGCAAGGATGCTGTGTCCCCCTCCTGGTTGAACTTTGCTTTCATTGTTGATGCATGGGCACTCTTCAATGCATCTGACAAAGAAGAACACAGATTCTGTGCTCATTCTCCTAACTTTCAGAGTTTGTGAGTTTGAGGTCAAGGAAACAAGGAAGGTTTCCAGCAGTCGCACAGCTGAGTAGACCAGGGCTAAAGCAAGTTCCCCATTCCTCCTCCTGTCCCAGTCCACTCTGGTACTGTCACATTGATTTATCCAGGAATATTACAGTCAGACCTTCCTTCTAACAGCTTCTTTGCTTTGTCTTCTACTCACATGGCAGGTCACCATAAAGGAAAGGAGGGAAGATTTCATGCAACTGAATGAAGTAATATCTCTCAGTTACTGCCAGGCTGAGCTGGAGAAGCTTTCGGAGTCCCTGAGGGAGAGCATCTCACGTGGAGATTTCTCTGTTCCTGGTGGACACAGCCTCTACTTAGAAGCCAGGAAGAAGGTTGAGCAGGGCTATGAGCGAGTGCCCAGGAAGGGCGTGAAGGTGAGGAATGAGCGTGGGTGTGGTCATACAGCTAGAGCATAGCCAGAGTGGTAACGGCTGCCCCTGGAAGCTAAAACCATAAAATCTTCTCTGGACAGAACTCAGACTATCTGGTATCTTGGTCATTCTAGTCTTTACACTCACAAAGTACTGTGTCATACTAAATAACTAAAAAATACTCATTTCCTCAGAAGAGATTTAGAATATAAATTCAAATGAAATAGAACATTGCTTTATTTTATAATATTATATTTGTTTTGGGGTGCTGTAATTTTGATTACTTTTTATTAAAAACTGCATTGAGGTCTGGAGAGATGGCTCAGAGATTAAAAGCACTGGCTGCTCTTCCTGAGGTCTTCATTTCAATTCCTAGCAACCACATAATGGCTCACAACCATCTTTAATGAGATTTTGTGCCCTCTTCTGAACTTCAGGGATACATACAGATAGAATACTGCACTGCAAATATAATACATTAATTAATATTTAAAAACCCAAACAAAAACTATATTGATTGGTAAAGGTCCACCTTTATGATAAACAAATCCAGAAATGGAAACTTACTCTAAAACAAACAGACTTCTGATAGTCATTATTTTTCTCTTTTGGACAGCTTATTGTTTTTCTTTTGTTACACCAATGAAAAGGTGCCTATAGAAAGGTGCAATATAAACCATCTTTAAAAACAAAAGAATATAACTTCTATTAGTTCCTTTGTTTGTTTGTTTGTTAAGTTTCTGTCTGGTAGTCTTTTCTAGAGGTGAGAGTGGGGTGTTGAAGTCTCCCAGTATAAGTGTGTGGGGCTTTATATGTAATTTGAGTTTTAGTAATGTTTCTTTTACAAACGAGGATGCCTTTGTTTTGGGGGCAGAGATGTTAAGAATTGAAACTTCATCTTGGTGGATTTCTCCTGTGATGAGTATGAAATTACCTCCTTCATCTCTTTTGATTGATTTTAGTTTAAAGTCTAATTTGTTAGATATTAGGATTGCTACTCCCACTTGTTTCTAGGGTCCGTTTGATTGTAAAATCTTTTCCCAACCCTTAACTCTAAGGTAATATCTGTCTTTGAGGCTGAGGTGTGTTTCTTGTATGCAGTAGAAAGATGGGTTTTGTCTTCTGTTAGCCTGTGTTTTTTTATGGATGAGTTAAGATCATTAATATTGATGGATATTAATGACCATTGATTGCTCATTTGTGTTTGTTTGGCAATGTTGTTTGTGGTGGAATTATATGTGGTGGATTCCACCATCTTTTCTCTTTTGCCTGTTGGTAAAGTGGGATTATCTATTGCCTATGGTTCTCTGGTGTATTAACTTCGTTGGGATGGAGATTTCTTTCCAACACTTTCTGTAGGGCTGAATTAGTGGACATGTATTGTTTGAATCTGGTTTTGTCATGGAATATCTTGTTTTCTCCATCTGTAGTGATTGAAAGCTTTGCTGGGTATATTAGTCTGGGCTAATCCAGTTGGGTTTAATAGACATTTATAGAACATTCCATCTAAATAATAAAGAATATACCTTTTTATTAGCGCCACATGGAACCTTCTCAAAAATTGACCACATATGTGGCAATGTATTAAACCTCAACATGTACAAAAAATTGGAATAATTCCAAGCATCTTATCAAACCAGCATGCATTAAAATTAGAATTTCTTAACAACACAAATTACAAAGAACCCACAAACTCATGGAAATTGAATAATGCTCAATTGCACCACTCCTGGGACAAATAAGAAATAAAAAAAGAAATTAAAGACTTCCTAGAATTCAATGAGAATGAAGACACAATATACCCAAACCTACGGGACACTTTGAAAGCAGTGCTACGGGGGAAGTTCATAGCACTAAGTGCCCACATGAAGAAACTGGAGAACAGTTACACTAGAGAATTAACAGCACAGCTGAAAGCTCTAGTACACAAAGAAGCAAACTCACCCTGGAGGAGCAGACCCCAGGACATAATCAAACCGAGGGCTGAAATCAATAAAGTAGAAACCAGGAAAACAATACAAAAATCAATGTAACAAAGAGTTGGTTCTTTGAGAAAAAAACAAGCTAGACAAACCTTTATCCAAACTTCAAAAACAGCAGAGTGTGAACATGCAAATTAACAAAATCAGAAATGAAAAGGGGCACTTAACAATGAAAACTGAGGAAATCTAGAGAATCCTCAGGTCATACTTTGAAAACCTGTACTCCAAAACATTGGAAAATTTAAAGGAAATTGGACAATTTTCTGGAAAGCTATCACTTGCCAAATTTAAATCAAGAACAGATAAGCAATTTAAATACAACTATAACCCCTAGAGAAACAGAAGCAGTCATCAAAAGTCTCCCAACCTAAAAAAAAAAAAACCCAGGTCCAGATGGCCTCAGAATTCTATCAGAAATTCAAAGAACAGCTTATACCAATTCTTCTCAAAGTATTCAATGCAATAGAAGCAGAAGGGTCTTTGCCAAACGCGTTTTTATGAGGCTTCAATAATCTTGATACCCAAGCCACAGAAAGACACAACCAAGAAAGAGAACTTCAGATCAATATTCCTCATGAACATTGATGCAACAATACTCAATACTGGCAAATTGGACCCAAGAACACATCAAAACAATCATCCACCATGATCAAGTAGGTTTATCCCAGGGATGCAAGAGTGGTTCAACATATGAAAATCTATCAATGCAATCCATCATATAAACAAGCTGAGGAACAAATACCACATGATCATCTCACTAGATGCTGAAAAAGCCTTTGACAAAATCCAACACCCCTTCATGATAAAGGTCTTGGAGAGATCTGAAATAACAGGAATATACCTAAACATAATAAAAGCTATATACAGCAAACCAACAGCCAATATCAAACTAAATGTACAGAAACTTAACGTGATTCCTCTAAGATCAGGAACAAGACAAGACTGTCCACTCTCTTCATACCTCTTCAATATTGTACATGAAGTTCTAGTTAGAGCAATAAGACAACAAAAGGAGAACAAGGGGATACAAATTGGAAAGGAAGATGTCAAACTTTCACTATTTGCAGATGATATGATAGTTTACAAAAGTGACCCAAAAAACTCTACCAGCAACTCCTACAGCTGATAAATACTTTTAGCAAGGTGGCAGGATACAAGATAACTCAAGAATCTCAGTAGCCCTACTGTATACATAGAATAAAAGGGCTGAGAAAGAAATCAGAGAAACATCACCCTTTACAATGGCTACAAACAACATAAAATATCTTGGAATAACGTTAACCAAACAAGGTAAAGACCTGTATGGGAAGAACTTTGAATCTTTAAAGAAAGAAATTAAAGAAGACATCAGAAAATGGAATGATCTCCCATGTTTTGGATAGGTAGGTTCAATGTAGTAAAAACTGGCAATCTTGCCAAAAGCAATGTACAGATTCAGTGCAATCCTCATTAAAATCCCAGCACAATTCTTCACAGACCTTGGAAGAATAGCAATCAACTTTACATGGAAAAACAAAAGACCCAGGATAGCCAAAACAAACCTATTAACAAAACAATGTCTGGAGGCATCACCATCCCTGATTTCAAGCTCTATTATAGAGCTATAGTCCTGAAAACAGCTTGGTATTGGCACAAAAATAGACAGGTAGACCAATGGAATCGAATTGAACACACCAATATTAACCCATATACGTATGAACATCTGATCTTTGACAAAGAAGCTAAAAATGTTCAATAAAAAAAGAAGCATCTGGCTCGGCGGTGGTGGCGCATGCTTTTAATCCCAGCACTCCGGAGGCAGAGGCAGGTGGATCTCTGTGAGTTGGAGACCAAGCCTGGTCTACCCAGCGAGTTCCAGAAGAGGCTCCAAAAAACAATACAGAGAAACCCTGTCTCGAAAAAACCGAAAAAAAAGGAAGCATTTACAACAAATGATGCTGGCATTACAAGATGCTGGCATGTAGAAGAATGCGGATTGATCCATGTCTATCGCCATGTACAAAACTTAATTCCAAATGGATCGAAGACCTCAACATAAATCCAGCCACACTGAACCTCTTAGAAGAGAAAGTGGGAGGTACCCTTGAACGAATTGGTACAGGAAACCACTTCCTGAACATACCACCAGTAGCACAGACGCTGAGGTAAACTATTAATACATGGGGCCTTCTGAAACTGAGAAGCTTCTGTAAGGCAAAGGACACAGTCAACAAGACAAAAAGGCAGCCCGCAGAATGGGAAAAGATATTCACTAACCCCACATCTGACAGAGGGCTTATCTCTAAAATTTACAAAGAACTCAAGAAGCAAGCTTCCAAATCCCCAAAGGATCCAATTAAAAAGTGGGCTACAGAAATAGAGAATTCTCAATAGAGGAGTCTAAAATGGCTTAGAGGCACTTAAGAATATCTCTAGCCATCAGGGAAATGCTAATCAAAACAACTCTGAGATACCATTTTATGCCTGTCATAATGGCTAAAATCAAAAACACCAATGATAGTTTATGCTGGAGGGGATATGGAGAAAGGGGAAGACTTCTCCTCTGCTGGTGGGAGTGCCACTTTGGAAACCAGTATGAAGATTCCTCAGGAAAATGGGAATCAGACTACCATGAGACCCAGCAATTCCACTCTTAGGCATATACCCCCAAAATGCATATTCATACAACAAAGTTGTCTGTTTCACTATATTTATAGCAGCATTATTTGTAATAGCCAGAACCTGGAAGCAACCTAGATGCCCCTCAACTGAAGATTGGATAGAGAAAATGTGGTACATTTGCACAATGGAGTAATATTCAGTGGTAAAAAACAATGAAATCTTGAAATTTGCAGGCAAATGGATGCCACTAGAAGAAACCATCCTGAGTGAGGTAACTAAGTCACAAAAAGACAAACATGGTTTTTACTCACTCATATGTGGATTTTAGATATGGATCAGGGGAGTGCCAGCCTACAATCTCACTGCCAGAGAGTCTGGGAAATAGAACCTTCAACCAATGACTGATGGTAGCATAGGCAAACACCCACAGCTAATCACTGAACTGAACTCAAGGAACCCAGTGTCAGAGAGGGAGGACAGATAAGCACAGGGGTCAAGACTGGGCTTGTATAACCCACAGAAACAGCTGACCTGAACAAGGGGTAGTTCTTGATTCCTGCACTGATGGCTGGGAATCCAGCATGGGACTGATCCAGACCCCCTGAATGTGGGTGTCAGTGTGGAGGCCTAGGTGACCTATGGCGCCTTGAGGGTAGTAGATCAAAATTTATCCCTGACATACAAATGGACTTTGGGTGCCCATCCCACATTGAGAGATACTCTCTCATCCTGGACTCTTGGGGTAGGCCGTAAGCCCTTCCCTGGATGAAATGACCCACTATGGACACTCCTCATGGAGGGCCTCACCCTCCCTGTGGAAAGGAATGGGGATTGGGTGTGGGGGGTGGGGGTTTTGTAGGAGTTCATGGGAGGAGGGGAGGGAGAAGGAGAGGGAGCTGGGATTGACATGTGAAGCAACTTTGTTTCTAATTTATATTTAAAAATAGAAAAGACTAAAAAAGGAAAAAAAAAAGAAGCTAAGCATCAAATCAAATCAAAACAAAAGAAAACCAAAAGAACAATGCTTCACAAGAGACTATGAATAGAACATGTAATTAGCTCATAAAAATCGTATCAAATTTGTTAAAAACATTCACATCTAAAAGCTCATCAAAAATGTTTTTGCAGAAGTATCACATGAAGAAAATAATTTATCAATATCTAAAAAAGTGGGTTTGTTCATGGTCAGATATCTGAGAAGTTACAACAAAATGTGATTGGTGAGACATAAGGAACTGCAAAATTATTCTTCTAGAACCCTTCTAGGTCAAGTTTTTCTAGTCAGTAATCTAGCTGAGGATCTGAAACAAGCCACTTCTAAAGGTGAATACATTTTTGGTCTCTCCACTCCCCCTTTCTTTTTGGTCAGGATTTATTTTTGTCATCAGAAGTTCTTACTGAACTTACAACTAACTGACTTGCCTGCTCAGAGGTAAGCAGGAGGTTCTGAGTACAGGAGCCTTTACTTCTCCAGTCCTGTAAGTGTAGAGGTCTACATGGGCAAATGATGTGTCCTCCCATCTTGTCAGAATGTAATCTTTCTATTGGCAAAAAGAGGTACCCACTCCTGCAGACCAAAGGGAGTTTTCTTGGTGGAGATTTCCTTTCAATGTTTTAAAACTTTGATATTTGGAGCTCTTGATACAGCATTCCATAGTAGCTTACTCAGAACCTGCTGTGGCCAAGGGACCAATAAATGGTTAGCTCTATTCATCATTTGTGACTTGATGCATAGATGAAAATTTTAACACAGAATAGCAGAAGCTAATCATTAATAATTTATGTCCTAGTCTTCTTGAAGCAGATGCCATGTTCAGTTTTCTAGCTCTGATAGCTTTAATACTGCAATATCAGTGATGCCCAGAATCAGTTTAAATGAGCATCACATTCCTTTTGTTACTTCATACAATTCTGAACAAATACTTTCTAGAATTCTTTGCTATTGCTCTTTGTTCTCGATTGTCCCGTGATTTATGGGCTGGTTGGCAGAGGGAGCTTGAGAAAGATGTGACACTGTGGGGAGGTTGAAAGTCACCGGGATGCCTCTAGGGATGATCACTTCCATAGTTGCAGGAAGCCCTCCTGGAGCTACACCTGGTATGCCTGGTGGATACCTATATGTGGCACTCTTGAGCTTTGTATGAGTTGCTTGTTGGTTAATGGCTGACGAAGGAGATGAAGTAATAAATAATTATTTGTTGACACTGTTTCATACGATTTATGGAATGCACTCTGCACTTTCTCAGTGAATTTCAGTGGCAGATACCTCCCTCATTTCTAGAAATGCTTGTTCACTAAATCAGGCTGTGTTAGGTGAGCATATGAGACTTGTTGGGTAATTCAATGGACCAGGAGTGAAACAAAAGGACTTATACTCATGCACATCTAGGGATGCTTCTCATATCCGTCCCTCTTTGAGGGCCTAAGCTAAGGCTTTCTCATCCACAAGGTGACTTTGGGCTGCATTCATGAGTTGTGCTCCTTGCCACATCTGCTGCTAGTAAAAGCATTGATGAGGTGATGGTTATGCTAGTCCAGGTTGAAGTAAGGCAGATTCAGTTGCTCATATTAAGTCCTGCAGGTTGTAGATACTTTGCACTTCCAGAGATTGCTCTATACCATCCTGTAAATAAGGATCAGAAAATATGATGCTGAATCAAAAGCCTTGGTTCTAAAACCAACCACCTGTCCTCTGTAACCAAATCCAAAGAGGCCCAGTGTCTCCCATTGGATCCTAGCCACTCCTGAGGCAACCTCAGAAATCGGTTTCATGCTCTGTAGTCCTCTCCTAGGGTGTGGTACAGCTATGTGCTGCACCAATAGAGATTGAAGATGTGGCGACAGTAGAATCAGCTGTCTCCTCCACTGTGGTAGATGAATGTTGCACAAGTGATCACAAGTTTAACAGAAGCCTTGACAACCAAATCAATAACAATTTGTACCATCATTGTCAGAGCCTTGAACTTCTCCAGGTTTTCCCTTGTGAGGAACCTAAGCAGTCAGGTTAGTAATTTCATTGAATGATAATTCTTTCATCAAAAGAACACATACAGCCACTTAAAGTTTTCTCTCTTCTGGTACCCAGGCACGTGAGGTGTTCCAGGACTTCCTGAAGTCTCTGATCACTATGGAAGAATCCATCTTGCAGTCAGATAAAGCCCTCACTGATGGACAGAAAGCCATGGCAGGTACAGAGGAGGAATCAGATCTAAAAGAGTTCCTCTAAAGCCCTCTGACTTATGAACAAAAATACCACCAACACCCCAAAAAGCAACCAAGGAGACCCTCCTACATCCTCAACTAGATCTGAAAATCATAATTGGGTCTGGTGTTGCATGACTAGATGGTCAGTATATTTACAGTGCATATGGAATCATGACCACTGGTAGGAAGATGCAGATAATTTCTATGGGGTAATAAGCTTGGTTTGTAAGATCATGAGGGTATCTCTCATTTCTGAATATCCTCTCTTCTCTCTCTAAAATCCATTTTGGGACAGCCGAGCAGGCCAAGAAGGAGGCAGCTGAGATGGAACTAGATATAATGAGGCAGCAACAGAAGCAGCAAGAGGAAGCAAGGGAGGCTCGCTTGAGAACGGTTGAAGAAAACATGGCCCAGATACAGAGGAAGATGGAGATGGAAAGGGAGAACCTTCTGAAGGAGCAGGAGAGGATGCTGAATCACAAGCTGAAGGTGAGGACAGATGTGATGGGAGTACCTGGTGGACCATGCAAGGAAAAGTGTGACATTGCCAAGGAAATCATGATCCCAGAGAGAACCCCCAAAGACATGTGATCGCAGAAAGCTCAAATCTGCCTAGATCCTGGTGAAGCTCTTAATTCTAAAAATGCACCACCTTCTGTGGTGTTAGTGATCTAAAGAGTTGGAGTGAAGAAAAGAATAAACATCCACAGGGGCTGCTCTTGTGTAGTTTAGAGTAGTTTCATTTTACTCCAAATGAAAATACCTCAGTCCAGCTCTCCTAAGAATTCTTAGCACAACTGTCCAGGATATCAGTTTGAAATGAGCAGATTAGTCATCTTAATGAACTGGAAGTCTGAACCCCACAGTGTCTGTTTCCAAATCTGGTTGGTGCATTCTACAAGCCTAGAGTAGAGTGCAGTCTTTCTCCCAACCCAGAGCTTGACAGCTCTGCTCTCAGGCAGCAGTCAGAACCATCATTTGTTACAGACTCATAGTTGGCCCAGCTCAGAGAACCTGAGACTGAATGAGAGTTAAAGCCACACCCCCTGCCCAAATGGCATTGTGCTTTACCCCTAGTTCTCAGGGCTGTCCTTGCCCCAAGTCTGCTCCACCCCAACGAAGGAATTGTAACCAAATATCAGTTGTAGCTACTCTCACTCTTCCAGTCCAAAAGTGTGAGGTTTTGGACAAACTTGTCAAATGCTATCTTTTTATAAGTGTAGGAAATATGTACATATATGAATGCTAATTATGAAATTTTAGTAGTGTATATTCTTAAATATAGACTATCTCTTTTTCTAGGAATTAGAAAAAATGTATCAGGAAGGAGCTGGGAAGCAAGTGGATGACTTAAAAATTGAAATAAATCAAATAGCAAGAAAAATTGACGCCATTAAAAAGAACTCCTCTGATGAAGTTTTAACTATGCTGCGTGAAATACTGGTGAACGTATTCAGCTCATTTATTAAAAGCTCACTGAAGAATTGTTGACATAGTGGCTCACTTTTGTAGTGTGTATGTCGATAGATTCATTCAAGGGCAATTTTAAGTTAAGGGTTATCACACAGTGTCCGAGCTGACAGCTAAGGAAGTCTATTGAAGCACACTGCATGAAAAAGGTAGCTATACAGTGACAGATGTTCACAAGCCTCACTATGATGACTATTTTACAATGTATATGCACATTATTTATAAGCCTGTAAACCTTAAATATAAACAATAAAAACAACTGCCAAGTATCCTGTGTGGTCACCTCATGAAAACTACTACCCTACACCAAACCTGAACACCTGACAGCAGTGTCATTTCTGAACATGTCTACTCATCTGCAGAAATACTCACCAGGGAAAAGTTGCAATTTGTCTCATTCACATCTCCATTGACATTTCAGAGAAACAGATTTATTTACAATTATAATGTTTCCGTGGAATCATTCAGAAAAGCATCATGAGAGAAAATCTATATACAAATTGGCACAAGTGTGTGTGTGTGTGTGAGAGAGAGAGAGAGAGAGAGAGAGAGAGAGAGAGAGAGAGAGAGAGCGCAGAAAAGCATCATGAGAGAAAAATCTATATACAAACTGGCACAAATGTGTGTGAGTGTGTGTGAGTGTGTGTGTGTGTGTGTGAGAGAGAGAGAGAGAGAGAGAGACAGAGACAGAGACAGAGAGAATTGTATTGGCATATTTTGTTAATTTTACAAAATTGCAGACATATTTTAGAAAATGCAATCTTCATTGAGAAAATGACTCACTAAGGTTGGCCTGTGGGCCAGTCTGTGGTGTGTTGTATTGATTGATGGTTAAATGTTGTGGATGGCTCAGGCCAATGTGAGTGATGTGTATCCCCACCAACCCCCCACCCAGTAATCCCTACTCCACTCTTCAGGGAGTGTGAGGCCCTCCATGGGGGATCACCAAAGTCTGTCATATAATCTAGGGCAAGGCCCCATGTGTCCAGGCTGAAATAGCATCCCTCTATGTGGAATAGAATCCCAAAGTCCATTCGAATGCCAGCAGCTCTTTATTTTTTATACTATGAAAAAAATCGGTGACTGGACCTATAGTTTGGGAACAAATGAAAAGTCCTGTTGCTTTTCTTTCCAAGCAGTTTAATGCAACAGTTAGGGGATAGCAACTGTGGATTTGTGTACAAGCAGCAGCCTCCTCATTGGCACAGGAGGCCTCTAAACTCACCTTTGTCTATTTGTGTCTGTCCTTCCACCAACCATCTCAAACATCTCTTTTCACACAAAAGCCTCTTAATTTTTCTTCTTTTAACCTTCGACTTTTCCATGTCCCCTTCCTAGAAAATCCCGATTTCTCAATTGATTCTTGCCCTCCTCTCAACCTTTCCAATGCCACTAACCTCACTCACTTCTGACTAGAATTACTCAATGTCCCTCCCTACAAAACTCCACAATTTACTATTGCCCCTGTGTCACAACCTGGCTATGCTTGGTTTATAGGTGGAAACTCATCTTTCTGCTCTACTGGCTCCTGCCAAGTGGGCTATACCTTAGCCTCCCCTGCCTAAGTTATAGAGCCTGTCCCTTTACCATCAGGCACCACTTCGCAGAAGACAGAGCCATCAACAGACACTTAGCACGGATCAAGATCCTTAATGAATAAACAGATTCTAAATATGCATTCCACATCCAACACCAACCAGACTTCCATTTGACAATAGAGGGATTGTGTTACCACTAAAGACACAACCATTACCATTGGGCTTCTAACTCTACAGCTGCTGGAAACCTCTTATCTTCCCAAGATCAGACCCCAGGTCTACTAATTATATACATTTGGAAAATGCTTTTGCTGACGAGACTACTGAAGAGACCAGCCCAAACTCCCAACTTCCTTCCCCTATCATCATCTTGGCCTAATTCTACTTCTTCTAGGCCTAATTCTTCCCTACACCCAAAGGCAAGCTCTCTAGGCCATGGAAGCATTTACAGGTCCACAGGGCTGGCTCATTCCACAGGACATGTACTGTCTCCCTGATACCCAGGTAAAACTTTACTTGACATCTATTCACAAGTCCTTTGATGCTGGTTCCTAACCTATGTACCATTATCTTCTCTTTTCTACCTCTGCCTTTCTGCCCTCCTGAGGGCTATTTGCCAAGGATGCTCCACTTGCCCTCAACCCTCCCCACAGAGGGCCTTGTGACCCTTCCTTCCTTCAGTCCATACCAGTTTTTCTGGGAATCCTGCGGGGAGGAGACAGATGGATTTCACACACATGCACCCTAACAAAAAAACACACACACAAATATCTTCTTCCTGTGGTAGACAGTTTCTCAAGATGGGTAGACACTGCCCCATATTCAAGACTTCAAAAGTGATGTTCCCACCTCATAACTAATATTTTGCCCTTGTTTTGACTTAGTTTAGAGGTACAGTGGCACATTCCATACTGCGTCCAGTCCCCAGGAAATGTAAGAAGGACTAATGGCCTTAGTAAAACTCACTTATCAAATCTGTCTCCTGACCTTCACTCCACTCCTACCTCTCACTCTAACTTGCATTGAGACCATGCTCTGGGCTCCCTCCTTCCTCAGTCCATTTCAGTTTATGTATGGTGGTCCTTTACTTTTGGGAAATTTACCTCTTCTGGAACAAGCCTCACTCCATGAACATTTACCTTCCTTCATTCTCTTAAGATACCCTGTTTGGGAACAAGCAAATTGTGTCCTCCCTCAGCAGTCTACAGATCCTATTACCCAAACCATTTTCTTAAGAGATTAAGTATCCAAAAGACTCTCGCTCATAGGACCTTGGCCCACATGGAAAAGCAACCTCTGCAGAGCTTCAGGGAGTTGAGATGTGGATGCATCTGTCACAATTAAAATGAGCTCTGGACCCCTGTCCTGATAAGTGCTTCTGTGGGTTGATGGGACCACTAATGCTTAAGTTCTCCTGGCTAGTGCCTATCTCTGAGCAGCTCTTTCCTCCCACCCTTGCCCATATTTTTAATATTATGACTGCTCCTGTCTCTTAGGTTCTTCTAAGGAACAGTTGGTACCACAGATATTTCTGGTGGAATTTCCTCAGGTTTCCTACCATTACCTGCTGGCTTGAACCTCTGCTTTGGACAAGTATTTGAGGTCAGCTTTCCTCGATGGGGAAAGTCCTTCTGTGTATATGTTTGTTTTATTGGTTGATAAATAAAGCATTGTAGGACAATGTAAGATAGGTGGGACCAGGCTTACGGGAAGAATGCTTGTAACATATGGTGCCCAGACTTGGGGCACAAATTTCCACTTAACAAAAACTTAAAAAAGGATTTTTAAAAACAGAAGAACAGAGAGAAGCATTGGCTTCTTGGTAGCAGTATTTTCTCAGGTGGGCTCTGTTTTGCTAGAGACAAGCAGAGACTCACATGACTCCTTTAAGGGAATCTTCCTGACTCAGCATAAGTAGAAAAAACCCTGAAAGGCTCTTTAAAGAGTCCCTGCTACCAGTTGAATGGTGTGTATGAATACCTGGCAGCGACCACATCTCCTAGAGGCAGCATGCTGGTTTATGGCAGCATAGACCAAGGTGGTTAGCGCAGCTCTCAGTACTGGCAATAAATGTACACCCACCATCTTGGAAAGACAGCAGTTAAAACAACCACAGCTTTATTTTTAGAAATGTTGTTTAGCAGATAAAAGACACATGACCAGAAAAACATAAAGATTTACATTAAAGTCAGATTTAGATGAAGTAAAACCTCTAAAAGGTTTATAGTATGTTTAAAAATATACATAGGCTTGGGAGAGAAAAGAAAGGAAGGAAGGAAGGAAGGAAGAAAGAGGGTAGCTGAATGGTGGTGCATGTCTTTAATCCTAGCACTCAGGAAGCAGAAGCAAACAGATCTGTGTGATTTCAAGGGCAGCCTGGTATACATAGGGAGTTCAAGGACAGTCAAAGTACACAGAGAAACCCTTTCTCAAAAAAGTAAATGGTAAAACTGAAAGATAAAGAGTAATAAAAAAGCCACATAAGGATGGAAAATAAACAGAGGATCTGAATGCTGTATGCTACTGTGTTGTCTTTCAGTTGTTCATTTTCTAAGGAAGGAGCAACAACTGCTAAAATATACTTATTATAAATGCTGCTGAATTAATCCAAATTACATATTTTAAAAATGCATTGACTTCTAAATTTAAACATTAGGACAGGTTACTTTGGAAAATAGTTTTTGCTTGTGTTTCCACGGAAAATGTAAAGCTATGGTTTCCTTCCAGACTTACATGGTTTGGTGAAAGCAAGACCCTCTGAAGCAGTGTCCCAAGTGATCCAACATCTAAAACAAGGACCTGGCCAGGTTTCTGTGTTTTGTCATGATCCCCATGGTATGGACAGTGTCCTCCAACCAGCAGGAAGCAGTTAGGAGTAAACAACGCCCAAATTTCCAAATAATGTTTATAAATTTTTGTTTTCATTTAAATGGGGCTGCTTATAAATGGTTAATGATCACAACCAATCTCTTTTTAAAGGTAAAAGGGAGATTATGGTATAGAAATGAATATTTTGTATTAGTATGGATTTTCATTTATTGATACAAATTTAAGGCTAATTTTGTGATATGTATATTTCTCTTGTTTAAGTATTGTATTTATACTTACCTTCTAAAATGTAATACATAATTAAATACATATTATATATAATCACCTATAATAGTCAGAACTTATAGTTAGGTTAGTTAGGTTTTTTTAGATATACAGAGATGTATTTTAGGTGGATAGATCTTCTTAAATGGTTTAGAGTTTTTCATGATAATGTGACACAACTACTACTGGCACACCAATTATGTCTGAGAGGAAGATGGGCATCGAAGAAACTCTTTTTGGAGTTTGCTTTCAACATGTCAAAAGAGCCATTTGCTCTTGCCTTTACTGTTTGATAGACTGGACATGCAGGACCCACAGGAAAGTGACTGATAAATTTGATGGGACAGTCCTAAAGTGTTCCTGTTTCATAGAAGAGTCTGCCAGGTACTCCACAGGACACGCACGCACGCGCGCACACACACACACACACACACACACACACACACACACACACACAATGACTGACAAACTGCCAATGCAGGCAGACAGTTGACATTTTTCTGCTTTGCTGAGAAGTCTGTCAGACACACTGTGACCTATGGACTGAAGATGGATGCCCCAATGTTATAAGTTACAGAGGAACTTTGGGTGACTGTCCAGGTAGCAAGATGTCTCTGTCAATTCTCGTGTTTCTATATTATCCTTCTGTGGTCTTTGATGGAGTTGAAGACAGATAGTTATAGTTTTCCTTGGTTATGCTAAAAGATAAGCTACATATAAGACTTTAGACTCACACAGATAGGATAGATGATAATATACTTTCTCTAAACCTTGCTAAATGTTAATAGACTAAATATTGTAACTATAGTTCTTACATTAACTGTTCTGTTACATATAATTTGACTATGTTAAAGTTAAAACCTTTCTTTTTATTTAGACAGAAAAGAGGAGATGATGGGGGAAGTCCTTCTGTGTATATGTTTGTCTTATTTGTTGATAAATAAAGCACTGTTGGCCAATAGGGAAGCAAGATAGGTAGGGCTAGGAATCATGGAGGATTCTGGGAAATATAATCAAGGGTAGAGGCTAGGAATCATGGAGGATTCTGGGAAATATAATCAAGGGTAGAGGGTTGCCATGAAATTCCCTGAAGAGTGAATGTGTGCTGCTGGTGCTCTTGGTAAAATAAGACCATATATATATATATATATATATATATATATATATATGTAGTTATGGGTTATTACTTAAGACAGAACTAGCCAATGAGAAGCCATGGAAATTGTCTGACAGCATTGTAACTAGTAGAGCCTCTGTGTCTTATTTGGAGCTGATGCATCTCTGGGACCAGGCTAGTGGAAAGAATGCTCACTATACCCATACTTTTAATATCATGACTTCTCTTGTCTCTTAGGTTTTTCTGAGGAACAGTTGGTACCACAGATGCTTCTGGTGGAATGTTCTCAGGTCTCCTACCATTACCTGCAGGCTTGAACCCCTGCTTTGGACAAGCATTAGTGGCCACCTTTCCCTCCATCCAAAGTACTTTCCGAGCTGGAAGTAGCCAGAGGACTACTGTTACCCTTATCAACAAATGGCTGGAATTGTAGATCATAAAGCAGGCTTCAAATCTGGCAGTACTGCTTACAAGATTCTAAGAGGGGGGCTGAGTTCAAACCAGGCCAGGTTCTTACAGGTAAAGAGAAGGATTGTAACAGGGTAAAGAGAAACCTAAACTAGGCATTCCCCAGAATTCTCCAACCTTCCTAATGCTGCAACTCCTTAATACAGTTCTTCATGTTGTGGTGACAACCAAACATATAATTATCTTTGTTGCTACTTCATAACTGTAATTTTGCTGTTATAATGATTCTTAATGTAAATATCTGGTATGCAGATGGTCTTAGGCAACCTTGTGAGGAATGGTTTGATCCCCAGAGATTGAGAACCATGGCTCTAAAGCAAGTTTCTGTTTTTGATGAAAGCAACTACATCCTGTCTCCACTCCCCAACAGCAATGTGTATCTAGTTAAACAAAACAGTGGGTATGAGTTCAAATCCCCATGCTAACTCCTCAGCTGTTGCTGACTCCCACCTACCTCCCATGGCTACTTCCCCAGATAAAACTGACAAGAATATGCTCTAATCTCTGAGAACTCTTGGCAGTTTACTCAATACACTGTTCTTTCTACCTATGGAATAGTCTGGTTTGGTGGTTTCACTACACCTTGCTTACATTTGCAAGCATGACGAACTGTGTTTAGATTCCTAGAACCCAGGTATATGCAGACTTCGGAGAACATGTCTGTAATTCCCATGTTCCTACAGGGATATGCAAAGCAGAGACAAAAATCCCTTGAAGATGGAGAATCAGTTACCTTACATGCAGCAGCAAAACAGGAACCTGTTTGATCAAGGTGAAAGGCAGATGGGAACCCAAGGTTTTCATCTAACTTCCAAAAGTTCACCATGGCACACATGCACCCCCTTCATAGGAACACACACACACCACACAATCCCCACAAACACACACACACACACACACACACACACACACACACACACCCTCCTCCCATACACTCACCCCCTACATCCACAAACATATACCATGCTAAAACACAGGCATGATTATGAATATGACCAGCACTTGAAAGCAAGAAATTTCAGGAAAAAACTGGACACAGATTGCTTTGCTTTTCAATGTTACAGACATAATTATAATTGTGACAAGCAGGCACAATGGCAGCACAGAGGCAGGCCACTTCATTTTGTCTCCAGAAATCAGGAAATGAAAGGCTTTAAGGAAAAGTAAACTCACAAACAAAGGACATGGGATGGAGAAACCCAGTTGTCCAAAGGTGTGTGTCTGTGTGCAACTTCACACAGAAGCTCACAGTAAAGAGAAAGCTTCCAGCTGTGGAAATTACTTGACTTTCATTCACCTATAACAGTCTTAACCACTGTGTATCTGAAAAAGATTCTTAACATGTTGAGTTGACACAAAAGAAAATAATGTCTTTTATGAGTCATCATTTTATAAATGGTGTAGGGGGTGCAGCAATATCACTGGGTGCCATATATTATAAAGTAAGATAGAGAAATGACCTATGAGAGAAACTCCTGAATGTGGATTTTACATGTCAGAACATATTACATTTTGATGAATAATTCCTACATGTCCCTCCTTACCACTAAACATGAGACTGTCAACTCCACAAACCCTACCCAACTCGTGTTACACCAACACTCTTCTTTCTTGTTCACAATACAAGTAAAACATGAACGTTTTAATTATATTTTTGTAGGATTTTATTTCATCAAAACATACATTTCCCCATTTATTTATGCCTATTAAAATGTAGATGTCAGTCTCTTATCCAGCCCTTCCCAATATACCTCTCCTTGCTCTCTTTCTAATTCATGGCCTCTTTTTCCATTAATTATTATTGCATGCATATATTTATATGCATTTACATATACATTCCTAAATACTGTTCACCCTGAATAATGTTACTGTTATGTATGTTTTCAGTGTTGGCCATTTGACATTGGATAACCAATTGGTGTGCTCTTCTCTGGGGAAGTCTATTTCTCTTGCTCGCAACATTGCTTAGTTATCTGTAGTTCTTCTCACAGGGTAGAGGGCTTGTGGGTTATTTCCCATCTACTTTGACAAGTCATCTGTAGTTCCTTGTGTGGGGTAGAGGGCTTTTTAATGTCCACTTTGGCAAGTTTATTGTATTTGTTCAGCTCCTAGTTGGAGTCACGCTGGTGAGAATTCATAGGTTGACCATTTATTCTGTGCCTTAACTACATATTTTCATCAATGATTTCTATTTATCCAATAAAATTTTACTTTATTTTTAATTTTTTTGGCTGGGGAAGCTGTCAGCCTCTGATATTCTTTGATAATACTTTAATTAGAAATAGCTGTTGAATAAATCCATGATGACAAACACATTAAAGAGTACATATAACAGTATTACTACCACATAAGAGGCCATCATATTATACTTCACAGGAATCCTCAACCCATCACATAGGAGTTGAGAATCTGCATCCCCACATTACACAACATAGGGAGTGCTTCAATAAATACATTGCCAGCAGCATCAAGGATATTCTTAATGGAGTTGTTTTTAATATCTTCAATCTCTTCTTCTCTTAGCTTTATTTCTCGTCTTAAATCTTCACATTTCTCCTCAACTCCATCAAGAAGTAGTTCTTTTAGGGCCTACAAAAAGATAGAGTCCATTTTTAAAATATACACTACTAATAGCCCATAATTAATAATTTAGGCAGTTGTTCACATGTGTACATATTTACTACATTTATAAAAAATAGAATTTGACAAGTTTGTTCAAAATCTCACACTTTTGGACCAGAAGAGTGGGAAGAGCTGATTTGGTTACAATCCCCTCCTTGAGTTGGAGGAGACGTGGGGCAAGGACAGCCCTGAGAACTAGGGGTAAAGCACAGTGCCATTTGGGAGGTCTGTGACTTTAACTCCCATTCAGTCTTAGGTTCACTGAGCTGAGCCTACTGTGTCTCTGTAACAAATGATGGTTCTGACTGCTGCACTGAGAGCAGAGCTGCCAAGCTCTGGGTTGGGAGAAACGCTGTACTGTACATTACGTCTGTAGAATGCACCAACCAGATCTGGAAACAGACACTGTGGGGTTCAGACTTCCAGTTCATTAAGATGACTAATCTGCTCATTTCAAACTGATATCCTGGACAGTTGTGCTAAGAATTCTTAGGAGAGCTGGACTGAGGTATTTTCATTTGGGGTAAAATGAAACTACTCTAAACTACGCAAGAGCAGCCCCTGTGGATGTTTATTCTTTTCTTCACTCCAACTCTTTAGATCACTAACACCACAGAAGGTGGTGCATTTTTAGAATTAAGAGCTTCACTAGGATCTAGGCAGATCTGAGCTTTCTGTGATCTCATGTCTTAGGGGGTTCTCTCTGGGATCATGAGTTCCTTGACAATGTCACACTTTTCCTTGTATAGTCTATCAGGTACTCACATCAGCATCTGTCCTCACCTTCAGTTTGTGATCCATCACCCTCGCCTGCTCCTTCAGAATGTTCTCCCTTTCCATCTCCATCTTCCTCTGTAGCTGGGCCACATTTTCTTCAACAGTTCTCAAGTGAGCCTCCCTTGCTTCTTCTTGCTCCTTCTGTTGCTGCCTCATTAGTTCTAGTCCCATCTCAGCCTTCTCCTTCTTGGCCTGCTCAGCTGTCCCACAAAGGATTTTAGAGAGAAGAAAGGACATTCAGAACTGAGAGATACCCTGGTGATCTTACAGACCAAGCTGATTAATCCATAGAAACTCTGCATCTTCCTATCAGTAGTCATGATTCTATATGCACTGTAAATGTACTAACCATCTAGTCATGCAACATCAGCCCAATGGTTTTCAGATTTAGAAGAGGATGTAGGAAGGTCTCCTTTTTTTGGGGGGGTGTATTTCTGTTCATAAGTCAGAGGGCTTTAGAGGAACTCTTTGGGATCTGATTCCTCCTCCATACCTGCCATGGCTTTCTGTCCATCAGTGAGGGCTTTATCTGCCTGCAAGATGGAGTTTTCTATAGTGATCAATGACTTCAGGAAGTCCTGGAACACCTCACGTGCCTGGGTACCAGAAGAGAGAAAACCTTAAGTGGCTGTATGTGTTCTTTTGATGAAAGTGTATTCATTCAATGAAATTACTAATCTGACTGCAATATTTGAGTCCTTCTTAGGTTCACATGTGAATCCTTAATTCTGTGACTGCAAGAAAGTCTATGCTCTTTGCTGAGATTAAAGACAACTATGTAACGGTTCCTGATAGCTGTCCAGCTCTGTTTCCCAGGAATGTCTCCCACAAGCCATTCCAGGTATCAGCCCCAATCAGAGCTGTGTTCAGCTCTCTTGTAAAATATTATTTTAAGATGTGTTACATTTGTATATGCTGTGGAGCATTTGTTTAATGATGCAAAGATGTGTTGCATTCTTTTATGTTGTATTTATTTAACTTCATGAATCTGTGCCTTGTTAACACCTGATTGGTCCAATAAAGAGTTGAATAGCCAATAGCAGGGCAGTAAAAAGGATAGGCAGGACTGGCAGGCAGAAAGAATAATCAGAAAGGGGAAAAGGGGATCAGGGAGCAAGAGAACAAGGAGAGGAGAATGCTAGAAACCAGCCACCCAGCCACACAGGTGACCATAGAATAAGAGTGAAAGTAAGATATACAGAAGTAAGAAAGGATAAAGCCCAGAGGTAAAAAGTAGATGGGATAATTTAAATTGAGAAAAGCTGGCAAGAAACAAGTCAAGCTAAGGGCTGACATTCATAAACAATAAAAAGTCTCCATGTATTTACTTGGAATCTGGGTGGTGGGTCCCCCAGAAGAACAAAGAGCCAAAAGAGTAAGGAGTATAAAAACCCAACTACCCAGTTCCCCAAATGCCTATGAGGCAGGTTTAAGGATAGATTGGTAGTCTGGGATCTTATTTGGTTTAGGGTGTGCATCCCTCCCCATCTTGTAATGATGCACTTTCCACTCTGATTCTTTACCCACGTCTATTATGCACACATACCCCTCTCAAAACAACTCACTCAACCCCTCAGACCCTCCCACTGCATTCTAGGACTGGCTACATATTTACTGCTCTCTGAACAATAGTATAAGTGTCTCCATCCCTATGTTAATCAGGCCATGACATGTTCTCTTCAAGTATATTGCCAATGTGTCCTATATAATGGATCTTGTCTCCAGTTGCTTTCAGACATGCTCAGTGCAACCAGGCAAACTTTGTCCTTAAAGCAAAATTTATGAAGAATACCTGTACCTAGTATCTCATGCCTGTGCACAAATGAGAATTCATATTACTAAAATCAGATATACTATATGCATTAGGGAAATTTAATATATGGCCTAATGTATCCTTCAAAGTAGAGAACTACTCAAACAATGACTGTAGTAACTGCCTTTGCCTTCTTTAGAAGTGGGCCATGGTGGGTCATTTGAATATCCTCACAAATATGGCCTCTGCCAGTTTGAACAATATACTCCTCTCTTATATGTATGAGCACTTCACTCTGAATGAACTTGTCCAGCTCCTTTTGGAAATCTGAGTGAGTTTCTCTGTGCAGCACACCCTCAAATGTACAATGGAGAAACTGTTAACAACTAATTGGTATTCCCATGAGGATGATAATACTAACTTAATTTATGAAATGAGTATTCAGTATGCTAGTATCAGCATCATCACCACCACTACCAGTGACATCATCATCTCCATTTCTACCTCCACCTCTTTAAGTTTAAAACTACGTCCTGTTTAGCAAGGAACTATTTGTCCAAGTCAGCTAAAATCATACACATCCTTAGAATCAAAGCTCTTTCTGTAATAACATATATCTTGATTAAAAATTAACAGATTATTCAGCAAATTTCATTCTACTGAGGAAGTGAATTTTTTTAGCTACTTAATATCATACAGTATTTTGTGGGTATAAAGACTAGAATGGCTGAGATACAAGACACTCTGATTTCTCTCAGGGAAGATTCTGTATCTTAGCTTCCAGGAGCAGCCATTACCACTCTGGCTGTGCTCTAGCTGTGTGATCACACCTGCCCCTACTACTCACCTTCACTCCCTTCCTGGGCACTCGCCCATAGCCCAGCTCAACCTTCTTCCTGGTTTCTAAGTAGAGGCTGTGCCCACCAGGAACAGAGAAATCTCCACGTGAGATGCTCTCCCTCAGGGACTCCGAAAGCTTCTCCAGCTCAGCCTGGCAGTAACTGAGAGATGCTTCTTCGTTCTGTCTTATGAAATCTTCCTTCCTTTTATCTATGGTGGCCTGACGGGTAAGTAGAATAAGACAAAACAAAGAAGGAAGTTACAACTGTGACATTCCTGGATGAAGCAGTATGACAGTCCCAGAGTGGACTGGGCCAGGAGGAGGTATGGAGGACTTGCTTTAGCCCTGGTCTGGTCAACTCTGAGTGACTGCTAGAAACCTTAATTTCCTTGGCCTCAAGCTCCCAATCTATGAAAGTGAGATGAAAGGGCATGGAATCTGTGTTCTTCTTTACAGACTGTGATGAAGAGTGTTCATTCATCAACAATGAATAAAAAGTTCAACCAGGAGGGGACACAGCATCCTTGCAGAATGTGCTTTGATGTGGGTGAAAATATCTGCATGGCAAATCCAGTTGTCAGTTATGAATAGGTCTGTGATGAACAGAGAATTGAGTGCTTCAAGAATTTGTTTAAGGAGATTTATAGGTATGAAGTTAAAAACTGAAATTTTAATATTTAAACTTTTAAGTTACAATTGTGCTGTTTTTCTCTCTATTGATGATGTTTGTCACATTTAGAATGGTCAAAGACAAGACACTCAATCCTGCAGAGGGACCTGGAGGCCACCATTCCTGCCTTTCCCCTCCACCCTCTGGTAGATCGAGTGAGAGAGCAAGAGAGCAAGAGAGGGAGTGTAGAGGGACTACATCTGGGAGTGAGGAGAGGATGGACCCTTGAACCCATATCTATCAGAAGAGGGAGAGACCCCAACTATAACCCACTAGAAGAAGAGATGGGAAGGCAACAGGATAAGAGCCCATCCAACAACAGAAAGTCTTATATTACACCACCAGAGTCTAGGGACTCTACACCAACAAGACCTGAACATATCAATGCAGGTGATACAAAGGAGAATGACTTTAAAAACACTTCATGAAGATTATAGAGGCCCTCAAAGAGGATATGAGAAAATCCCTTAAAGAAATGGAAAAAGGGGCTGGAGAGATGGCTTAGAGGTTAGGAGCACTGGTTATGCTTCCTGAGGTCCTGGGTTCAATTCCCAGCAACCACATGGTGGCTCACTACCATTTGTTGAGATCTGGTGCCCTCTTTTCACCTGAAACATGCAGGAAGAACACTGTGTACATAATAAATAAATCTTTAAAAAGAACGAATCCTTTGTATATATCAAAAGTGTACAGTATTAAAAAAAGAAATGGAAGAAAAAACAAACCAAAAAATACAAGAAATCAACACCTCTTAAAGAAAGTAAGGAAAGCCAATTCTGGAAATAGAAAAGCTGAGTAAACAACCAGGAACTACAATTGCAAGTATAACCAACAGAAAGCAAGAGACAGAAGACAGAATCTTAGGTGCTGAAGATAAACAAAATGAAATAGATTCATCAACCAAACAAAATCTTACATCCAACAAATCCTTAACACAAAATATCCAGGAAATATGGGGAACCATGAAAAGACCAAACCTAAGAGTAATAGGTATAGAAGAAGACAAAGAAGCCCAGCTCAAAGTTAAAGAATACATAGTCAACAAAATCATAGAAGAAAAGTTTCCCAACCTGAAGAAGGACTTACCTATGAAAGTGCAAGAAGCTTACCAAACACCAAAAAGACTAGACCAAAACAAAGACCACTCACCACATAATAATCACAACACCAAACATACAGAATAAAGAAAGAATATTAAGAGTAGTGAAGCAAAAAGGCCAAGTAACATATAAAGGAGACCTATCAGAATTACACCTGATTTCTCCATGGAAACTATGAAAACCAGAAGGTCCTAGATAGATGTTCTACAACGAAAGATGCCAGCCCAGACTACTATACTGAGTAAAACTCTCAATCACTATAAATGGAGTACACAAGATATTCCATGACAAAACCAGATTTACACAATATATATCCACAAATTCAGCACTACAGAATGTTCTGGAAGGAAAATTCCAATCCAAGGAAGTCAACTGTACTCAGAAAAGCATAGGCAATAGATAAGCTCACTTTACCAAAAGCCAGAAATAGGGGGAAACCATGCACAATACCTCCACTGAAAACAAATCCAAAACAAACAAGCATCAACAATCAATGGTCATTAATATTTCTCAATGTTAATGGACTTAACTCACCTATAAAAAGACACAGGCTAACATAATGGATATGAAGACAGAATCCATCCTTCTGCTGTGTACAAGAAGCACACCTCACCTTCAAAGAAAGAGGTTACCTCAGAGTCAAGGGTTTGGAAAAGATTATCCAATCAAATGGCCCTAAGAAGCAAGCTTGGGTAGATACCCTAATATCTAACAAGTTAAACTTCAAATAAAAATTAATTAAAAGAGACGCAGAAGGTAATTTCTTATTCATCACAGGAAAAATCCATCAAGATGAAGTCTCAATTCTGAACATCTATGCACCAAATACAAAGACATTGACATTCATAAATGAAATATTACTAAAACTCAAATCACACATTAAATACTACACACTTATAGTGGGAAGCTTCAACACTCCACTCTCGCCACTAGACGGGAACACCAGACAGAAACTTAACAAATAAATAAAGGAACTAACAGAAGTTATGACACTATTGGTATGACACCTATAGTACATTCCATTCAAACACAAAAGAATATACCTTCTCAGTACCACATGGAACCTTCTCTAAATTCGGCCACATACTTGGCAATATAGCAAACCTCAACAGATAGAAAAAATTGCAATAACGCCCTGTATCCTATCAGATCACCAAGGTTTAAAGTTAGAATTCAACAACAACACAAATTTCAGAAACCCTACAAATGCATGGAAATTGAACAATGCACAATTGCACCATTCCTATGTCAAGGAAGAAATAAACAAAGAAATTAAAGACATCCTAAAATTCAATGAGAATGAAGATACAACATACTTAAACCTATGGGACACTTTGAAAGCAGTGCTGAGAGGAAAGTTCATAGTACTAGGTGCCCACATGAAGAAACTGGACAATAGTCACACTACAGAATTAACAGCAAAATTGAAAGCTCTAGAACACAAAGAAGCAAACTCACCATGGAGGAGTAGACACTAGGAAATAATCAAATTGAGGGGTGAAATCAATAAAGTAGAAACAAATAAAACAATAAAAAGAATCAATGAAACAAAAAGTTGGTTCCTGGAGAAAATCAAGAAGATAGACAAATCTTTATCCAAACTTACCAAAAGGCAGAGAGAGAGAGCATGCTAATTAACAAAATCAGAAATGAAAAGGGGAACATATCCATGGATACTGGGAAAATCCAGAGAATCTTCAGGTCATACTTTGAAAACCTGTACTCCACAAAATTAAAAAATGTAAAGGAAATGGACAATTTCCTGGATACATATCACTTAACAAAATTAAATCAAGAAGAGATTAGCAATGAAAATGGACTTATAACCCCTAATGTAATAAAAGCAGTCATAAAAAGTCTCTCAACCAAAAAAAGTCCAGGATCAGATGGTTTCGGTGCAGAATTCTACCTGAAAGCCAAAGAAGAGCTAATATCTGTACTGCTCAAACTGTTCTACACAATAGAAGCAAACTCTTTTTATGAGGCTACAATTATCTTTATACTCAAGCCACACAAAGACACAACTAATAAAAAGAACTACAGACCAAAATCCCCACGAATATTAATGCAAAATTACTCAATAAAATACTAGCAAATTGATTCAAAGAACACATCAGAGACATCATCCACCATGATCAAATAGGCTTCAGCCCAGGGAAGTAGGGATGGTTCAACACATGAAAATCTATCAGTATAATTCACCAAACTGCAATAAACAAACTGCAAAAGAAAAACCACATGATCATCTTACTAGGTGATGAAAAAGCCTTTGACAAAATCCAACGCCCTTTCTTGATAAAGATGCTGGAGAGATGAGGGATAACAGAAACATACCTGAAAGTAATAAAGGCAATATACAGTAAACAAACAGCCAACATAAAACTAAATGGAGAGAAACTCAGCATGATTCCTCTGAAATTAGGAAGAAGACAAATCTGTCCACTTTCTCCATATCTCTTCAATACTGTACTTGAAGTGCTAGCTAGAGCAATAAGACAACAAAGGGAGATAGGGGATACAAATTGCAAAAGAAGTCAAACTTTCACTATTTGCAGACAATACAATAGTTTACATAAATGACCTGAAAAACTCTACACAGGAACTCCTACAACTGATAAACACCTACAGCAAAGTAGAAGGATACAAGATTAACAAAAAAAATCAGTAGCCCTACTATTTACAGATGATAAAAGGGTTGAGAAGGAAATCAGAGACACATCACATTTACAATAGCCACAAACAATATAAAATATCTTGGGGTAACACTAACCCAACAAGTGGAGCACCTGTATAGCAAGAACTTTAAGTCTTTAAAGAAAGAAATTAAACAAGATACCAAAAAATGGAAAGATCTCCCATGCTCTCGGATAGGCAGGATCAATATAATAAAAATGGCAATCTTGCCAAAAGCAATCTACAGATTCAATGCAATCCCCATCAAAATACAATCACAATTCTTCACAGACCTTGAAAGAACAATACTCTACTTTATATGGAAAAACAAGAGACCCAGGATAGACAAAACATCCCTGTACAAGAAAGGAACACCTGGAGGTATCACCATCCCTGACTTCAAACTCTATTATAGAGCTATAGTCCTGAAAACAGCATGGTATTGGCACAAAAATAGTCAGGTAGGCCAATAGAATCAAATTGAAAACTCTGATATTAACCCACATACCCACGAACACCTCATTTTTGACAAAGAAGCTAAAACTATACAATGGAAAAAAGAAGGCATCTTCAACAAATGGTGCTGGCATAACTGGATGGTGGCATGTAGAAGACTGCAGATAGATCCATGTCTATCACCATACACAAAACTTAAGTCCAAAAAGATCAAAGATCTCAACATAAATCCAGCCACACTGAACCGCTTAGAAGAGAAAGTGGGAAGCACCCTTGAACAAACTGGTACAGGAGACTGCTTCCTAACATAATAACAGTAGTGGAGACACTGAGATTGACAATTAATAAATGGGACCTATTGAAACTGAGAAGCTTTTATAAGGCAAAGTACACAGTCAACAGGACAACAGAATGGGAAAAGATATTCACTAACCACACATCCGACAGAGGGCTCATCTTCAAAATTTACAAGGAGCTCAAGAAGCAAGTCTTCAAAACACCAAATAATCCAATTAAAAAGTGGGGTACAGATCTAAATAGAGAATTTTCAATAGAGGTGTCTAAAATGGCTGATAGACACTTGAGAAAGGTGACCAACATCCTCATCCTTAGCCATCAGGGAAATGCCATTCAAACAACTCTGAGATACCATCTTACTTCTGTCAGATTGGCTAAAATCAAAAACACCAATGACAGTTTATGCTGGTGAGGATGTGGAGAAAGAAGAACACTCCCCCACTGCTGGTGGGAGTGCCAACTTGTACAGCCACTTTGGAAATCAGTATGTTGTTTCCTCAGGAAAATGGGAATCAGTCTACCACAGATCTAGCAATTCCACTCTTATGGATATACCCAAAAGGTGCACATGCATACAACAAGAGCATCTTTCAGCTATATTCATTGCAACATTATTTGTAATAACCAAAGCCTGGATGCAACCAAGATAACCCTCAACTGAAAAGTGTATAGAGAAAAATTGGTACATTTACACAGTAGAATACTACTCAATGGAAAAAAACATTGGAATTTTCAAATTTGCAGGCAAATGGATAGCACTAGAAGAAACCATCCTGAGTGAGATAACCCAGTCACAAAAAGACCAACATGGTATGTACTCACTCATATATAGATTTTAGACATGGAGTACAGGATTGCCAGCCTACAGTCCACACTGTCAGGGAGACTGGGAAACAGTGAGGACCCTAAGAGAGACATACATGGTCCCCCGGAGAAGGTGAAGGGGACAGGATCTCCTGAGCAGATTGGTAGTATGGGGGAGTGGAAAGGGAGATGGGAAAAGGAGAGAGGAAGAAGAGGAGGGGAGAGGAAGAAATGGGGACGCAGGAAGATTGAGTCAGGGGAAGAATAGAGGAGAGCAAGAAAAGAGATTCCATCATAGAGGAATCCATTATAGGTTTAAGGAGAGATTTGGCACTAATGAGATTTCCAGAGATCTACAAGGATGACACTAACTGGCAATCTAAGCAATATTGGAGAGGCTACCTTAAATGCCCTTCCCCTATAATGAGACTGATAACTACCTTATATGCCATCCTAATTCCTTCATCCAGTGGCTGATGGAAGCAGAGGCAGACACCCACAGCTAAACACTGAACTGAACTCCCGGAACCCAGTTTCAGAGAGGGAGGATTGATGGGATGGGAAAGGGGGTCAAAACTGGGGTGGTGAAGCCACAAATGCAGCTGACCTGAACAAGGAGTTGCTCACCGATCACACACTGATGGCTAAGATGCCAGTATGGGACTGATTCATACACCTGGAATCTGAATGTCAGTGAGGAGGCCTTGACAATCTATTGGACCTCTGGTAGTGGATCAGTATTTATCCCTGCCATACAAATGGACTCTGGGTGACCATTCCATGCAGAGGGATGTGCTGTTGGCCTGGACACATAGGGGAGGGCCTGGGCTCTGCCCTGGATGATATGACAGACTTTGGCGATCCCCCATGGAGTGCCTCACCCTCTCTGGGGAGCAGAGGGAAGATGGGATGGGGGTTGGTGGAGGGCAGGTAGGAGAGGAGGGAGAGTGAGCTGGGGTTGACATATCAAGCAGGATTGCTTCTAATTTAAATAAAAATAGTCAAAGATAGAGTAAAAGAAAAACATTATGACAGCATCTCTGGTCATTAGAATGATGCTGTTACAAGAATTTCCTCACTTGGCATCTATATCCTGCATCATCCCAGAATAAGGTGGACATTAATCCTGAGACTACATCATTATACAGCAGAGACTGGCTTGAAGAAATGGCCTTTACTGACCCAGAAGGGCAGTCATAACCTAGAGAGCTTCAGCATGTCAACTCCCCAAGTATACATGAATTCATTAATTTATAGAGACATTTTAAAGAGAAGTAACAGTTGGTCAGCTCTGATGGGTAGATATCACATTATTGCCTTGGAAGATCCTAAGAAAGACAACATTTAACCTGTTTTTAATATTTAAACTTTGTCAAGAGTGAAAATAAAAAAGGAATGATGTTTACTTAAGCATAGGAACCTGCCAAAATCACCTGTCTGCAGTTGATTACAGAGAGGAATACCAGAGATGAGAAGCAAGAAAGGACAGAATGCCCACTGGCACACTAGAGCCAGAAGGGACTCTCGGAGCCTGTAGACAAGAGCAGAGACCCATATGCCCAATTCTGCATATGATTTGAAGAATAATGGCTTATAAATATATTTTTAAAGACACTAAGCACATACCAACCTATTCTATAGCAATAAAAATGAAGTTGGACTAGAGAGATGGCACAGCAGTCAAGAACAATGACCGTTCTTCCAAATGGCCAAGGTTCAATTGCTAGCATCCACATGAGAGCCCACAACCATCTGTAAATCCCCATACAGGAGATCCAATGTACCACTCTAGTCTTTATGGTCACTACATACCTTTAATACACAGGTGTAAATCCCCATACAGGAGATCCAATGTACCACTCTAGTCTTCACGGTCACTACACACCTTTAATACACAGGTGTGCAATTGACAAAAGACCATACACGTATTTTCTTAAAAACTATTAAAAACAAAAAGCATATAATTGAGCAAAGGATAGAGTTGTGCTGAAGAACTCTGCTACCCAGAAGAACTATGGCTCCTTCATGATAGGAAAGATACAACGTGGAATCAAAATATAGAGCCTTATGGCAGCAGAGAAGGCATCAGTAAGGCCAAATGCTAAGGCATATTACCACAAGCTTCTTCTGGAACTTCCACTGGTCATCTGAGAAGGAGTGCTCCATGAAGACAGCAATGGCTTCTTTCTCACAGGCTGTGTGCACACCCAGCAGCTCCTGGAGTGTGTCTGTAGGGAGCCTCAATTTCTGAGCCACCTGCTCACAGTAGTGGTCAGCTGCCCTCTGCATTGCTATGGAGTTCTCACGCTCGGCCAGTGTTTTTACTGCGTTCTCTATGCAAGGAACTGCCCCGCTATTGATGGCATTCACATATGCCGCCACTAGAGTTCCCAGTCCTAAGGAGACATAATATTTAGGGTGCACTAGAAAATTTTCATTCCCTGTTTTACAAGATTTGGTTGCCTATGTCCTTGAAAGCCCCATAATGCTGAATATAAAGTTCTCTTTTCTTTCTTTGATTTTCCTCCTTGTCCCCATCTTCATCCTGCTTCTATGAATTCACTTGCATGTAAAAATACCAATTCTATTTCTTATTTATCAAGTTTTATTGTCCCTCATCACACTACAAAATTAAATTAAGTGATTAAAGCAGTATGTTCAAAACATACCCAGAACATTTTTCCATCAAAACAAATGAAATGCCCTATTACATAGAAAAAATGTTTAATTTGTGAGCCCCATATGCAAATGAAAATGTAGAAGCTTTGTCCATCAAGTCCAGAGTTTCAAGGCCATGAGGCAGAAGTGAATGAAGCATGGACCTGTCTTAGCATGGATTATTGCAGATGTCCCACATCCACAGAGCCTACTCTGTAAAGAAGATTAAGTTCAAATTTCTTTCTCACTCTTTCACTAACCATGCACAGCACTCATGGCCTGCTGTGTCTTTTTCTGACTCATGTAAATCAACCGAAATCTTTTGTTGGTTGGCTGATGGACTGTGATGCGGGGATTGAACTTATGATCCTATATGCATGCTAGGTCACCATTCTTCCACTGAGCTATACCCAAAGTGCTGCTTTATATTTAATAATTTATCTATTTATTAATTAATGTTTTCTGGTTTTGAACATGAAACCACTGGCATGCTTACCTTATGCCTTACTTGCATGCTGGTCAAGTGCCTTCCTATTGAGCTAGGTCAACATGCCTGTTTTATATCTATTTGTTAACTTAAGTAATTGACAGGCTAGTTATTTTTTTTCTTGTTCTGGTGATTGAGCCAGTTCCTTGCCCATTGTAATCACTTTCTGCACCACTGACCTCAGCTCTCCCTTCTTTTGTCTATTATCTTGAGACAATTTACTAAGTTGGCTTGGTTGATATCAAGCTAGAGATCCCCTTACCTCAGCATCCTATATAGCTGATATTACAGCTACGTATCAAAACATGTTTTATGTATTTACTGAGAAACCATTATCTTATATTCTTTATTACTATGCAGATTTCTCTCTTTCCTAAATAGGGAAACTTTAATAAAGAAGTGTAGATTTCTATGTATGACACAAGCTTCTGCATTCCCACATTCCTATAATATAGTAAATAAAAGTACCGACAGTTCTATCAAAAAATCCAGACTTCGCCCTGTAGTGACCCACCAAAGACACAATAAGCCTTTCAAAAGTGACTTACGATTCCCCGTGACCAGGATTCCCTCTCTGAGTTTCTTGGTACTTGCATAGGTGAAGATATGAGAACAGAAAGTCTTCGACTGCTTCTGAAATTTAGGATTCAGTTGGTTTTCTTGTATGCTCTCAATTTTGGCTAAGAGTTGTGGGTCACTCACTGGCCAGTCAAAGACAAAACATTTCCGCCTGGGAAAGAATTGTCTTATGCACTCCCTGGGCCAATTGGATGCCTGGATTTGGGGATTCTGCCCTGAGGAAGAGAAAAAACAGTCCGATGGGCATATCTGGTGGGTTGAAAATAAGTCACAGTTTTGCTTGCTTGTTTTTTTAAAAATTTTTTGTTTTTTTTCACGTTTGGTTTTGGCTTTTAGATAAGGATTCAAATATCCTAGCCTAGGCTGGCCTTGGACTCCCTATGTAAACCAAAAAGACCCCGAATTCTTGATTCTTCTGACTCCACCTGCTGAATGTGAGACTGCAGGAGTGTGCCAGCACACCTGGATTAGGAGGTGCTAGGCATCAAAGCTAGGGCTTTGCCTACCATAGACAAGCAGTTTATCAACTGAGCTATAATCCAAGCAGGCAATGGTTTACATTATTTTCATTTTATTCATTAATTTATTTAAATAGATTTGTTTTCATACAATATATTCTGATTACAGTTTCTCCTTCCCCCAGCTGATCTCACCTATTGTATTTCCCTCACCACACAAATCCATACCCTTTCTTTCTCTCTCTCATTAGAAAACAAACAAAACATATAATAACAACAATAATAAGATAAAATAAAAAACAAACTAGAACAGGACAAAATGGGCAAACAGAAAAAAGGTTCAGAGGAAAAGTACAAGAAACAATTACAGACACAAACACACACACTTTTTCATACAGAAAACCCCCACACAAAAACCTGGCAACTATAATATATAAGTAAAATATCTGCAAGGTTAAAAATGCCAGACAAAGCATTTGAGACCAAAACACCCTCATAAATGCTAATTAGTTCACATTGCGTTGGCAATGTGCTCCTGGGCATGAGTATTTTGATTTTTGAAGGTGCCATATACATGGATGTGTGACAATCTTCACACACTACTTCCCTCTCATCCCCTCCCACCAACTCCTTTCTCCTTCCCAACTCTCATGTCACATTTTTTCCATCTTTCTTCCTTCCTCCAGGCCCTATGCATACAATCACATGTACTACTCTGTGCATGACTGCAATGACCATATCACAATCAAGGCAAGAGAACCCCAACACATCCCTCACCACTGTTTGAGGGGAGAGTTGTCTTCATGCCTGTTTAAAAAAATTATGAAGAATATACCTGAACAAGTTTTAGAAAGTATGTTTTTGAAATTAGACTTAGTATGTTAAATAGATTATTCCAACAGACAGTTTTTTATTGAGATTTTGTGTCTAACAAATAAGCATGTAATTATTTTCAGCAAAGTAAAGCAGAAGTCAACATAGCAAACATAAATGCTCAGTCTTCAAAAATTTCTCATTTTTCCTCATCTGAGTCTAAGATATATCTTGGGTAAAATACAACTTAACTTCAAGTATCCTTGTTTGGTATTGGACTCTGCTCTTCTTGAGTGAGTTTAAATTTCTAACCTTAAGTATTTCCACCCAACTTCCAGTTCCCATGTCTATGGACTTCAGTTTAGCCTCAAATGCCAATGTTACTCCAGACATGATGGGAAGTACTCAGTGGATCCCACCCCTACTAAGATATCCTGTATCCAGTTGAAGCTCTGATACCTGGAATCAGCTTCAAAGCATTCTCCAAGTATTCATCTTCTGTGATGCAGCGACCATCTAACTTCAGCTCCAGGGTGAAGTCCCGTACAGTCCAGATAAAATCTGGAAAGAAACTCACAAACTCTCTAGTATCTTCTATGGCATCAGATCTTGGGGAGGACTTTGCTTTAATGAGCTCTGTGAGTTTTGTCACATAACTAGAACTCAGCTAAGGAAAAGGAACTCAAAATCACAATTCCCACAATCCCTTTATTTAAAAAGTACAAACATTGTTTTATGTTCTGTCTTATCTGATCCATCAATAGCAATTCAGCCACACCTGAGTCACATTAATAAAAGTTCTTCAATAAAAGATAGAACCTTGGCTCCTTGAAGGATACTGTAGCTTCTCCAGGGCATCATTGTTGATGGTGCTCATGCTGTTGTAGACAAAAGTGCTGCTCAGAAGAACGGCCAGGGCAAAGATCCAGGCATCATTCCTAGGGTCACCCTAGAAGGCACAGGTGTAATGGTCTTTGGAACTAACTCTTTTCTTAACCCTCATTTAGAGCTCACCATATTTTTGTTCTCTTGAGCTTTCATCTACTATTTCAACGAATCTGCAGAGGAACAAGCTTTAAGGACATGAGCACACATTTCAGTTTTAATTATTGCATTGGGAATTTTTGTGAACACATTTTCTTGATGATAGAATTTGACTGATATTTTCTTTATAGTGTTTTCTCTTCCTTCCTTTCTTCCTTCCTTTTTTCTTTTTTTTTTTAAACAATGAGATCGAGTAATGTAGTGCCTATAGTAAAACCCAACATGGTATCTAGAACAAAATTAGATGTTCAGTGGAATGTACTAGTAATTATTCATTCAGAACGCATTTGAGCTTTGTACCATACACTCGACATGACTGAGGACTCTACCAATTAAAAACAACAGTTATCTATACCAACTAGGTGTATCATACTGTGTGTATACTCCATGGAAAATTTGAAAGCAATGTATTGCAAACTGGGGAATCCAGCCTCCAGTCAGCACCAGGGTATGCAAAAAAAAAATTCATGAGTGCAGTGAGAACTAAACTTCTCTGTCTAAAAGGAAATAAGGAAACACACCTGATGGTAAATTTCTTTTGACTTCACCTTGAGAAAAACTTCACTCTCTGCAAACCTCTCTTGCTCCTCTACATGACTCTTCTTAGATTGCCAATCAGCTCTACACAGGCTCCTTATTACTCTACATAACAGCGTCCCTATACAGCCAACCTCTGGAGACTTATATGTTACATTTTCAGGGCCCGACCCATTCTCATAAGATAAGCTTGCACAGTTTTTCTAGAGAGGTCACATTGGCTGGCCAGTGAGTAATGGTTGGCCATGTACATAGTTCTAAGTTGGTGAGGGTTTCCAGACATAAAATGACATTGAAATTCAGGACTTAAGAGTATCAGTTAGTTGTATCCTGAATAATAGGAAGTACATGCAGAAAGTCCATTACTTTATGAGGTTTATGTCTACCAAAGTTGTCTCAAGCCTAACCTTAATCAACAACAAACACCTGGGAATTTGTCCTTGTGTATTTATCTCCATGGACAACCAGTTTGTTTTGAATTTGTTCTGAAGTCTAAAAGTAGACTTTGTGACTGAAAATACTATAACTTTCCTGTGTCAGTCTGAATAATGAAAAATATCCTAGTATCATTTCTACTCATCAAAATTACACAGTTAAATAGAAACCATCTCCCTGATCAGCCACAGCTATATATGTGCTCAAAGTTGAATATTTTCATGAGACAAATACAAACGGTGGAAAAAATACCCATAACATGGGGAAAATTACATACAGGAGCAACTGGACATTTACAGTGAGTTACTTAACTCCACAGTGTTTTCAGGTGGGGCTCCCCTTCAGAGAGCCATTTGTTTGGAGGGACAACTTGATGAATACTCCCACTGCCATTGCCACCAGCGGTTCTCGGCAGTAATGGCAATGATAAATTTATAAGATGAATTCAACAAGCTTGGGCTTTCCTATTAATGACAGATAAGAGGATGGCAAGATCTTCATACATTAAATTGAATATGTCTCAAGGGAAAAAAACATTAATTTAGACAGTTGGAAAACTACTACTGGCTAAGTTGTTCTGGGAGCCCACCACGAAGTGTTAAGGACTTGTTGGAATAAGGACATGATGGACTGATGCTGTCATGGAGGTGGAAGCCTGCAGAAGCACCGCCATAGATACAATACTGTAGAAATACTTCCAGTCCACATTAAGTTACTTTCTTTGCTACTGGAGGGGTTAAAATGTTGGACTGAATTCAGAGGCAAGATGACAAAAGACCTTAAAAGTCAAGCAATTTTGCTTATATAAATTATACTACTCTCTAAATTACAGTATAATACAGAAATTATGTTTTCTGTAAATGGTTTATAAAACATAGTCCTTAGCCATTAAATAAATGCAAAAATAAAATTTTTGATAGGGATTGCCCATGGACTTTTTGGTGAAAAAAGTTGCCTATAGAGCAAAATTTAAGAAGAAACCAGTTAGGAAAATCAATAGTATGAACTGTGCTAAAGGACAAAACCCTTAAATACTGGGAAGATAACTTTGTTTGGTGTGTGGTTTTAAAGGGAAATTGACTCCCTAACTTCAATTTGGAAATACATAAAGACTTATAGAAATACAGATATTCTTTATAAATCAGTCTCCAAGTAAGATTAAAGAAAGAAAAGAAAAACAAGAAGTAGCACTTACCTAGTGTATTTTATATTATAAAATATCAGAACATTCATCTAAGAATGTTTGATTTTATAAAAATCCTGGGAGTATGGTCTCACAGCCATGCTGCATGGTGTGTGTGTGTGTGTGTGTGTGTGTGTGTGTGTGTGTACAGTAAATATCCACAGTAAATGCCATCAAATTTCAATGCTGACTTCAAAATGCGCTGTTCATCTGGTGCCTCAGAAAGTGGCTCCCAAGTCTTCCTTAACTTGTGAGACGGGTCATTGCCTCTCTGCTTCCCTTTTAGGTCAGCTTTACACCTATCAGCTGTGATGAAGCCCATTATTTGTTGAGTGGGGAAGTTCTAGGCAGTACTAGCACACAAGCTCTGGTGAGTGGTGATGAATGACCCCTTGCAGGTGTTAGCCTGATGATGAGAACTGTCTCCATGGAAAACTTCCAATTATGAATTGTTGTTCCAGTTCAAGGCAGAGGAATCATTTTTGAAACATAGTTTCCATGCAATTGAATAAGTTTTGGGAATGTCCCCTCTACCTTACACTTCTCCTACCCCCATATTCCACAGGTTTCACCAAGGGGTTTGTGCCAATAAAGCATTGCACCATATGGTTGCTCTCATGGGAGCCCACCTTGTTTAAATACTGATGCAACAATAGCAGGAGATCAAGGCTACCAAATACACATGGTTAGGATACCTGCATTAGGGCAGAGCCTTTCCTCCTTTCACCAGTGTCTCTAGAGCTAATTCCAAGGGACTAAGACTGAGCTGCTAAAAGAGTATTGGTTAAATGCAGTGTGATTATTCACTTCTTTGAAAAGCAATAAATACTTTATCTAACAGTATACAATATTTGGAGTTCTCTTTTTCCTGGTAATGTGGCTGAAAGCACCAAGTTTAACTTATCTTCTATAGTTTCGTTTCTAGACAGGAAGATTACATGCTGTATGTTGAATTGCAGGATATTATTAAACCACAAGGAGAAATCAAGAGTACTGTCATCTGACACTCCCTTTCTGACTCACCTTTTCTACATCCCCGAGACCCTCAGTGTCTAGAAGGACGAGGGTGTGATTTGGCTTGGTGGGATGGGGCACACACCACATCCAGATGCCTTTGGTTTGGGACTGTACTGTGGATCCCAGAGGGAAGCCTGAAGGGAAAAGAAAAAGTATATATATATATATATATATATATATATATATATATATATACACACACACACACACATACACACACACACACACACACACACACACACATATATATATATATATATATATATATATATATATATATATATAGAGAGAGAGAGAGAGAGAGAGAGAGAGCAGATAGACCAGGCAGGAAAGGAACTGTTTTATTTCAACATGGTAGAAAATCCCTGGAAATTGAATGGTGTTGTCTCCATTTCATCATTAGCATCTGACTTTGTTTACCATTCATTTTAAGAATCGAGAATAAGTCAGTTGTTTGGACAATGCTAAGTAAGGGTCCGAGATGGAAGTGGAAGTGGATCTTCTGAGTGAATTTAAGTGAACGCTGCTGATGACAAGACTAAGTCTGAACAGACAGGCTTTAAAGCCTGCACGGAAAAAGGATAATCAACTCGACATCATCTCCAGTCACACAGTGAGTTCAAGGCCAGCCTGGTATATCAGAAACCACACCCACAAAAAGAAATGTATATGTAAATAAAAGTTGAAGTTAAATTTTAAAATAAATGGTGGCTTGAAACATGTAGAGGCTATGGGGGAGCAGGCAAGAAATTGGAAGAATATCATTTTATTTTTAAAAAATGGTAAATGAGTCACAGGGTACTCATGGTGGAATGTGGAGACCTAGGGATTTGAACATGGTGGGTAACAAAGTCACCTTAATATGATAGGCACATTCCACACAGACAAAAAACATTTTTCTAAAGAGGGGAGATGCAACTACAACTTTCAAGGAAGAGAAGGCTAAAACAAACTAATTGGAATGAATGTCGATCATTAACTCAAGGTTAAGATTTACTTTTCTTTTCCAGATAGATTGGCCTTCCCATATGGGAATCTATCACAAATAAGAACATAAGCTATAAGGAATTGAAGCAATTAGCCTCTGTTCAGGACAACACTCACCATTGTTCTGCCCAGCTAGGCAGTTCATCAGGTATGATTTCCCTGTACGGTACATTCCCACAATGCTCACTACCACCACAGGCTGAGAAATATTGTTAAGAATCTGAATGGCTCCTGGATTCACTGACAGCTGCTTGTTCTTATTTTCCACCAGGCACATGGGGGCCTTCATGGTTTCTGCTGCCATGACAACCTGTCCAATCAAAAAGGCTGTTAGTACAATACTGCATCCTGGACGTACTTCAGATGGTGCTTATTCAAGGCATGTTCATCATAGCTTCCTGCTTGTGTAGCTCGAAGCTTCCTGGCTTCTCTCAAGTCATGATGGCACAAACTGCATGTTAAAACCAAAACAATGTTTTTCTTGTCCCATGTTTGGGTCAAACATCCAAATGTTTGGTAAGTGGGCAGGGCAATGTGCTCTGAGGGAAATTCGGGGGTTAATGCTTGTCTCTGAATGCCAGCTGGCTCAGGTCTTTCAAGGAAATGTCATTTCATTGGTAGTTCATATTCCATTTCTTTGACTTCTGTCTCTTTCTAATTTCCCTCTGCCTCTTTCTTTAAAGTACATTAGTCAATTATACAAAGTGCTCACAGAAGGAAAAACAATGCAGCCTTCTTTTAAGACTTATAACTTAATTATGCCGTTGACAAAATCAAATCTGGAGATGACATCCCAGGAACTTGCTCTGGCAGCTAGGACGTGGACACATATTTGGAACGCTGAAAAGCAATCAGTGTTTTCTTTCTTGAAGAGTACCCTGTGTTGGAGAGAGTAATCCTATGACCCTGTTTTAGACTTGCTGAATAGAAGCAGCAGGATTTCTGTTAAATGCCTTCTGGACCTGTGAGGTTCATATTTGCCTCAAATGCAAATTATATCCATTGCATTCTAACTTCTATAAAGCCTTTAACTACTGTGACATTAGCTTCATTTCTAAACCTAAACTTAAATGCATGAAATCTAAATATAAATCTATTTAAGCCATCATCTAAAGTCTTATTGACTCAGTGTTTCCAGAACCCAAATGAGTCTTCTGTGTACATACTAGGGTTCCATATAAGAGCACAGAATGGTGCATTGCTGATTCTTCACGGATAGCCCATGTTCACTTCTCTTTTGTGCAGAAGTCCTGAGACGATCCATGCATCACATGGCCAACACATCAACAAAAATTTCTCCATCCATGCACTTGGTTTTCTTTGTACAGTACCTTTCCCAAGAGGAATTTCCTAACTGTGGCATCCTTTGGAATCTTCATGGATAGGTCAAATATTGCCTACTGTTTCCTACTTACTTTCTTCCCTAACACATTTTCTCTAAGCAGCAAGGAGAAACAAGATTTCCCCTTCAAATCACCACAGCTAAAATTCAAGGTCATTCTTACAAGTATCTCTTTCATACATGAATGTTAATTAATTTAGGCACGTTTTCTGCTTCTAGTCACATGCTCCTCACTTTCTTCTGTGCCTTGACCAACGTCTCCTTTATATTCACTTTACCAGCACCATTTTATTAGTGATAATATGTGTCTGTTTCTTAGGATGACATATGCTTTCTGTGACATTCTCCTCACTTCCTTCCAAGCTATCACCAGAAAACCTAGTGTCCACATTTTCACCGACATTCCTTTCAATGCAATCTAGAACTTTCTATGATTCTCTAGCTTCCAATCATTGTTAACCTGTAGTTACTTCCATGGGTCTAAGTATTTGTTATGGCAACATGGTATGTTTCAGTGGCTAGGTCTTATTGATTTCTAAGTCTACTTCAACAAAAAGGCAAATCAAGTGGCTTGAAATATAGAAAATTACTCTCTCATCTCTTGGAGGCCAGAGGTTCAAAAACTATGTAAGAAGTGGTATGCCTCTCATCAATTTAAGATGAGAGTCTTCCTTGCTTCTTCATGGTTTTGGAGTCTCTTCAGCTTCAGGTTTTTCCCTCTCTCTTTTGCTTGATATCATCATCTCCACTTCTCTGTTATTATTAGATAAAAAGCTTACCTTAAAATCCAAGATGACATCATTTTGAGAGATTTAATTAGTACAAATGTTCAAACATATCACAGCACTTGAGTACCATCTGAATCCAGCATTCCATGCAACCAAATCTCCTGTCCATGACCAAATACCCAGTGACACATTTTATACAATACTATTGATAATGAATGTATCTGTATAGAAATGCTTATTCTCTTTATCTTACTGATCCTGAGAGGGAGCCTGGAGACTGCCAAGGAGCAAGGCAATAAATAGCATTCCTCCCTGGTCTCTGCTTCAGTTCCTGCCTCCAGGCTCCTAACTCAAGTCAGGCCTTAACTTTCCTCCAAAATGGAATGTGACCTGAGAGTTGTAAGTTGAAATAAACCATCTCTCTCCAAGCTGCTTCTGGTCATCATGTTTATCACAGAAATAGAAACCCTATATAATGGTGTAATGCAACAATCACCCTTCTATCTCATTTGAGATTCTGTATATATTATTAAACATCAAACTAGCCCACTTTCCAAAACTGCAGTAAACACGTTTTTTAATTTTTATATGTTCTCTGCCTATTCTGTGTGAATAATGTGGGATGGAATACCTGACATCCAAGAGCCTCTTTCTTTTCCTCAGCTAATTGCTTCATGTGTTCCTGGAGACTCTCTCCTTGCTGAGGTATTATGTGCTGTTCCATCTTGTGCATATCTTCCAAAATTTTCATGGCAGCATGGGGATATCCAGCTTCTTCTTGTACTATTGAGAAGGAAAATGAATGAGAAAAGTAATGTAGCATTACTCTGCCAGTTCCTTCTTTATGCTATCATTGCTATTACATAGATAAAATTCTGTCACCTTAGTTTTTCACTGGAAAATCCCACCTCTATTAACCCTTCATGCCTTACTCATGAATAGTTTTATGAACTATAGAATTCCTTTGTTACATAAACACTTTATATATATATATGTGTGTGTGTGTATGAAAGAGAGAGAAGAGAGAGAGAATATTGTACTTTAATGATTATATGTGGAACAGTATGAAGGGCTGTGGTAGTTAAGCAAAGGGCTTTTATGGACATCAGATGCTAAACCTCTGATGGTGTCTGGGACATGGATCACTGGCTATATACCATGTAGCTGTGACCCATCTGTGAGCTTGTACAGTCTATACATCAAAACAAGACCATCATCCTAACTTGTGGAAGATGAGGATGATGAGGACTTCCTCCTCATGGTCATTGGCCACAAAGCAAGCATGATCCTGAACTGCATCCAGAGACGTCATTTAGTCCCATCCAATTCATCTTATTATGCATCACACGCCTGGTATGTCCCAAGGTGCAGGTAGGCCCTGAGCAAATCCTATGGACTGAAGATGTCTAGAAGCATGGTGGGAATAATATTGAAGTGATTCAGATTATGGCACAGGTAGCTCTCTATTTTAAATAGTGTCTTGGTTGTACAATTGAAAGGGCATCTCAACTTGTGATGGACTTTTCACAGAGTACTGTTTAGGTTACATTAGTCAGTGCCAGTGCCATGGTAGCTAGTGGCTAACACACTTTCTTCCTCCATAGGTTTCATCTTTACAAAACTGATCAAAGAACAGATATGCATGCATTAAGAGTAGTTCATTTAGTGACAATGACCTGATGCCCTGAAGTTGCTCTTAAATTTGTGCCCTGGCAAAAGTGTAGAGGAGAAAGCTCTGTTTTAGAATTTATAGATTATGACAATTCATAGACAATGTACCTTTTTCTTTGTTTCTCTTTTCCATAATCTGAATCTCATTCTGAAGCCTTATACTCTCTTCTTTGATCCCCTCCTTAAGCAGTCGCTCCTGTTCCTACAAAGAAAATTGAGTAGTGAAGCAACAAGAATAACAAGATGGATGAATTTATTCTGAGCTTCCAAACTCACTCTCTTTTTACAATCAGCTTTCAACACCTTTTCTCTGTTGCTATAAGTATTATTTGACATTATATATATATATATATATATATATATATTGCATTCTGGCCATTTTCATCACCCATTATCCTCTTCATTCCCTTCTGGGATAGGATGGGCCCACTGTTAAATTGGAGTCTTACCTATATCTCCTGATTGTGGGCTCCATTAAAGAGAGAGAGAGAGAGAAACAAAAAGACCCAGGATAGACAAAACAACCCTGCGCAATAAAGGAACTTCTGGATGCATTACCATCCCTGAATTCAAGCTCTATTATTGTGCTATTGTCATGAAAATAGCTTGGTATTGGCAAAAATATTGACAGGTAGATGAATGAAATTGAACACTCCAATATTAACCCATACATATATGAACACCTGATCTTTGACAAAGAAGCTAAAATGATATAAAGGATAAAAGAAAGCATCTTCAACAAGTGGTGCTGGCATAACTGGATACTGGCATGTAGAAGACTGAATATAGATTCATGTCTATCACCATGCACAAAACTTAAGTCCAAATGGATGAAAGACCTCAACATAAATCCAGCCACACTGAACCTCTCAGAAGAGAAAGTAGGAGGTACCCTTGAATGAATTGATACAGGAGACTGCTTCCTGAACATAGCACCAGTAGCACAGACACTGAGGTCAACAATTAATAAATGGGACCTCCTGAAACTGAGAAGCTTCTGTAAGGCAAAGTACAAGCCAACAAGACTAAAAAGTAACTCACAGAATGGGAAAAGATATTCACCAACCCCACATCTGACACAGGGCTAATCTCCAAAATTTACAAAGAACTCAAGAAGCAAGTTTCCAAAACACCAAAGGATCTAATTAAAAAGTGGGCTTTAGAACTAAATAGAGAATTCTCAATAGAGGAATCTAAAATGGCTGAGAGACACTTAAGAAAGTGCTCAATATCCTAAGCCACCAGGGAAATGCAAATCAAAATAACTCTGAGATACCATCTTACTTCTGTCAGAATGGCTAAAATCAAAAACACCAATGACAGTTTATTCTGGAGAGGATGTGGAGAAAGGGGAACACTCCTCTACTTTTGGTGGGAGTGCCAACTTGTATATCCACTTTGCAAATCATTATGGAGATTCCTCAGAAAAATGGGAATCGGTCTTCCACAAGACACAGAAATTCCACTCATAGGAATATACACAAAGACACACATTCATACAACAAGGACATCTGTTCCACTATATTCATAGCAGCATTATTTATAATAGCCAGAACCTGGAAGCAACCTAGATGCCCCACAGCTGAAGAGTGGATAGAGAAAACATGGTCTATTTAAGCAATGAAGTACTATTTAGTGGGGGAAAATGGAATCTTGCAATTTGCAGGTAAATGGATGGCACTAGAAGAAATCATTCTGAGTGAGGTAACTCAGTCACAAAAAGACAAACATGGTATGCTCTCACTCATATATGGATTTTAGACCTGGATCAGGGGAGTGTCAGCCTATAATCCCACTGCCAGAGAATCTGGGAAACAGAAACTTCAACCAATGACTGATGGAAGCAGAGGCAGACACCCACAGCTAAACACTGAACTGAATTCCTGGAACTCAGTGACAGAGAGGGAGCACTGATGAGCAAGGGGTCAAGACTGGGCTTGTTTAACCCACAGAAACAGCTGACCTGAACAAGCGGAAGCTCTTGGACCACAGACTTATGGCTGGGAATCCAGCATGGGACTGATCAAGTCAGTGTCAGTGAGGAAGCCTAGGAAATCTATGGGGACTTGGGTAGTAGATCAGTATGTATCCCTGGCATATAAATGGATTTTAGGTGCCCATTCCACAATGAGGGATGCTCTCTCAGCCTGGACTCTTGGGGGAGGGCCTAGGCCATGCCCTGAATGAAATGATAGACTCTGGATATCCTCCATGGAGGGCCTCATCCCCCCTCGGGAATGGAGTGGGTTTTGGTGGGGGACTGGGAGGGTTGGTGGGGTGGCAAGGGAGGAGTGGAAGGAGAGGGAGCCAGGATTGACATGTGAAGCAACATTGTTTCTAATTTAGTTTAAAAAATCGAGAGAGAGAGAGAGAGAGAGAGAGAGAGAGAGAGAGAGAGAGAGAGAGAGAGAGGGAAAGGAGGTAGCCTTAGGACTGCCAAATTCATACCTGAATTTGGTGACTTAAATACTGACAGTCCAGTGTTACAATGAGCATGGCTGCATTGGTCCATTCAGAGGTTTACTTTACCTGAGGGATCATTAGCATTAGAAATGTCAACCAGAGATACAACACCCTTTACAATAGCCATAAATATTATAAAATATCCTGGGGCAACTCTAACCAAAAGTGAAAGATCTACATACATGAACTTTAAGTCTTTGAGAAAGATATTGAAGAAGATAACAGAAAATGAAAAGATCTCCCATGTTCTTGGATAAAAATGTCAATCTTACTATAAAGCCATCTATAGATTCAACAAAATACCCATCAAAATCAACACAATTCTTCACAAACCTCAAAAGAACAGTGCTCAATCTCATGTGGAAAAACAAAAAATCAAGGATAGCTAAAGGAATCCTGTACAATAAAGGTATCATTATCCATGACTTTAAGCTCTATCGTAGAGCTATGGTAATAAAAAAAACATCTTGGCCTTGGAATAAAAACAGACAAGTGGATCAATTGAATAGGATTGAAGTCCCTGACATCAATCCAGAAACCATGAACACCTGATTCTTTAGAAAGAAGCCAGAATCATACAATGGAAAAAGAAAGCATCTTCAACAAATGATGCTGCCATAACTGGAGGTTGGCATGTAGAAAAATGCAAATATATCCATATCTATTATGATAAACAAAACTCAAGTCCAAGAGAAAAAAAACCTCAACATAAATTCAGTTACATTGAACCTGATAGAAGAGAAATTGGGAACTAGCCTTGAACACAGGAGGCTACTTCCTGACTATAATATCAGTAGCACAGACTTTAAGAGCAACGATTAATAAATGAGAACTCCCCAAAGTGCAAAGCTTCTGTAAGGCAAAGGACACAGTCAATTAGACAAAATGTCAGCCTACAGAATGGGGAAATGTCTTCACCAACTCCACATCTGACAGAGGGCTGATCTCATAAATACATATAAAGAACTCAATATACTAGACATCAAAGTACCAAATAATTGAATTACAAATGTGGTACAAATTTAAACAGAAAGTTCTCAGCCCAGGAATCTCAGATAGTGAAAAGGCATTTAAAAAATTGTTCAACATCTTTAGACATCAGGGAAATGCAAATCAAAACAATTTTGAAATACCTTCTTACACCTGTCAGAATGACTAAGATCAAAAACACTGTTGATAGCTTATGCTGAAGATGATGTGGAGTAAGGGTAACACTCCTCCATTGTTGGTTGGAGTGCAAACTGGTACAGCTACTTTGGAAATCAATATGGTGATTTCTCAAAAAAATGGGAATCAATCTACCTCAGGACATAGCAATTCCAATATTGGCCGTATATTCAAAGGATGCTCAATCATACCACAAGGACACTTGCTAAACTATGTTCATAGTAGCATTATTCATAATACCCAGAACCTGGAAACAATCTAGATGCCAAAGAATGGATAAGGAAATGTGGTACATTTACACAATAGAGAATTGCTCAGCTGGAAAAAATGACCTCATGAAATGTCCTGGAAATGGATGGAACTATAAAAAATAATTCTGAGTGAGGTAACCCAGAAACAGAAAAACAAATATGGTATGTACTCACTCATAAGTGGATATTAGGAGTAAAGTACAGGATCACCAGAGAGCCTAGATAACAAAGATGGCCTACAGAGGGATGCATGGATTTATTTTCCTGAGAAGGGATAATTGATGAGATCTCCTGGGTAAACTGGGGGCAGTGGTGGAGGTAGTGGGGATTGGGAATGTAAGGGAGTGGATTGGGCAGTCTGAGTGCAGGAGGCAGTTGAAGGGGGCAGGCTGGAGGGCTATGGAGAAAACTTGTACCAGGGAAACTCTCTGCAATCCACAAGGGTGACCCTAAATAAGACCCCTAACAGTAGTGGAGAGGGTGCCTGAACTAGTCATCTCTTATAATCAGATTGGTGACTATCCTAATTGTCATCTTAGAGCCTTTATCCAGTAACTGATGGAAGCAGACTCAGAGATCCACAGCCAAGTACTAGGCAGAACTCTAAGAGTCCTTCTGAAGAAGGGGATAAGGGATTGTATGATCCAGTGAGATCAAAGTCATGGTAGAGGAATCCACAGAGACAGTTGATCTGAACATTTGGGAGCTCATGGACTGAGGACCAACACATAGGGAGCCTTCATGGGACTGGCCTGGGCCTTCTGCATGTGTATAACAGTTTGTAGCTTGGTCTGTTTGTAAGGCTCCTACCAGTAAGATCAGGACCAATCCCTGATGCTTAGCTGACTTTTAGGAACCTGTTCCCCATGCTGGATTTACTTGCCCAGTATTTATACAGGGAGAAGAACTGGATCTTACTTCAACTTGATGAACCATGCTATCTATGCTCAAGCCTATGGGAGGCCTGTCATTTTCTGAATGGAGACAGAGGAGAAGTGGGTGGATGAAAAGGGGGACAGATGGGAGTGGGGGGAGAGCAGAGGAATACTAGGAGAAGAGGAAGAGGAAACTGTTGTCAGTATGTAAAATACAGGAAGAAAAGTTAATTTAAAAAAGAGAAAGAAAGGTCAACCCAAAACTTCTCTTTCTTGGTAGTACAACAGTCAAGGGAAGCCACCATCATTATCAAGGCATTAGAAGAATGCATTGACTCCCTCAGACAAATGGCCCGACAGAATCGCAATTAATGTTTAGTGGCCCAGGCAGGCTTAATGAAATGCTTAATGAAATGAATTGCATTTGGAGTAATAGTTCATAAAAACTAAAATAGAAGACTAAGGTATACTGTGAGATTTAGCCCTAAAGTGTGCTTTTGAAAGAGGACAGTGGATGTTGAAGCTGGAATGACAACTCAATACCTGCAGTTTAAGGGCCAGAATCTTCTCTTGCTCCTCTACTATCTGAGCTCGTTCCCTTTCCATCTTCTCAGTCAACTGCCTCACTCGTTCCTGATGGCATATTTCTCTCTCCCTCATCATTTGCAAATGCTTCTCTTCCCTTTCCTTCAGCATTTTTATAGCAGCTTCTGCAGACTCAGCTTTTGCTCGTTCAACTGAGGAAAAAAGGGAAGAAAAGTAAGTACCTTTTAATTATTATCTCTTGCCTCATTCTCCACTTCTGAATAGCAAGATGTGTGATTTTATAGAGGGAACCACATAGGGCTGTTTGTTCTTTGTGGAAAACATAATGCTGATGAGTGCATTTGCCAAACTCAGCAATGACTTCAGAAGCCATGACAATCTTGCTCTTCTTGCTCTTGTTTAATGACAACAGATTTAGTGGGGACTATTGAAACTGTTAAGAGATAGTACATAGAGTTTCCTGGGTCAGTTCTTACCTTCAATCTCCTTTTGTTTTACTGTGAGAGCGTGATCTGTCTGTAGAATTGCCTCAGCCATAATTGCCTTGGACTGCAAGTACTCCTGCAGAATCTCCTGAGCCTTGGAGTTTCAAGAACACATGTTAACAGAAGGAAATGGTACAAGTGTTTGTTTCTGTCTGTCTCTGTCTGTCACGGAGCTATGCTTCTTGTATTTGGTAGTGCTGGAGCTCAAGTCTTCCTGTCACATGCTGCCACAAAGGCAATTGTGAAACCTTCAAGATGGGGTCTTGTAAGGAGTTATAGGGACATTGAAACAAAGAAAGTTGCTGCTCTTCACATTAAGAGCCATTTCCATTATTTGAAACACTAAAACTATGGTTTCAGGTTGGCTGAAGATGCTCAAAAATGAGGCCTTCATGAGAAAAGCAAATTAGAGGAACTAAAACAGGGCAGGAAAGGAGGGAATGGAGTGCAGAGGTAACACCTGGAAAGAAAGAAGATGGCCTTTGCACTCATAGATCCTGTTTCCCTAAAAGCCATATTGAAGGATAAACTCAGAAAATATCATTTCTACTTAAGCCACTACCGTTGCATCTCTGTTCTCTGTAACAGCAAATGTCTAGCTGCAACTGTGGGTTACCTCATAATCCATGCTATGTGAATGTACTGCCTTTGATGAGCACTTGAACACATCTGATGTCATCAGTGGGCTCTACTGAGCACACTGTGTACAAAACCACACATCTATGTGCACTGACATATGTGCCTATGTGACACTGGTGTTCTAGGTAGGCATGCCAGTAGCCACTCAGTGTTAATGGCCAAAGCTTGATTACCTGTATCCCCTTCCCAGGTTCCCTGAGGTACTTTTTCTTCAGCTCATCTCTTTCCTCAACAAAGAGAAGATATCCACCTGGTTGAGAATAATCACCCTTTGTCACTGCTTCTTCTAGAGGGCCAAAGATGTTCCGAAGTAACTCTGAGCACCGGTCTGATGATAGTTTCATGTTCTTATTACAGGTGCCCTTCCAACTCTTTTCTAGCTGAGCCTTTAATACAAAAATAGGAAGCAAAACAGGGGTAACAGGAAAGCTTTAGCTGAATCCAGAACTTGAGGCAATTCTCCTAGAAGAGAGAATTTATGACAGAGCCTCATATTTTCCCTCAACTTGGATTTTCTCATGCAACTTATCTAAAGGGTGTTTAGCACAATCAGAGCTACTTTTACAACACCCAATTGAAATAGTTCCAGCTCAAAGCTGACCAATCACCACCATAAAGGAAATACATGTGATACAATAACTGCCTGGTCAAGTTTCTTTGCTCTGGTTTAGCTTTACAGTAAATTGGTATGATGACATAAGACATCTTATCAAATTGGAGCCTCCAAATAGCTCATATGTGTGCAATTAGAATGAAGAGTGTAAATGTACAATATTTATACAAATATAAAGTACAAGGTTTATTTCAAAAGCTTCAAAATTTGGGTCCATAATAAGAAAGTTCTTTTTAATGATTATTAAAAAGAGGACAGTTACCATCGAGGGAAAAGTGATTCTCAAAGTAAATGCCTGGTATTTCCTCATAATATTTTGAATTTCAGTACCTGTTTAAACACGACATAAATTTCACCATCCACTTAAACATGGCATAAATTTCATTATCCACTTAAATATGGCATAAATTTACCAATAATTCCTTTTGAAATGAATGGTCTTCATCTTTAAAGGAGGTCCTGAGGAAGATTTCTATGGCCTCTCTCTCACAGGTCCTGTGAATTTCTAGCAATTCCTGGAGGGTCTCTGTAGGCAGCTTCACCCTCTGGCTCATCTGCTGGTTATAGTGGGCAATGGCCTTTTGCACTGCAGCAGAGTTCTCTATCTTTGCCATGGTCAGTACTGCATTCTCTATGCAGGGGAGATCCCCACTGCTGATGGCATTGATGTATGTGAGCACCAATTTCTCTAGTCCTACATACAGAAAAAATGTGATGACATTTATTTTAGAGTGAAGTAGTCTCCATATGTTGTAGTTCTGAGCATGTCCACGAATAATCAGTATACTCTTCTAGCAAATGCATGCCTCCAATTTAGCCAACCTCACTATTGTGCAACAGAACTTTAAGCTAAACAAAATGTTTTGCATCTGTGGCTCCTATTATCACTAGGCAATAGCTGTATATAGCAATTTTTCTGTCAAAATATGAACATGCACATTGAGTTTGTACTCTTTAAAATCAAATTACATTGAATCTAAATAGTGACATATGTGTCTTTGATTGACAAATTGTGCAATGCAAAATGTCAATGATATGGATTGAGTTGCTTTGCTTTAGCCTACATAAATTTTTCAAAGACAGTTCATTTTTTACCCCACAATTTAAGTATTAGTTTAGGATGTCTAGAATTTGAGAACTGTCAAAAATGAAGTTTGTGGGTATTATCACCAGAGTAAAGCTATCAAGCAGGACTGGGCAGAAGACTCACGAGCTCCGTTGACCTCAATGCCTCCTGGGAGAGATTTGGCCTTGGAAGAGCTGAAGATGAAGGAACAGAATTCTGCTGCCTGCTGCACAAAGTCGGAATCCAACTCATCATCATGCAATTCATCAAGCTCAGAAAGTTTTTTCCACTCAGTGGGTGGATAGAAGACAAAGCATTTCTTCTTGGGGAAGAACTTTCGAATACAGAGTCGGGGGAGGTTATACTTTTCAACTTCTTTGCTGGTACCTGGAGAAAGTCAAGAAATTACAGTCATACACCTAGTAGGTGTTAATGTATAACTTATGGCTGTTTCCTAATAAGTGTTTCTTCTCCTCCATGTTCTTGACAGTATGCATGTCCACACAACCTAAGAGAGAGCGTAAAACAATCTGCTCATGGTACAGGGTGGATATGTCTCCATCACCAGGGAACACTTTCACTGAAATTGACATATTGATACAGATACCAAAAACTACTTCTTAGAAATAATCTAGAAAAGTAAAATAGTGACTATTAACACCTGCAAAAAAGGAAAAAACAATACAGGTACCTTGCTTGAGTGTCAGGGAATTCTCCAGGTACTCATCTGCTGTGAGGTTTTGTCCATCAGCTTCAAGCTTTATGGTCACATCCCGCAGAGTCCACACAAAGTCAGGGAAGAAGCTCACAAACTTGGCTGAGTCCTCAACCCCATTGCTATGAGGTGAGGATGTTGTTCTGATCCGATCTGTCAGCTCTGTCACATATCTAAGAGGCTAAGGAAGAAGATGAACACACAGGTTCCAAATCCTCACATTAGTCTCATCCATTCCCACAATTTGAATGGCTCTTTCTCTGACCCAATTATCAAGTCAGTGATAGGTATCTGATATTGTCACTACTATGACCCACTATCACACACACGTGTGTGTGTGAGTGTGTGTATGTGTGTGTGTGTTTATGCTCTGTGCTACAGAAAGGATACTGCAGCTGGTCCATGGCCTGCTGGTTGATGGCTCCCATGCTGTTGTACACAAAGGTGCTGCTTAGAAGTATAGCCAGGGCAAAGATCCAGCAGTCATTCTGGTTGTCACCCTGGAAGTCAGAACACAAGAGTATGACCACCTAGAGTGCTTCTAGAAGAATTATAAAATCTATATAATATTTATGATCTATGCAAGACATCCAAATTCAAATACCAATTTCCAAAGAAAATGACAATTTTATGTGCACTTTTGTTTATTATGATTCTGATTAATGCTGCTAGCCTGTTGTTAGTCTCATGAACACTGTGTATTAACCACATTGCTCTTCTAGGATCCTTGAAATTTTTTTCTCAATTCTGTTAACTAAACTTAGACATATGGTAGGTAAATATAAATGAAATGACATTAAAAGCTATCTAATGTAAGAGATGAGGGTATGAATTGCAACATCCCTCAATTCTTACTTTTTCAATATCTCCCAGACCCTCTGTGTCAAGAAGAACAAGGGTATGGTTTTCCTTCTGGGGATGAGGCAGACACCACATCCAGATCCCTTTGGTATGAGACTGCACTGTGGAGCCCAGAGAGAAGCCTGCAAAGCACAGAAAAGGAAAGAGAGGAATATAGTTAGTGGCATGTATTTCAAGAAATGTATATAAAATTAGCATATGCTTCCTTCCACATAGGGGATATCTAGAGTCTGTCATTTCACTCAGGGCAGGGTCTAGGCACTCCCCTAAGAGTCCAGGCTGAGAGAGCATCCCTCTTTGTGTTATGGACACACAAAGTCTGTTTGTATGCCAGGGATAAACACTAATCCACTGCTCAAGGCCCCATAGGTTGCCCAGGCCTCCTCACTGACTCTCACATTCAGGGGGTCTGGATCAGTCCCATGCTGGCCTCCCAGCTGTCGGTCTGGGGTCTAAGAGCTCTCCCCTGTTCAGATCAGCTGTCTCTGCTGGTTTTGTCAGCCCATTCTTTGCCAATTTGCTCATCGCTCCTCTCTCTCTGTCACTGGGTTCCTTGGGTTCAGTTCAGTGTTTAACTGTGGGTGTTTGCCTCTGCTTCCATCAGTCACTGGATGAAGGCTCCAGGATGGTTATAGACATCAAGTTCATTATCAGGAATGGGCATTCGAGGTGGTCTCTCCACTATTGCTTAGCTTGCCAGTTGGTGTCATCTCTTTAGATCACTAGAGGACACACTGGTGCCTGATCTGTCTTCAAACCTATGATTCCTGGGTGGAGGGGAAGGAGAGGTAACTGGGCTTGAGATGTTAAACAAGCTATTTAAAATTAACATAATAAAAAAGAAAATGAAACAATTAGCATATGCTAGGCCAGGACAGCTAAATGAAACCAAAGTTTCAGCAGAAAAAAATAAGTACTTCCAGCCATTGAGCATGCAATAGGCACACATCCATCCGGTCTTGCACCAAGGTTGCAGAAGGAAGGTGCATTCGTGAGAATGCTGTGAACAAAGGTGAAGGTGAAGCATAAGCTGCAGGGGATGCTCCAGGATGCAGGCGATGCCAGGACCATGTGGCATCCACTGAGAAAAGCTACAGGTAATGGGTGTAGCCAGTCTGAGATGGAGGACATGGTTAGAGACAGAACTAAAAACCTGTTGGAACCTGTATGAAGCTTCCATCTACTTTGGCTGCTGGATGTGGAGCTTGGTTTGGCCTCTGCCTGGACTTTATTCTTATTTTGGTATAGTTTTGCAACCATCATGTTTATCTTTGGAATGGAGATTTTTACTCTACATTATGATGTATTAGAAGAGTGTAACTGGTATTTTGATTTTCCACAGGATCACAGCTAAAAATTTGCCATGAATCTCAGAAGAGACATTGGAATTATGTATGCTATTAGAACTTCATGACTATGAGGTCTTTGGAAATTGAGTCAAATGAGTTTTGCATTCTGAGATGGCTATAAGCCAATGATGCCCAAAGGTAGAATGTTCTGGCTAGTGTGCGAATCATCTCCCTAAGGTTCATTCGTTTTAATACTTGGTCCCAATAGGTAGTGTTAATTTTTGGAGATGTAAACCTTTGGAAGGTGTAGATTGACTGGCAGAAGTAGACTAGTAGAAGACCCTTGATGATAAACAGTGACTCTAACTTGGGTCTTATACTTCTTGTTGCCTAGGTGTGATGTGAACACTCCATAAGCTTCCATCGAAATGGATAGAACTACTATGTCAAGTCTTCCTTGCCGTAATAAACTAATAGCCCTTTAACTGTGAGTTAGAGTAAACCCTTCTTCCTAATGTGGCTTCACTTGGGTATTTGATCATAGCATGCAGAATATAAGCTTAAATAACAGCATGAACTCAAACAGATTGTTATACTAATATTCATGTTAGCATTTGTCACAGCAGCCAAAGGTTTCTGTGTATCAACAATAGATGACAATAGTTATACACATACAGTTATTGAACTCTAAAAAAAGAAGGCAAAATGCTATGTGTTCTAGCAATGAAAAGTCTTGCCACTATCATGCTATGTGAAAGAAACAACTTACAAAGAAACAAACCTAACGATTCCACTTATGTGATTTTCCCGCTGCTGTAAAGTTGAGGAACACAGATGTCAGATAATGCTAGGAAAGGGACTACAATAGATTTCATTTCTCTAGGGGGAAATGAGATAGTTCTAGAGCTAGACGGGCATGATGAATACACAAAAATTTACCCATGCCAAAAATGTATAGCTAACAATAATTTTAAATTTTATGTTAGACATTTTACAACAATACAAAAAATTTAAAGCAGATAATATAGGTTGCAACTTTTAAAGTATAGACACCAGTGGAAACTAGTTGTCATAGAGACATAATAACATGTTAAATTTTACTAATATATAAATTAGTAATTTGGATTATTGCTTTCATCTAGAAAAGGAATGATTTATGTTTCTAAAAGGAAAGCTAGGAGCCACTTGTGATGCTGCATGGGCAATAGCCCCAGCACTCTGGAAGCTAAGGAAGAGAATCATGAGTTCAAAGAAAGCTTGATTGGCAACAACTAAACAACCAGTGGAACTCTGGTGGAAATACTAAATTCTTCACATTTGTATCTGGAAGCTGATGATGTGGGAGGACAGAGGGGACTCAGAACAGCTTTGTTGGTGGCACTCACCTGTGTTCTTTCCAGCCAGTTTGTTCATCAGGTAGGATTTACCTGTGCGGTAGAGACCCACAATGGCCACCACCACCACAGGCTGTGTAATGGCTGACAGGATCTCCAGAGCTTTCTGATTAGGTCTCAGTTTCCCTTTTACATTCTCAATCAAGCACATGGGGCCTGGCATGTAAGTCTCTGAGGCCATTTTTTCAGGGTCGTCTCCTGTCTTCAAGTAGATTTAATTAGAATTAGTCTTTAGCACTCAAAAGGCAAAGAACTAAAATTTTCCAGTTTTGTTTCTATCAGTGAGAAAAGTGAGTGAAAACCTGTATTTTTAGGAAGTTTTAAAACTATTAAAAAGAATTTTATGTAAAATGTCAAAGCAATGGTTTAAAATTCTGCTGCTCTCTACTCAAATATTTCACTCAGTTTATCATTAAAATTTTTCCTTATCAAAAATTTTATGCTTAAAAACACTGTGAGATTCAATAACAACTGGGCAGGCACGATATACCCATTGGTGCAATACTGATATGCAGGCATGGAATAGTCAGTTTCTTGGTGATTAGATTTGAGGTTTGATCCATGAGAGGAAATTCATGCCTAGTATGGTAAATATGATCAAGGCTCATAGCTGTGAGGTCAAACACCCTTAGGCGAAACCTGCCATTGTTTTACTATAAATGGAAATGTTGACAAACTGCCTTCTACATTTTTGGGGGCTTATTCCCATAGATTACTATGCTCTCAACCTTGGACAGAGATGCTTTATTTTGAATAGTTAATATAGACATTCCTCACTGGACAAAGTGCTGAGAGTAAGTGACTTTGAGTACAGTTGATGACTGGAATTCTCAGCCCTAAATTGGAAAGCCAGATCACCCCTTCCCAAGACTCAAGGAACATCACAGGAAAGAGGGACAGAAAGAATGTTGGAGTCCTGAGATGAGGCTGTGAACCACTGTCTTCTGGACATGACACAGCCCTATACTCCTGAACTCACCACAGATGGGGAAGAGGATGTTGATGCCCCACCCACACCTAAGAAGCTATTGGCAGTCAATAGCTGGTGAGAAGAGGGAATGCTCTTGATTAGTATAGGCCTGTAAAGTTGCCCATGCTTCAGTAAACCAACCACACCCCTGCTTACGTGAACAAAGATAATTAAACTCAAAGAAACATCTCTAAAAGGTATGAGTCACTGAAGTTCAAGGTAAGGAGTTTAATGCGAAAATGAAACCATTTTATTTCAACTCTACTAAAAACTGTTTGCTTTATTAGAAAATAAAAACATGAATGTAAGGTTCTGTGCCTGTTTGAAAGCTCTTTTTCAACAGAATGCGTGTAAAATAAAGCCAAATGTTTGGATTGTCATCTCTTTTATGAATTACAACAGCATGGGTATTTTAAGGTTCAGTCAAGGCAGTAGGTATGAAATTAGGTAGCAAATGCTTAGTGGTGTTAATGTCATAATAGAAGCTCTCAAATCTTACCCACAGTATATTTTGCTGGTGGACAGAATTCTTATTTGTATCTTAATAGTTGGGCATGCTCTTACCAAGTACTGAGGTTTGTTTATTTTTTAATTAAGAGGTGCTAAATTGTTTCTTGTCCCTTCATCTTATAGGTTGAGATTTTACAGACAAGAAATCTTTATTTTACTGTTCTATGAATTATGGTGTGCTTCTAAGGCCTTTAAGCATTATTAATACTCACTCCTATCATTATTGAATGACACTATGCAGCACAGTTTTACATCAATTTGACACAAGCTAGAGTCATTTGAAAGAAGGAACCTCAATTGAGAAAAAAAATGTCCTACCAGGAATGTCAATGAGAAAGAATGTGGTGTATTTTCTTGATTGATTATTGCTGTGGGAGGGCCCATCTCACTGTGGGTGGTACCACACAGGGGTGGTAGTCCTGGTTGCTATAAGAAAACTGGCTGAGCAAGCCATGAGGAGCAAACCAATAAGCTTGACTTTTGTGTGAAATAGCTCCTCTCCTGGTGAAAGATTGTCACAGAAGTTCACAGAGGAAACTCTGATCCTGTGTCATACCTGAAAAATATTTGCAGAAGAAGGACCATCTCAATGTGATAGTTACCAAATTACCTTAAAAACAAGTGTTAGTGACAGGCAGGTCATCATCAGTGACACTGTTGTCTGCAGTTTTACCTGCTATTGTTTTTCATACACTACCGAGGTGAGTTAATATCTTGAAATATGAAGTATTTTAAAGCTAACAACTAACTAATGCAGATTTTTCCCCTGAAATTCTGAGTTGTTTCCAGACATACTATGAGTTTGTTGTCTTTAGCTTTGCTATGTGTTGAGTTTAAAAAGGGTTTTAGTCTCTCCATTGACACTACACTCAGGATGTAAGTGGTAGACAAAGCTTTCTTTAGGGAAAAAATAAAGATGAAGGTAGGAATAGAACTTGCTGGGATGGAGGGGTGAACGGGTAGTGGTAGAGAGAAGAGAGGGGAATATGATCAAAATATGTTACATACGAGAATGAAGAAATTGTAAAAGAATAAATAAAAACATTGAAAGAAAGCAAAACATAAGTTCTTAAGCAAAAAAAAAAAAAACCAACAGACATTGAATGGAAAACAAAGCAGGAATTAGAAAATTTATTTTTACCCCAACTATAAGTTTGGGGTAAAAGCAATAAGTTTGATTAATTTGTCCATTTACTTATACAAGGAATAATAATCTCTATAAATAGAAGCTTATAAATAGAAGCTTCCTCTTTTGATATATGCTCTTGGAATAATTCCCAGGACTTTTAAAATGTGTTTATTTATTCCTTCCACACATGTAACTGTGTTAATTTCCTGGGCATGATACTCAGTCCTCAGGACTACTAAAGAATTTAAGAAACTAGAAATCAACAAAGCAAATAATTCAGCCAAAAAGTTGGGTACATATCTAAACAGAAAATTCGTAGCATAGGAAGCTCAAATGGCTTTGAAAGACTAAAAGAAAGGCTCAGCATCTTAGCCATCAGGAAAATGAAAATTGAAACAACTCTGAGATTCCATCTACCTCCAGTCAAAATGGCTAAAATAAAAAAAAAAGTGACTGGAGAGGATATGGATCATGGGAAACACTCCTCCACTGCAAACTTGTGCAGACAATGCAGAAATCAATATGGTGGTTTCTCAGGAAATTGCCAATAAGCACACTTCAAGATCCAGCTATCCCACTTGTTAGCATATACCTACCCAAATGATGCTACATCCTACCACAAGGACACTTGTTCAACTGTGTTCACAGCAGGTTTATACATAATAGTCAGAAACTGGAAGCAACCTATATGTCCCTTAAACAAAGTATGCATAAAGAAAATGTTGTACATTTACACACTGGATTTTATTCATCTGCTTAAAAACATGACATCTGAAATTTGGAGGCAAATGAATGAAACTAGAAAAAAAATCATTCAGTAAGGTAACTCAGAACCAGAAAGACAAAGATGGTATGTAGTCACTTATAAGTGGATATTAGCTGTTAAGTCAATGATAATTACGCAATAATCCACAGACTCAGAATGATAAGTAACAAAGAGGGATCTAAGGGGTATACAAGGATCTCCCTGGGAAGGGCAATAGAAGAGATACTTTTGGGTGTGTACTGGAGACATGGGAGGAGGAACAGGAGAGATTATGTGGTAGAAGGGGAATGGAGGGAGATAAGACTGGAAATCGGGGATATTTCAGGGGCAATGTTGAAACATACTACAGTGAAAACTTCCTGGAACCTATAAGGGTAATTCTAGTAAAGACTCCTTGTAATGGGGGATACACAACCTGAAATGACCATCTTCATTAATCAGGCTTCTAGTGGAATTGGGCTATCAGCTCAACAACAAAGCCTTTGATATACAATTTATTCTACCTTCAAAATGTGCTTGGGATAATGGAGGCTCAGAACTTGTGGGAGCAAAGTGGAAGGCTACAAGATCAACTCAAGAAAATCAGTAGCCCTACTATATACAGACGATAAAAGGGCTGAGAAAGAAATCAGAGAAACATCACCCTTATCAATTGCCAAAAACAACATAAAATACATTGGGGTAATGCTAACCAAACAAGTGAAAGACCTGTATTGCAAGAACTTTGAGTCTTTAAAGAAAGAAATTAAAGAAGACCTCAGAAAATGGAAAGATCTCCCATGCTCTTGGATAGGTAGTAAAAATGGCAATCTTGACAAAAGCAATCTACAGATTCAATGCAATCCCCATTAAAATCACAGCACAATTCTTCCCAGACCTTGAAAGATCAATAACCAATTTTGCTGGAAAAACAAAAGATTCAGGATAGCAAAAATAACCCTGTTCAACAAGGCAACGTCTGGAGGCATCACCATCCCTGATTTCCAGCTCTATTATAGAGCTATAGTCCTGAAAACAGCTTGGTATTGGCACAAAAATAGATAGGTACACCAATGGAATTGAACTGAGAACCCTGATATTAACCTGAACATGTATGAACATCTGATCTTTGGAAAAGAAGCTAAAATTATACAATGGAAACAAGAAAGCATCTTCAACAAATGGTGCTGGCATAACTGGATGCTGGCACATAGAAGACTGCGGATCGATCCATGTCTATCACCATGCACAAAACTTAAATTGAAATGGATCAAAGACCTCAACATAAACCCAGCCACACTGAACCTCTTAGAAGAGAAAGTGGTTGGTACCCTTGAACGAATTAATACAGGAGACAGCTTCCTGAACATAACACGAGTAGCACAGACAGTAAGATCAACAATTAATAAATGGGACCTCCTGAAACTGAGAAGCTTCTGTAAGGCAAAGGACACAGTCAGCAAGAAAAAAAGCAACCCACAGAATGGGAAAAAATATTCATTAACCCCACATCTGACAGAGGGCTGATCCCCAAAATTTACAAAGAACCCAAGAAGCAAGTCTCCAAAACACCAAAGGACCTAATTAAAAAGTGGAGTACAGAACTAAATAGAGAATTCTCAATAGAGGAGTCTAAAATGGCTGAGAGGCACTTGAGAAAGTGCTCAACATCCTTAGCCATCCGGAAAATGCAAATCAAAACAACTCTGAGATACCATCTCACTCCTGTCAGAATGGCTGAAATCAAAAACACCAATGACAATTTATGCTGGAGAGGATGTGGTGAAAGGGGAACACTGCTGGTGGGAGTGCCAACTTGTACAGCCACTTTGGAAATCAGTATGGAGATTCCTCGGAAAAATGGGAATAAACCTACCACAAGACCCAGCAATTCCACTCTTAGGCATATATCCAAAAGATGTCCATTCATACAACAAGGATGTCTGCTCCACTATGTTCATAGCAGCATTATTTGTAATAGCCAGAACTTGGAAGTAACATAGATGCCCCTCAACTGAAGAGCGGTTAGAGAAAATGTGGTACATTACGCAATGGAGTATTACTCAGCAGAAAAAAACAATGGAATCCTGAGATTTGCAGGCAAATGGATGGCACTAGAAGAAACCATCCTGGGCAAGGTAACCCAGTCACAAAAAGAGAAACATGGCATGTACTCTCTCATATATGGATTTTAGACATAGATCTGGGGAGTGCCAGCCTACAATCCCATGGCCAGAGATTCTGGGAAACAGAACCTTCATTCAGTGGCTGATGGAAGCAGAGGCAGACTCCCAAGAGTAAGAACTGAGCTGAACTCAAGAAATACAGTGACAGAGAGGGAGGCCTGAAGATGGAAGGGATTAAGACTGTGCTGGTTTAACCCCCAGAAACAGCTGACCTGACAAGGGTTAGCTCTTGAATCCCTGACTGATGCCTGGGAATCCATCATGGGACTGATCAAGACCCCCTGAATGCGGGTGTCAGTGAGGAGGCCTAGTTAATCTATTGAGCCTTAGGTAGTATATCAGTATTAATTCCGGGTATACAAATGGACTTCGGACTCCCATTCAACAATGAGAGATGCACTCTCACCCTGGACACTTAGAGGAGGGTATAGGTCCTGCCCTGGATGAAATGACAGACTATGGACACCCCCATGGATGGCCTCACCCTCCCTGGTGAAATGAGGGGATATTGGGGGGGGGGGTTGGTGGGAGGGCAGGGGAGGAAGGGAGGGAAATGGAGAGGGACCTGGAATTGACATGTGAAGCAACCTTGTTTCTAATTTTAATTTAAATTTAAAAATAAATTTAACTGCAGAAACAATTGACAGAGTTAGGAGAAGGTATCAGGTAATGAAAACAGAGACACCATCCTTAGTCCTTTGAGGGACTCTTAAAGGAAGCCCTTTAGTAAAACACAGGTCTGCATCCTACAGTGTGTTCAATACAATTTTAAAGTACAAGAGCCAATGTTTTCTTTGGTCTACAGGAGCAGGAGACTAACAAACTTGGAACGTGGTGTCTGGAATGACCTGAATCTATGTTCCTGGGTCGTCATCACTCAAATTTGGTTCCAGAATAAACTGTTAGTCTCTTTAAATAGGAGCTGTGTTTTTACATTAGCAGTGTTTCCTCTCTTTCCCCTTCACCATGATGATGGCTTTTTACCAGTGGTAGTAGGACTAAGTTCCCTGCATCACTGATCCTAGTCATTTAACTGTGTATCTGTCAGTGGAGAAAATATGAGCACAGAGAAGGACAATCCTGATGCATCCCCCGCCCCATGTTAGCTGCATGTCTCAGGGTCTCTTACTCAAAGCAAGCCCAATAGTGGCATTTAGAGACAGGCTGCCCTGATAATAGCACACAGGATCCATCTGTTGCCATGCTCCAGCCCACACCCAGGAGCAGCCATTCCTAGTTACAGCAGTTTTTAAAGAAATTAATTAACCCTCATCAATATCTTCTCACCCCTGCCCAGTGTATGACCCCAGAGCTCTTCAGAGCTGGAGAGAACACTGAAAAGAGAAGTAAGTCTCCTACCGGCTTTTGATTGCAGTGTTGGTGGAAAGTCTCCTTCCCTTGTGATATTTCCTCTTAGAATGCTGTGAGGCTCTCTGGATTTCCTCAAGTGATAGCATATTGGAAATCCCAGCAACCTTCACAGTGGATCAAAGGGCTGTGAAACTGAAACCACCCAGCCCAGGCAGTGAATCAACAGTCACATAAAGGGCTTTCAATGACGAATCCCCAAATATTTAGCTTCAAGAGAACTTCGAACCATATTCTGTTTAAAACGCACTTCCATAAGACTTGGAATATATATGCTTTTCATGTAAGGTGCCATTTGGAACAGCACTATCATGAGGCAGCCTATTGTTTTTAACTCTAATCTCCAGAACTAGACTTACTCAGTGGACTGGGTGTGCTGTTAGAGACATGATGATGGAGGGAAACAGAGTGTCTTCCAGCCTCCTCAACACCCCCACCTGGTAGTTATGCTCACTGCAGTCAGGTTGAGGCCTCTCATTGCTCCATAAGGAACTTGCTAACTTGCTATTAGGGAAGCAACAATTGCAGAATCAGGGCAGGGTACTTGTTGATTTCTTAGGATCCAACCCAGGGAACCTCCTGAACATTTCTGGGGAAATGAGGATAGCAGACTCCCACAGAGTGTCAATATGATACCTGTTATAGCACTGTGAGGGGTACAGAGTGAAGATGTGGATGTGAATGGCTGAGGTAGACCTTCCCTCAAGTTTAAAGGTATATAATAAGTGTTTTGCCCGTAAAGGTGCCTATGCCACTTAACAACCCAAAATAAACACTCACACTTGTGTGTGGCAAACCTTTTCAGGGTCAAACAATCCTTTTCCAGGGGTCACATATGAGATATCCTGCATATCAGCTATTTTCATTACAATTCACGACACTGCTAAAATTACAGTTATGAAGTAGCACCAAAATAATTTTATGGTTGGGATCACTACGACATGAGGAACTGTATTAAAGGGCCACAGCATTAGGAAGGTTTAGAACCACGGTTCTAGATAACTGCATGCCAGCAAATCCTGAAAATGGGCAAATTCCTAAGACATAACTGATGCTCCACCCTGAGTTAAAAGTTTTCTTCCCTCTCTTCTTTCCTAATGATAACTATGATTCGGTCACTTTGTCCTGTTTTCTCTCAACACCCTGTTCACCTTAATGTCTTACTGTAACATAGCTAAAATGCATTGGCCTTTGCCATATGTATCTCCTATTATGATAGTGGTCAAAATTAAAAGGAGCTTCAAGGAAAATATAAAACAGACTGACTGAGGGAAAACCACATAGCATTCAAATGTGACTCTGATGGGTGCTTTCTCAAAATCACAGATTCAGGAAGACCAATGGTCTCCCAACACAGGTAAGATTATCACAACCCCCTATCTAGAATTGGCCATCTCTTAAGACTAGTAACCTAACTTGATGCCCATCTGCCTGGATTGGAGATAACATATCCAGGAAAGGCTCTGCAAATCCCCCTTGACTTTAGACAAGGCAAGGTGGCTCTTGTAGGGGTTGGGCTCTCATCTTCCAGAATATTGTTCCTTGCTAAGCTGTCTCCTCCTTCACTTTTTCTGAAGTCACTGGTAGAATTTCTCAGGTGATTTTAGGAACAGAATATTTTGTAGTTACAAGACAAATAAAACTGTGTCAGAAATGAGTATCAGACCACTCCCTTCCCTATGCTCTCTCTCTATAAACCCTCTCTCTCTAGGTCCCCTTTCCCTACACCCTTTCTCCTTAGAACCTCTCCCCCTAGACATCCTTTGCTAGTTCGTCTCCCTAGACCTTCTCTCTCTAGGACCCTCTCCCTAGACCTACTCTTCTTAGATCCTCTCTCCCTGGCCCCTCCCCCAGGCCCTCTCTCTTCTGGGCCCATCTCACCTAGGTAGTCTGCCAGTAACTGAGCCCACAATCAGAACAGGCAAATTACTTTGAGAAGAATATAAATGTAATGTGTTCTTGGATTTGAATTGATATCTTATTTAGTATTGCTGAACTTTTGAGTAAATCAATGCTCGAATTTCCTCGATTTTCCTTTGTCATCACATCAGTACTTGCTTATTAAAATCATTTGACAATCATTCATATTAAAGAAGATGGAAACTGTGTGGGTAAAATTGAAATGATTTTCTCCTAGTAAATAATTTCATCTGAACAAAAAGGAAGGAAAGAAGAAAGGAATGAAGAAAAAGGGACAGTCTCAAGATCCAAATAATCTTTTAGTTTCTGCATATAGGAGAAGAGGACAGGGATTCTCAAAGTGTGAGGTGGGGGCAAGGGGAACGTGGAAAGCACTGCTTTGTGGCAAATCAGTGCAGGAGAAATGTTTGCCTTTTTCTCTGTTGACATTCCTTTCTGTAAAATGGTTTATTTAAAACTGCTGCTGCTGCCGCTGCCGTGTGTGTGTGTGTGTGTGTTTGTGTGTGTAAGAGAGTATTGTGAGTGTGTGTGTGAGAGAGTGTGTGTGTGTATGTGTGTGTGTATCAGAAACAAAGATTAGGAGGTGATTTGAGAAACATAGGGATTAGAGTATTAGGGGGAGGAGAGGAAATGTGTTGGAAACACATGCATACACACACACACACACACACACACACACACACACACACACACGAATGTATTTCACCAAGAAACTCTGGCTAGCCTGGAATTCATTATGTAGATCAGGCTGATCCTGTACTCACCTGCTTCTGTCTGTTGACTGCTGAGATTAAAGACTTGGTCCACCAAACCCAGCCCGAATGTTACTAAATTTTAATTTAAACATATTTTAAAGTCTGCCTCATTTTTACATCAGTTGGTTATTATCTTATTTCCAAGAATAAGCAAAGAAGATATTCTATGTTAAAATCAAGTCTCCAGACACATGCACACACATGGACATGTGTACCTGCATATGAATTCAAATACACATACATACATACATACATACATGCACACCCCACAGACAAATACCTGTACAAAAGAAAACTAAAGATAGACAAAAATATAGAGGATAACTTCTAGGAAAGAAAGAATTATCTGTCTAAGATGGAATGGAACCATAGCTAGCAGTTAGGATATCTGGCCTTGCGTCATGGGCTGTTTTTAATAGATTTGAGAATAACAACTTAATATCTTACAGATATAAAATTTTATGAAAGCTCAGGCCTCTCTTGAAAGAGATCAGTTAGGATAAGGCCATGAAGACATAAAGAATAAGATTGTAATTATCTGCATAATTCAACACAAATTACAATATTCTGTGATGTTCCCTGAAAGAAGCAAACAAACATTTATTCATCACAGATAGGGCATTGACAACAGATCAAGAAAATCATATCACTTAAGTTCAGTTTAGTTGAACCAGTGAGTTTATTGGACTTACTTACAAAAGTTTGGAAGGCTATCTAACAGGAATGAGTGTAACAAAAGGCACACCCAACAGCATTACTGAAAAGTCCAACGAACAATCTCAATAAAGCAAATGTCAGTCCTTATCTAATTTGCTGAATAGAACTCATAAAAGGCTACTGGGCAGGAAAGCATGGTGAAATTCCACCCTTGAGGAACCCTCTCTCCATTTTCAAGAATTTGTTTCATTTTTCCCTGCTAAATCTAGGTCTACACTGTTAATTCCTAGTCCATGTTTCTTATTTCTCTTGGGCATGAGATAGTGAACTCATAATGGGAACCACTGGCTGGGATGATTTGAGTGAATGTCTTCCACCATCAATCATAGCAGGAAAAGTCCACATTCTAATGTAACCATTGGTGATGCTCCCCTACCCTCCAGCCTCCCAAAGCTTCAGATAATGATATAGGTAGCTGGCAGGAGGTTTTCTGCTCAGGTTCAATTTATTTTATATGTGTCTGCAACCAGAGTGTAAGGTGTTTTCAGTAATAGTATATTACCATCTAATTCTGAAAGATAGCCCAGGAGCATTGACAATGGCCAATTGTTTTGGGGACCTTGGAACCTTCCTCGCCAACAAAATTTCACAGTTTTCTTACAGATTCTCAGGCATCGTCTAAGGAGACAATGGAGTTCTGTCTAAGATCAGTCACACTCAGGCCTCATATCTGATTCCTTATCACTTTAACATAAATATCTAGAGGGAAATCCAACTCTGTGTCAGTGGCTGATGGGGGAATGTCCTTCTATATGCTGTGAATATATGTTTCCCTCATTGGTTGATGAATAAATGAGGATTGACCAGTAGCTAGGCAGGAAATAAAGGCAGGGCAACCAGACTAGGAGAATTCTAGGAAGGAGAAAGGCAGAGAAGTAGTCGACAGAGAGATGTCATGTAGCTGCCAAGAAAGCAAGAGATGATGGCATCACCGGTAAGCCCAGACTATGTGGAGATACACAGATTAACAGTGATGGGTGTAATAATTAAGAGAGAGCTAGCCAAATAAAAAGCCTGAGCCATAGTTCAAACATTTTGTAGTTCGTATAATCCTCTGTGTGTTTATTTGGGACTAAAGGGCTGTGGTTCTGAGTGAGACAGAAACTTCTGTCCAGGAGGGAATTGGTCTGAAGTTCTCTTTCTTAGTTGTGTTTTGTGTGGCTTGGGTATCAAAGTTACTGAAGCATCATAGAAAGAGTTTGGCAAAGACCCTTCTGCTTCTATTGCATGGAATACTTTGAGAAGAATTGGTATAAGCTGTTTGAATTTTTGGTAGAATTCTGCACTGAGGCCATCTGGCCCTGGGTTTTCTTTTGATTGGGAGACTTTTGATGACTGCTTTTATTTCCTTAGCGGCTATAGGTCTATTTAAACTGTTTATCTGTTCTTGATTTAATTTTGGCAAGTGATAGCTATCCAGAAAATTAATTTCCTTTAGATTTTCAAATTTTATGGAGTACAGGTTTTCAAAGTATGACCTGATGATTCTCTGGATTTCCTCAGATGGCCCCCTTTTCATTTCTGATTTTGTTAATTTGCATGTTCATACTCTGTTGCTTGATAAGTTTGGATAAAGGTTTGTCTACCTTGTTGATTTTCTCAAAGAACCAACTCTTCATTACATTGATTTTTCTGTAGAAGCTATTCTCCAAAACACCAAAGGA